CAGTTCAGAAGAAAAACAATTTCAAAAATACGTTTTCGAGATATTTCATTTAAGTACGTGGATAACAGGAAGGAACACAGATAACTATTCATTCTGTTCTGAACTACACCTATCAGTGACATTATCATCAATGACTATTATAGGCAATCATCGCCAATATCTAATCTAATGCTCATTGAATAATGTCCCGTGGAGCGAAACAGCCTCTACATTCTCGAACACAAAGCACTAAATACTAAATGTTAATGGATTACGTGCAATTAGACGAAAGCAGGTTAGTTTAATTAAAAACAGAAATAAATAAGCGAGCACGAGTAATAAAGATATAGAACGGGAGACCAAGCACGATTTAAACCATAATATTTGGTCATGCTTGAAGTCGGAAGAAATTAAAATTGCAACGAACGAATTTGACGCACATATTTAAGACGACACACTCATCACACGGTATTTTTGTACTTGGGCATGTCATAATTTCTAATACCTAGTTATTTTTAAAATACAGTAAAAAATAAAACAACTAATAAAATTTTTTTGACATAACGGTAATGTAGCCACAAAATAATTTAAAAAAAGGACTTATGAAAGAATTGGTTGTGTAAAAAATGTGGTTTTCAATGTTTTTTCTAAGTTCAAGTATAACTGAGATATTGATTTTTTTAGAAATTTGAAACGAAATTCAGGGGTGCAGGTGATTGCGTTGAATCGTCATATTTTGGGTATAATTAAAAAACCATAATGCATATTAAAATAGGTACGTTATCATTTTTATGTTCGTGAAGGAAGGGATTATAATTTTAACTGGTAAAGATTAAAATAATTAATTTATATCACAAGTCATAAAATATAGATACTAATAATACATCAATCAAAAATTGTTATAAAATAGATAGATAGATTTAGATTATAAAATTGATTTAAATCTATGAAATGTATAATAGTACAGTCATTGAAGCTTAAAATAAGCTGTAACCTCCGAATTCTTTGAAACTGCATGGATTTGCATGAAAATTTAGAATAAGGCTCATTCTAGGCTAAAGTTCAAAAGTGACATAAGCCCGATTAACGCTTTTTGTTTTTTAGGGGTAAAAACTACCCCTAAGTGAAAAAAATTGAGTTTTAAGCATTTTATTGATAGAAATCTTGTTCAAGCAGAAAGATTAAATAATGTTCCATGTTCTCGAACATCTTTTATGATATATTTGATCTTCTCGACCTTTTATTTAACCCTTAACAGCTACCCCTATGCAAAAAATAATGATAAAAAATTACTTTTTAAAGATTTGGAATAATTAAATCATGTAATTATTTAAAATAATAGTTACCTTATAGCTAATAAAAGAATTTTTCCCTTTCAACCCCTAAAAACCACCCCTGTATTGACAAAAATTATAAAAAATTACTTTTTAAAAGCTTGGAATGCTTTAACGGTGCAATTATTTAAAATAAAAATTCCCTCATTGCTTATGAAGGAATTTGAATTTGAATCTCATTACACTTTTCAACCCTTACAAATCACCCCTGTGCTAAAAAATGATAAAAAATTACGTTTTAAATCTTGGAATGCTATAGTTGTGCAATCATTTAAAATAAGAATTCCCTTATATTGTTTATGAAAGAATATTTTACTTTTGCCATTTTCAACTCTTATAAACTACCTTTTACCAATATTAATGAAAAATATTTTTATTATAATCGATTTTTAAATATAATTAATCATAAAAAAAATTGCTACGCTGCATATAAACTTTTATACACACTGACGCGCACTTGAATCCTAACATTTTGTTCCAAAAATGAGAAAGCCTATTTTGCTCCGAAAAAATGTTATTGGTTTTTTTACCATAACTCGGTTAATTTTGAAGCTATAGTATCCTACAAAAAAGCATTTTAAAGGTAATTTCATGAGCTGTAAGATCGTTTGCATATAAAACCTTGTAAGTCCTTCGTTTTTTAAAGGGAAAGTATCGAAGGGCTCGAGACAGGTCGTTTTTTCACTAAAATGGATACTTCATGCGGCGATATCTCCTTTATTTTTTAGGCTATAGGGTTAAAAAAAAGCAAAATGTTTGTCGAAAAAAAAAAGCTAAATTTTTGTTGTCTATCATTTTTTACGTATCTTTCATAGTTTCAGAGTTATTATATAAATAAGGCAATTTTTTTTGAATAATGAAAAATATGTTTTCAAGTTTTACCATACACTATTAAAAAAATACGCATTCTAAACTGGTCTAACCTCAAACTATTGATTTCTCAAAAAAATTTTTCGAATATTTTTTGCTCAAAATTTGATTCTCTATCGATTTCCAGTTATTTTTGAAAAAAAAAATTCCACCCCCGTGAAGGCGTGTCAACCCCCAACAGGGTGGAAGCGTCAATCAGCGCTATGTGACTAATATTCATTGACCTTTTCTCTAACTATCTGCCAAATTTCAAGTCGATCGGTTCAGTTTCAAAGAATTCGAATGTGAAAAGCTTCAATGACTGTATACTATAATACATTTCAGAAACTTAAAAATTTTAATGTTAAAACTTTTTTAGACAACCATTTCAATTTTCGTTCATGAAAACTTCTGTAAAAAGGAAATGTGTAATTTTAGACTAGAAGTTCGGACTATGTGCAGAAATAAAGTAGATTTTTCAGTAACTCGAAACAGCATCAATTCTTCTAAAAGTAAACTATATTGACTGTCAATCACCATCACGATATTAAGACTAAGGCTAGTCTCGGATAATCTTACTGCAAGATATAAGCCTCGGTCGGTTGCGCAACAAAATTCTATTATTGAAGCGATGACTGCAACAAGATACCATTATACAAGTAGTGGAGTTATTTACATGCTTCATTGGAGTATTTAATATTGCGGTTAACTGTCCTGAATTGATTTAATGGAGGTTTTTTTCACGAAAAGTAAATATGTGGTTCAGACCTGACTGTGCAGTTTTGTTATGCTTGTTGGTACAAAGTAAATTGCTCCGGAATTGCATAACATGCAAGAAATAACAGCAACATACAGATACGACATGGCCTAATTACCATGCATCTAAATATTTTTTTGAAAAAACAAGATCTCCAGACACTGAAGCATTTTCTCACCGTTCGTTATTTTCAAGCTAAGTTCAGGTTTATTAAACGAACTATTGACCCTAAATCTTTCACCTTTCTCTATTAATATACCGATTTAACCTTTTCCACGACAAAATGTAAATGTGACATGTGACTATTAGACAACAATTTACGATAAAGTGAAGACCATACGCTTACTGATAACTATACTTATCGCGTATATTATGCATACATATTCCTGTTTATTAAATTCTCTAGTCGTCGTAATTCAATTTCTATCTCTATAAATGTGTTTTCCACTTATTGTCAATATGTCCGTAAGAATCTATAAGTATTAGCTTTTGGAATATATTGAGGAAATAAAAGGTGCCTTGGTAGTGAAGTTAATATACGTTTTATTTACCTAATTCAGCAATCAGCATCCAGATTAGCTGTCTCAGCTCTGGAGTAAGTAAAGCGAGACTAATGTTGACGTTCGTTGGTCCAAAAAGCGGTGTTGCCAAAAGGCGTACTTTTGACAACATGACAACAACAAAATGATAATATAACTCTTATTCTTTACAAAATATATCAATGTTCTCTTCTAAACTACAAGCAAAGTTTACATCACACCTTGCACAAACTACTACCAACCTTGAACCATTCGACAACATTCTGACGATTTTGTTTATATTCAAATAAATAACTAATATACCTAGTCGAAGCTAATTTCGAAAGTAGTTTTACAATCTCGTGGTTTGTCTAAATTTAAATGCAAATTAACATAAATTATGTTACTGGAAAAATTTTGAATAAAGAAAAAAATGGTACACAAACTTGCCTGAGTAATAGTACATGTGGATATGGCTATATTTAAAATAAAAATAAAAGAAGAATAAATAAGTAATGTGAAGTGTCATTTTTAAAGAATTTTAATATCGACCCAAAATATGTAGGTAGGTATATCCTAGGCATACGAGCATCAATAAAAAACGTTATTATTAAAAGTTCCTGTTAGTTACACAAAATAAATTATTAAGTCGCGTTAACTTCCGTATCTTCAACAAACATGCAATTATAAGACTAACAAGTAGCGCAAAAACCTTAATCCACTATCAATGCAAATATTTGGCCACCTATTTTAAATGCTATTGCGTCACAGAAGACATCATAAGCAAATATTCTCAGAAATAAATATTTAATTCTCGATTTACTCGCAGAGATTTACGAACGACTAAAAATATTTTTTCGTGCTAATTGAACGGAACACAAAAATCCGTGGACGAGCACGGTTTTCGATCGTTATAAATATAATCACTCGCAATGAATTGTTACAGTAATGCGCAAGAAATAACACGAGTACTGTCCTAAATACCGAGCCAGCTACACGGCTAGTAGAAAGTGAACACAGCCATATCTTAATATACTCGCAATGCAATGGAGAATTAAGAAATCTATCATGAAATACACATGCATTTATCTATTTAAATCAATTTCTAACAATTACTTATTAAACGACCCATAAAACTAGAATTTAAACACGTATTCATTACGCTTTTTGTGATTGTTCTCGACCAAATTTGCATGCATGGAAGCTTTCTACTGAAGAGAAATATTTGCTCCTTTTCACACGAATCTAAAACAACAATAGAATTCCTATTTCGTACACATCACACAAGAAATCTGTGCAAGAAAATCCAAATATATCCATAAAGCACATTTTAAAAAGTTTACAAGAATGGAATGACCTTGATACGTCTATTTCAGAAGTTCAGAAGACTCTTAACAAAGCTGGTTACAAGCCTTTCAAGATCAGCAAGCGCATAGAGGAAAAAGAGACTGGCCAGCCAACAGTCCAGATCTTACTCCAATGGATGTGTTTCTATGGGAATGTTTGTTGAATGTTTGTATAAATTTGTTTATTTTTTTTATATTTAAACTTTTGGAAGCTTACCTTTCTTGACCCTGTACTTTCTCCACAAGAAATATCCCGCTCCGAGCAGCAGCACCGTAAAAATGAACGTGAGTATGACCGAGGCGGCTATAGATCCAGGTCCGTAACAAGCGACTTGCTCCTGGGCACTAGCAAGTCCGGCACTGTACACTAAAATCAAAACGCACCACAAAAAACCGCACTTGCTACCAACGAACGCCATGTTCATCTCGTTCACTTCTTAACTTCGAGCGAAACGGACACTCCTCATGTCTTCCAACAACAAATCTGCAAAGAACAGAACAAACATTACTTACAATCGTTCACTGTTCGCGTATTTCTTTGTTGAACTCGAACCCAACGATGTAGAAGGTTATGGCGATATTTTAAAACAAGTCATGTGGAACACGGTGTACCTACTATCTAGTAAAAATATTTTTACGTTCGCTTTTATTGTTAAGTTCGCTAAGGTAAACCGCGTGCTGGTCGAGCTCATTTTGCTTCTACGATGAAATTGCCCACATTACGATATAAGGAGATAGGTAGAATTAAGTGGTTTGATAACATCTGCGATTTGATTCCTTTTATCTGTTGTTGTTTATGTGCGGCGAATCTCGCGGAATGTCGATTCCATTATAACACATTTGTCACGAGATAATGAAGGTACAATTTTAATAATATAATGCATGATAAATGTCTACGACTTTGGTTAATTATAGATAAAATTCGTTTAAAACAGTATATTTAAAAACCTTATCGGTTGTAAGGTATGACTTAGGTGAAATTTCATGTTTATAGGCGAATTTTTAAGTATCGTAACAAAAATTAGCGATATTTTTTCCTGAAACAACCTCCAAGGTCGGTATAGCCATTCTGACAGTTAAAAACAATTTTTCCTGAGCGGATTTGAAGGGACATCAAATTTTATGTAGTTTACTGTTGTTCATTTAAAGAGAAAATAGCCTATTTATACATTTTGTTATCGAATAATTGTAGGAAATTATCAGAATTGTATTGTTCTACTTCGTTATCTAAAATATACTGAAGATTTTATTTTGATATTCACCTACAGGATGTCTCTGGCAGATAAGAGATGATATTAAAAAAAATAAAGTACGTAAGGGAAACTTGACTGAGATATCATATCCGCAAATGGTAATATATTTTTTTAGTACTTAGTGACTTGCCACAGTAATATGAACAAACAATTTTGGAACCGCTGACGACTGATAGCTCGACTGGAGCAGAGTTTTATTAATTCATTATTCTATTTTAATGGGTCACTTTTTAATAAGCAGATTGTAGGCTATTGAATATAGGATTTTCAAATGGTCATTTTAGATTAAAAAACCACGGAATGCTATTAAATTAGAAGGTGGAAATTGGAGACAGGGGTGGAAATGCACCCCTTTCAGTTTTTTAATTGTTGCTCGAAAACGAAGCAAAATTTCGCTATATGTCATATGAAAAATTATTTAGAGAATTTAATTTTCCATCGAAATAGCTTATTTAAAAAAAATTAAAAGGAAAATTTTATTAAAAAAGTAAAAAATCAAAAAATAAGCCGTTTCGATGAGAAATTCAATTCTCTTTAAAAATTTTCCTATGAACTATATCGAAATTTTGGTTCATTTTCGTGCTATATTTAAAAAACTACAAAAGTGCATTTTCACCCCTATATTCAATTTCAACCCTCTAATTTAATAGAACCCCGCGTTTTTTCATTTTTAATAACCCTTCGAACAAGTCATGTGATGAATATCTTTGAACGTCTTATTTCCTTCCTTTTTTTGCAAAAAATGAGAATTAAAACGTATAAGGGTAAACTCGACGAAAATCGAAAAATTGGCTAATTGAGCGGCCATGCATCGGTCAATTTAAATCCAAAAATACTTTACAACCTCTCGTTTTGAAGGAAATTTTATCAACTTTTTTTTCTATGAAGCAATGCCTATATCTATCTTCACTGAAAAAAAAAATTAGAGGCAAAATAGTAAAAAAAAATAAGAAAATCGAATTTTTTGCTTTTTTCAAATAGTTTATTAACGATTTTTTTTGCATAAACATTTTCCTTTTAAATTTTTTAAATAAGCTATTTCCATGGGAAATTCAATTCTGTAAATATTATTTTCTATGAACTGTAGCGAAATTTTGCTTCGTTTTCGAGCTACAATGAAAAAACTGAAAGGGGTGCATTTTCACCTCTATCTCCAATTTCCACCAATTTCTAATTTAATAACACTACGTGATTTTTTCATCTAAAATGACCCTTTGAACGATTCATGCAATAAAATTGCTTGAATGTCATATATAGTACCTTTTAACCCTGTTTTTTGGATATAATCAATAGCCTATTGGAAAAAGAGAAAGAAAGGTAAAATGGAATTGCCGCCAACATTTCCTGATTTAACACCGTTGAAATTTTTCATTTGAGAGTACATTTAAAAACTTGAAACATTAGATAATTAGCTTGTTTCTACTAGATTCCTTACTTATTGAATTTCGAATTAATATAATTATGTTAATATCACGCAACACAATGAATTTTTTCAATTGACCTCTATCCGTATCTATATTATTGTATTATTATCATCAATGAGACACCATGATTAGATTAAAGAAAACAATTGTTAACGTTTTCCGATTAATTTTTCCATCGCTGTAACTCTTATTAATTACATTTACATTTATTTTCTAATGGCATTGCTAACCTTGGATAAACAACAAACCGGAGGAAAATATCGTACACGCTAAATCAAGAATATTATTCACATAGCTGCAGGTTCTCATGGTCCAATTTTTATAGCCATAGCTTTGAAGACTGATCTCACGGAAGACGTATAGTTTCATATTAACGACAGTGTCGAAGATTGAAAAAATAAGTGAAGAATAAATTGAGAAAGTCTACTCTTTGTGACGAGAAGAAAAACGAGGAGTAACGTCAGATGCTGGTATTATGGAATCAACGTTACGCAACGGTAGAATTCTCGATGTGATTACTTAGTTTACTTTATGTGACTATTGTATCTAATGGGGAGATATACGATTAAATATAACATTGGCTGTATATTCCTTGGATTACGTTTAACTTCTCTCAATGCAACTCCACCTTAACCAATTAAAAATGGAATGCGAAAATGATTATCGACCAGCACATGTTGCTCCAGTCTATTCCACATCTTTGCAATCCCACACTGCGTTAAACAATTATCATTAGCTCGACTGAAACGCTTCGTAGGTAGTTCGATGTTGAGTTTCATCGAGCATGAAATCGTTCCGGCGTTTCCTATGGCCCAGGTCAGGGTACGGTGAATCGACACTATCTTCCCAATATAATTTAATTAAACACAAAAGGAATTTACTTTGAGCCTCTTCGTGTGCGGCAGTCATCAATGAAACAAAAAGAACGGTACGATTTATAGTGAAGAAGAATATACAGAAGGCGTGTGGGTTCTCAATAATCTCCATTTTCTGTGATGAGGAAAAGATCAACAAGTATCTAATTATTTTGGGTAGATACAGATACTAAGGGATCTAAATCATCCATATGGCTTCAACTTTCTTCAATTTTTAATTTTGGTTACTAATTATTGTTCCAAGAAAACTAACTATACCTTTGTTTATATCATTTTACAATTATTACAATTAAAATCGTACCTACCGCAATTACAATAATGAATTCTACGTTACTGCCAACATTGCTTTGCAGTTTCGTAACCATACACGTTATTAAAATAAATTAAAGCCAAATAATAATTGTTCTTAGCCGGGCAAATAATGTCTGCTGGCCGTAATAGTAATTAGTTTATGATTACAACAATCTGAGCTTTGCTCCAAAGCGTCATCTATCAATTTTCCTGACACGTGATTTGCTTTGTAATCCATCATTTTCTTTGTTATTACACAAGACGGTTTCCGCATTCCCCTCTGGTTTGATTACGCGTGTATTTGATGACTTGGTATATTTCACGCATTTTGAATCACATTTGAAGTGCCTAGATAGTTCAAAAGATAGATCGATGGAAAAATTTAAGTTTCCAGTACAGTGAGTATAGTATTTAAATAGCTGATAGATTTTATTTTCAAAATTAGCCGTTGATTGGACACTTGGGCTTGCCTTCTTGGTTGAGTGTTAAAAGGTAAACGTAAACGGTTATTTTATTCCGTCTCAATATGAAAATAAACATGGATGACATTGATGGGAGATGTTAATTATGCATAACTTAATAAAATTCAATGTCAAACCGAGTACCGGGTATCGGTTGGCTTCGAAACAGGACCGTATTTACCGAGCGAAAGAGAGAAAGGAGACAGAGCACGCCGACAAAGCTACCTACAAAGAGCATTGGAGAAAAAATGGTCCTTACGATTGTTTAATACCACTTCTTGGTTGTCCGAATATCAAGAGGTTTCGTAAGTTTAATTTTTAATATAGGTCTCTATTGGAAAGGATGTAGAAAGATTATCTTGACTTAACTATCGATTACTATTACTCGATTACTTGATTTCAAGTCATGTCACACCAAACCAAATTGCAACAAAGTATGCCCGGTACAATAGGAGCTCTTTCCTGCATTTTCTAGTCTCACGTGATTGAGTCTGCGTTTCCCATACAGTTCACGCACGCTTCCACTTGTTCCCCTAAAGGAAAATCACGAAGACATCAGGCAATTTTCTAATGAAAGGCATAAACTTGTACTATATTACTGTGGTGGAATCCAGTAATCGCGCTAATGAGAAAACGAGGCAACTCATAAATTAACACGCTTTAATGACATAAAATGCTTGTTTAATTGCTCTTGTAAAGTTTACTGAAACAATGGTGCGTAAGATTAAGTCTTAAGGCATCCAGTATGATGAGACATAGTCTAAAATTTCAGTACATGTAGCAGAAGGTATTTTGTTTATTAATTAATCTTTGAATTCCTAGTTTTTTTCGTTTTCTTCAGGAAAGTATAATATAATGCATTTAACGATGATCCAGCTATCTTTAGATACAAGAACCAAAGCCTATTTATACTACAATAAAGTTAAAAACAGGTCTGAAGGCGTTTAGTTTATATTCAGATCTAATCATTCTTCTTCAATCTTATTAGGGCAAGCAGAAATAACATAAAGAAAAGTGCTGATCAAATCCTAAATAAACATAATTCTGACGGGTAAGTGGGTACTTAGGCAAGCTTAGCTCTTTATTTACTTTAACTGGTCCAGCAACAGAAGTCCTCAAATACTTGACATCACGCAACAGTTTTTTATCAATACCTTCCACTTTAATAATTGTATTAACGCAACGAATCGTTCTTGAAAACGGTGAAAAACTTATAATGTCTCTACTTCTCATTCCACTCACAACTATTGACCAAGAGATCAAAGCACCAAAGAAGGGTTTGTGGCATCAGTAGCTGTTAGAATATCTGATCAGTTTAATGATGAATTAATTGCCTCTGGTTTTAGTTATCAGCACAATAAGTCCGTGATCTGTCGTTTTCTTTTATTGTCATAATATGCAATATGGTTTTTGCTAACTCATACTAATTTCCATTTTATTAGGTTTCAAAATGGCATGTTACCAATAAATTTCAAAAATAAACATGAGATGTACAAACAGTAGTAATCACTATCTTTGCTTTATTCAATTTTTAAAGATTCATTCATCCATTCAATAAACAGCAGAGACCATCCAAAAATGGATATTTGTTTCTTGTAATAAGCATATTGAATACCCAGATTTATAGAGTACTATGGACATGCTGAATATCGCAAATTATGTAAAAAAGTGCATACCTCAAGTTTTTATTCATGAATCCAAACATCGCTGCAAATTACCAAATTTGGTAATCGAAAGGTAGGTAAATCTACTCAATTGTCACACAATGAAGAATTCACAGTTACGATGTGGCATTTTCTCTTAATTTCTATAAATAATTCTGATATAGATTTATGTACATTTCCTATACTTTTATACATTTTACAATTATCTCCAGGAACTTTTTCGTTAACTATGGCTAGAAATAGGTCTTACTTCTACTTTCTCTACCACAAAGGCCTCAAGACATTTGCGAGTATTTCGTAATAAATGAAATAAACGTTAAAGTCGATAATATTATATAGGTATTAGTAATCGAAAAACTTTCAAGGTATATCCATTGTGAAATGCATATCTTGGAGCTTTATCACACACAGTAGAATGTAGGTTACTTGCATACGATAATTCTAAATTACGTACATACGAGGTACACGCTTTTGTAATTACTGGCTTGCCTTTGGAAAGATTTTTTTTTTCTAGGTATTCCGTTATATGAGTAAAACTTTTACAGTGACGGTAAAATATGCGTTGTGGATAAAGTTTATTGAAAATCCTTAAACAATGAATATTTTCTACACTATAAACTATTTTTGACATTTCTTTCCTTGAATACAGACATCCAAAGTGCAGTTGTTTCTTGTAATTGTAGCCCAACCCCATTGAATCATATTCTTTGCAAAGAACCACAGTTAAACCTCTTGACAACAATTAAAACAATTTAGAAGTAAAAAAATTTGAAATTACAAAAAATGACCAAATATAAGAAGCGCCCTCTCCCTCTCAAACGAATTAAGAAGAAAGTTTTCATAGTTCACACCTCCAAAATCAAACTCACAACATCTTCCCCACTTTTTTGAGAAATACGATAAATGTCCCGTGCCAGTCAGGAAGCCGCAGGAGCGCCAAACGGTTAACATTCCAATTACATATCTACACCGTACAAGAGGACACACCCTGTATATATCACATGCTTGTATCTCGGCACCATGAGATTTACAAAACCGTTCAACATTTGATATACCTTCACACCGGTTTACATAAATAATAACAACTTTTCCATTCCACATTCCAACAAACCAAACGAGACGCGAAAACGAACTCTTAAAACTACCGCGGATATCACTGCGCGTATCAGGTAAAGGACAATTAACAGAACCAAGAGTGTGCACTTACATTTTTGGGGTAGAACAGTTTCACGATAGATTGCAGAGCATGATAGGGTCCAGAGGATCAAGTTACCACCCCGATCGCACCACAGATTTTCCACCGGAGGAAAAAAGCAACGCGCGTTCGCGGGTGTCCCGATTTGTTTACCTGCACGTACACAGGTGGAAGTGAGCGGAGTAGTAGCTGCTCGGTGCGCTAGAAAACGACGATTGAGCAGGTGCGACAGCCAACCTGCCAGAGGGAATCTGTGAACTTACTACCTTGAATGACCGACTGGTATCGAAACCTGCTTGATTCTCCATCGGGTCTGCGATGGGGAGAAGGATGCATTCTTTTGGGGTGGCGCGCCGGGTGGGGGAAACGAGGAAATGCATTTTACCACGTGAGCATTCTTCGGTACGCAGACACTTTACTTTCGGGCGCTATTTTGCGAGGAACCTCAAAATTCAGTGATCCAACCCCGCCTCAAAACTATGACGTTCAAGCAATTTTATTGCGTGAATCGTTCAAAGGGTCGTTTTAGATGAAAAAAACCGCGGAGTGCTATTAAATTAGAGGGTGGAAATTGGAGATAGGGGTGAAAATGCACCCCTTTCAGTATTTTTATTGTAGCTCGAAAACGAAGCAAAAAAATATTTAGAGAATTGAATTTCCCATCGAAATGGCTTATTTAAAAAATGTAAAACGAAAATTTTATGCAAAAAATCGTTAATAAACAATTTTAAAGAAAGCAAAAATAAGATTTTTTGACTTTCTTTACTTTTTTAATAAAATAATTTAGTAAAAACTTGAGAATCTAAGTACAATAAAGTTTATTAATAATGTATATACAGTGTGTCCACGGATGGAGTTGACAAGAGGAGAAATTCTTTTGTTTTTGACTTTATCGAAAAATGTCACTCTTTATAAAAAGTTCTGCCCCTCGAAAAAATGAGACTGTCATACAAACATCTTAAATTAGATATACAGGGTGCTCATAAAATAAAAAAACACGAAAATACTCAAGAGAGAAGAGATTATTTATTATTTTACACAACATTTTTATAAAAAAAATCTGTTTATAACCTCAAATAATGTCCTAATACAAATTTTAAAATAAAAATTTCAATTCAGACTTTTACTCTATACGTATGTAACTACTTCCTACCTCAAAAATTGAAATTTCCCATTGAAATGGCTTATTTAAACAATTTAAAAGGTAAATTTTATGCAAAAAATCGTTAATAAACTATTTTAAAAAAGCAAAAAATAAGATTTAATTTTTTTTTACTTTTTTGACTAAGTTGTGAAAATCTTTATTTATTATTAACAAATGAGACCAATTTGTTGTAAAAATAGGAAGAACTATAATTATTATTGTCTTAAAAACGACGAAAATCTAAAAAATATTTTAAGTTTGACCGGTTATAACTCAGTCAATATCAGTCCAAAAACGTTTGAAAACGCATCATCTTGAAGGGAATCTCATCTAGTTTATTTGTACAGCAATTTTCTTTGCCTACTTCTACTTAAAAAAAATGAGGGTCAAAAAAGTAAAAAGAAATTAAAAAATCTTATTTTTTGCTTTTTTAAAATGTTTATTAACGATTTTTGCATAAAATTTTCCTTTTAAATTTTTTAAATAAGCCATTTCGATGGGAAATTCAATTCTCTAAATAATTTTCCCTATGAACTATAGCGACATTTTGCTTCGTTTTCGAGCAACAATTAAAAAATTTAAAGGGGTGCATTTTCACCCCTATCTCCAATTTCCACTATTTAATTTAATAGCACTTTTTCATCTAAAATGACCATTTGCACGATTCATGTAATAAAATATCTTGGGGGTCTTAAAGTACTATACTTACTATTCAAAACGTACTTAGATTTATTCCGATATCACTGCTGGTCTTTGAGAAATCGCATGTTGAAATTTAGTAGTTTGACTTACTTTATTATCCCAAAGAAACCCTTCAAACGGCTGCGACTTGTCATTTTCTCTAAAAATCCATTAAAGGATAAGTTTTGCATCGTTTATTCAAATTGAAAATATTTTTTTTCGCAAAAAATCCATATTGTTTTGAACAAAGAATGTTAAAGATTGAACAAAATGGTAAAAAGTAAAAAAGTGTTTGAAAATGCTACACAATCGTAAAAATACTGTACTTTTTTTAACCGCAGATTCCACCTTGTTTTCAAATATCGATTTAAAAATTAATTGAAAAAGTTGTAACCAGTCCGTTTGTTTTTCTGCAAATATTGAACATTAGTGATGTTACTACTGACCTCTAGTGCGTAATTGTTTTTTTGGTGAAAAAAAATTTGAAAAAACATTTTCAGTTTAAAAAAATGAATAAAAGACAAAATGTATTCAATTATTCGGAAAAAAATGAAAAAAATCGTTGCAGTTTGAACTCTCGAGGAATGTTTGGAATACTTTGAGGTTAAAAAAATATATATCTTTAGTATATTCATTATTTGTAAAAGTCCTTAAATAAGCAATTTTTTCTCATGACAGAAAGTTCGAAATATTTTCTACACCGGCTCTCAAATCTCGAGAAATAAGAAAAAATGGCAGGCACCAAAACGTAATCGACCTTTCTTTCTCCTCGCCAAGACACACTTCCACCGAAACGCAAAAAGCAAAACGACGACAGAGAGATAAAAGCCGGATAGCGAGGAGCCGAGGAACACAATATTCAATCGCTGCCCAAAAGTGGTCTGCACGGTGAGCGGAAAGGAGGGTAAAAAATACCAGTTATATGGAGATAAGGTGGAGTGCCTTTGGAATGTCGTGGGGCCCGCGGCGCTCCACTGGGGGCATTAATAAGTGCCCCGGCAGACAGATACGCTGCCGCTGTCGAGAGTCGAATCTTAACCTTGAGACAGAGCCGCATCCGGCCCGAATTACGAAAAAGATTTTGACAGGTCAGACAACCGATGAATAATCCAGCTATATTTGGTCGTACGGACATAGAATGAGTGTGGGAGAGACGTAAATGTTACATCTATGAATGAACATGCTTTTCAATCTACTCATGGCCTACTGATGAAAACTAATAACTAGCTGTATCCTACATACATATTGCTAAGTGTATTCAATGTATTTAGCTCGCATAGCCATCTTATTTGTTTAATTCAATGAAAAAAACAGAAGAAAAAGATAAATTGTTATACAACCTGTTCCATAAATTCCAACATTTTAAATGAAGGATTTTTTACATTATAGAACATAATCATTAGAAACAGGACAATGTGACTATTAGAAGTTATATATTTGCCAGGGCAGCAAAAATCTCGGAGTACGGTTCTGTACATGTTATTTAGTAAGTACGTTCACAACGGCACATATTTTAATGACCCCTTCGAATTTAGCAATACTTAGTACATTTCAAAACATACCATTGTGTTTTTTAATTTAACTGAAATTAAAAATTCTTGAAAATATTTTAACAGCAACACAGTTTGTCTCTTTAACAGTTTGTGATTTATTGACTCATCTACATTTTCATTCATTAATAACAATTGTACAGATACAGAATATTCAATAATATTTGTGTTTTGTAAATTAAAATTCGATGTCATGTTTTCTGCTTCCGTATTATTATTTTAACTGCTCGATTCTAGTTATTGTACAAATAAATAACAAAATGAATTAGAAACCGTTCGCTCTTGTAAAATAGATTTCAACAATAATTGACAGGAAAATCGTTAGTTCAAGTTTAACTCTGACTACGACCAAAAAAATATTTTCAATAGTTTTGAGTTAGCGTTATCCAGGAATTGGACCAACCCATATACAAATACTTAATTTGTTTTCCTCTAGCTGCCCAAAAATAATTGTTTTAAAACATGTAAATATATTAGTGTGCTGCCATCTGTTAGCATTATTAGTAATATCAAATAATCAACTACCTGTAAAATCGAGCGTTCTTTTGTCAAGGAATCCAGGGGGAGGCTTAGATTTACAGTTTAATTACAGTTTTCTGTAAAATTGTTTAAATTTTCAAATAAATTTATTACTTGAATATGTTCTGTTTCCAATAAATATTTTTTCATCATAAACCGTAGTTGTTTTCTTGTTTCCGGATCATATTAGATTAATGATCAAGATTGGTAATACCCTTTCCCTTATGAAGCAAACTTTTTCTGTGATTCGAACTACTTGTTCTTATCTATGATTCGAACTATCACGATCACATATTTAATATAACCTTAAAATTGTGGTGGTGGTTTCTTTTTTCTCTAAGAAGGCAGTTACTATTTTTATTTTAGTTGTGCACAGAAGAATAGGTACACCTAATCGATATTTAAAATCAAATCAAATGTCAACAGTAAACAAAATCCCGTTTTCTTCAAAATTGGATTCATGAAACTATAATTCGTGTTTGTTTGATCTTGATTCAGTGATCATGATTCAAAGCTGAGATCAAAAGAAAACGGTTAATATGTGTATATATAGAATATTTGAAATTCTTTCTGTTTACCAGTCACGTGTTCTTGTTTCAGTGAATGCTATTTGATAACCACCGAGAACCGTTGATTCAAATATTTCTGTCAATGCGAGAACTAAAAGTACTTTTGGCAAGTATTCGAGAACTATTAATAAATCGAAAACACCGAAATAGATTCCTATTTTAATTCATGGTAATTCTTGTAAATGCTTGATACTATTTCAAAAAATGTAACTTGCAACATGAGTGAATAATAAAAGAAGTTTTGAAGTTCCAACATTCATTAAAAAATAGAAAACTTTTCAAAAATTCTAGTATAAGGCCCATTTTAAAAAGAATATTCGGTACCCACACTATGTGGATCACCCTGTATATAAAGTGGCCCAATAAGAACTCGATATCTTTTTAAAACATTGCACTTTTTTGAGTCCACTAAGTACAGTTCATAACCATGGCCTACTGCAATTTTTTTAGGAATAATTTGTCAGAAGATTGTTATTTTTCTTATTAAAAAATCTGGCTGCCTTAACTGGCATCTTTCAATTTAATTTTTTATACCGACTTGGGAGTTTGACCGACAAAAAATAATTGATAATTATTTGTTCATTGTATGAGGAGCAATTGCGTATTCCCAGCGGGCTTAGAATCAAGAATAGGAATCGAAACGAACATAAAGGTGGACTTAGGGCTTCCACTAAGCCTAGCCCCAGAATAACGGTGGCAGATTTCTAAGACAAAGGAAGTGCAATGTAATTCTGTAACAAGTCGTAACAAGTTGTAATAAGTCGTAACAAGTTATAACAAGTCAAGTCTTATAACCACTACTGGCCCAAATTGAACTAAAAGGCGGTCGTTTTCATGACATTTTTATTAACACAATGTACATTATACACATTGTAGGGCACTTAAATGAACAAAAAACAAAAAATTCCCGCTACCCTACACTGGACTACCTAAAAACAAACACTAATACTACACGAAAATGGAACTTCATAATATTTATTTGCTATTTACAATTTTTTGAACAATACGTAACAATTTCTCAAGTTTTCGTTAGATAAAATCATGGAATCGTTTAGATAAATGTGTGCTTAACTATATAGCGTGCAATTAGAATAATTTATACACATTAAAATTGTGCAAGGAAATGTGTAATACTTAATCGGTGAACTTCCTGTTGACATTGCGTCCGAAGAGTGCGGTACGGATTTGGGGTACCAGCTGTTGCGAAATGAGTTCCAAACGGGCCTCCAGGGTATTGCTGATCTTGATTTTATTCTTGTGAGCCAGAAGATCGATTCCACCGGTAGTCTCCTGAGACAAGTGGGATTCATCGTCGAGTTTCAGGACAATTTCTTTAGCGGTGGCATCTTTGTACTTGGTAACCACTACGGGTAGGACGGATTTTACCAAATCCCTATCTTGAGGCCTAACTCTGATAGTCACTTCCTTTTCGAACAGCTGAAACAAATAAATACACGTTAAATATTTTAATTATTACATAATTTGTTTGACGATAAAGATTATGTAACCTACTTTTAATTAATGTATAATTACACTATGTACAAGACCAACTGACCTGGTATAAACCTTGAAGGATGAGACTCTCGAGAATTTGTGCATATTTGCCTTGGTCACGGGTAACCTCTCCAAGACGCTTACGAGCCTCGTCTAAGACAGAACGAACATGATCTTCTCTTACCTTCAGTACCTTCAACCTCGCTTGATTTAACATATTAGAGGACTGACTGAAATCACACGAATTATAAATAAGATATAGTGCATTTATATTTCACTATAAGCAATGGATTCCTCGAGGAAATCAAGTCACATGACAAGACAACTTGTACATAAATTATTAGATAAAAGATTTTACTAACATTTTCTTTTGAAGTTCAACTTGTTTCTCTTTTTTCTCATAGTACTCCATAATCTTAAGACGTTGTTGTTGAACGAGACGCCCTTTTTCAATGTTAAATTCTTCCTCAGCTTTAGCATCGATTTCTTCGGCTTTTTCATTGGCCTCTTGTTCGATGAAAGCCATCATGTGTTTGATCTGTAAAGACACATAAGCATTTTTAACATATTCCAAAAAACATGACCATCAACATGAAAATTACTTATTTTTTTATATATCAATATGTAAACTTACTTGTTTCTGAACATCTGCATCGCTAAGAGCCATGGTGGTTGTTTGTTAATATAATTAACTTGATAAACTTTAAAACTGAGCGAATATTAACACGGACACGGACAGCGACAACGCCTTAAAAACTCAGCAGCACGAGTCAAAAACGAAAGCAGGCAAATTACAGGACTGATTGAAGATTGATCATATGATTTTGACCTTATGACAATTAAATTACAATAGACTTCCTAAACACGATAGCTCACTCCCAAAATATACCGGTGGAAACTAATTGACATCAAAAATATTACTAGAATATTTAAAACAAATAAAAGAAAATATTTGTTGATCTTTTTCTGGAAGGTTTATTTAAAATATATTAAATTTAGTTACTAAATGATTTCCATCTACCATAGGAAATGCGAACTTTTGGGGTCATTCAGTTGACAGTTTACAGCTCTCTATATTATCAATAACCTTAACTAAAGATAAAATTTATTGATATTTGTTATTTGTTTGTATTTATTGTGCTTTGAAAAAATGATTAACATTCTGCTTCAACAGCAGCAGCAGCAACAACAACAGCAGCAGCAACAAAATGCTCAACAGCAACAGCAAGTGGTCCAACAGCAAGTTCAGCAACAACAGCCCCAACAACCTCAACAGCAGCCTTTAGACAATATATCTAAAATTAAATCGCTAATAGGACAACTAAGGGAATCTCTTTCTGTAAGTCATGTATTACATATTCCAGTAGCATCATAACATTTTATTTTTCCAGAATACCATAAAAACTGCAGCCCAAACTTTAAATCAAAATAGTCAAGTTGATATTGGATCCCAGTATGTATAATTCTGCATAGATATTTGTAATGTTTTAAGTACCGTTACTTTTTAGAAAAGGAGTTGACATACAAATCCCCCGTTTCGATAAAAATTTGGAGGAGTTTTATTCCATTTGTGACCAAATTGAACTACATTTGGTAAAAACTAATTAAAGAAGGTTTATCTCGGTTATAATTATACATATATTTTTAGAAAACATCAATTAAATGCTTGACTCAACAAGAAAGCAGCAACAGATATTTGCACATACCCGTCGCCACAACGAGAAGCGAAAATTTAGGCTTAAATGACAACACCTTGACGTATCCACAATTTTTGGCAACTGCTAGCGCCCAAGTTTCATATACTAAAGAGATTCACGATACATTAGTCGCAGCGGCGCAAAATATATCTCCTTCTGATTGACATTTTCAGCAACCGTATTAATTTATTTGTAGGTAAAACTGATTTTTTATTTATATTTAAGGATTGTAACATAATATAAAATTTTAAAATTGTTTTCAATGTATTGTATGAAATTAAAAAAGTTGTAATAGGAAACAGAGAATTGCAGCAAAACTAACGTTTACAGCAAAACCAAAGGAGTTCTAACGTGGACTGTGAGCTGCAATTTAAAAAAATACAACTGCAAGCAGTCAAGTTTTCCTTGACTGATATGACAGCACCAATTTTGACAAGAATTTTTTAGAAAATCATCGTAACCATCCAAGTATGTGAGAAATTTAAGTAGCTAAGCAAATTCCTCGTGCAAATACAAACAAACAATGGCTGAAGCTGATCCTGTACCTTCAGGACTGAGTTGGATTGCAGACTCGACCTCCTACCAGCACCCACCATGTATGTTTCTCTTATGGTATCTAACCCTAGGAGTGACGAAAGCTTACGAGATCATTATTGCGCTGCTCGGTGGGGGGGGTGGTGCAGCAGAAGGTTCTGGTGGCGGAGGCGCAGCAGGTTCTGGTGGCGCAGGTGAGAGTGGCTCAAAAACATCTGCTGCGGGAGGCGGCGGCGCAGGTGCGGGTGGCTCAAAAACATCTGTAGCAGGAAGCGGCGGCGCAGCAGGTTCTGGTGGCGCAGGTGCGAGTGGCTCAAAAACATCTGCGGCAGGAGGCGGCAGCGCAGCAGGTTCTGGTGGCGCAAGTGCGAGTGGCTCAAAAACAGCTGTTGACGGAGGCGACGGCGCCGATGGGGGTGACTCAGCCACACCTCCTGCAGGAACTGAAGAACCAACTGAATGAAGTACTGCAAAAGAACCACCTCCAGCTGCTGCACAGTAAATGCCTGCGTCACCTGCCGAAGAGGAAGCTTGAATCAGTTTACTTAAGTTCTTAAACTAAGAATAATATTTACATGAAATTTAAAAGTGATTTTTTATAATTTTCTAGGTTTGTTATCTTTAGACTTGCAGTTTTTTTTTCAAATAATACATTTGTAACTAAAATTCCTAAATAATTGCTGCTGGTTAGTTGTACCTGGGAATCAATCAATAAATCTTGAAGAAACGAGAAAAACTTTAGTTTAGACTTCCTCCTAGTCCAGATCTTACAATACAGCACATTTTTCTTCAAAAGTTGCATAAAAAACCCAGATAACCTGCTTAAGAATTTTTCAAATTTCAACGTAAACTAGTTCCAAAAAAAAAGGAAGAAAAGAGTTTTTTTAATATATGCTAGAAAGTGATAATTTTTATACATGACGCCCAGTCTTGTAATAAAAATAAAATTCTTAAAATTACGTACTGGTTGCAAAAGACAGTATATTTGAGTTGATAATCCTGAAAATATATTTTCAATATAGTAATAGTAATCCTGAAAATGTTTTTTCAATATATACGAAACGCCTAAGTCCGGGGTTTACACAGACGAGCCGGCGAAGCAAGAAGAGCGCCAGAAGAAAGGGCCCTAGCCGGCGGGGCCCAGCCAGGACAAAAGGAGGTCCCACAAAGCGCCTACACCGGCCGCATTTGCGGTCGAGGTAGACGACGCATGGGGCCCACCTACGAATGAGGCAGGATAAAGAGGGATAATCCCCCTCGATCCCAAATCATCGAGGCCAATTTCTAGCCATGGAATAATGGCGCGTGGCGCCTAAGGATAAACAAATGAAAATTTATTTAGGGACCTTTTTCACTTTTTATCCTCTTATATAATAAGAACTTTAAAATTTGATTTTTACATAAGACCATCATACATATGCTTAATAAAAAATAATCAATTTTTATTGTATCTAAACGACACTTAACAAAGTGTAATTCGAAAACAAATTTTGCAAATTCCTAGGCATGTTCCGATTCATATCTCTGGAAGTTTTTCCTTTTTGTGAGGAATTGGCACCAGATAAAACTTGGCTAGTGCAATTCGATACGCCCTGTTTAAATATTGTATGCGTATAACCAATAACTTTTGGAATACCTATGCTGATCATTGGTAAAAGAAAGTTTTTTATTCTGTATATTTTTATAAAATTTATTAGGCATAGGAAAAAATTTAAAATCAGTTGGTTGAAAAATCAGAATAAGCACACGTAGCTGCATGTTGGCAATTTTAAAGAGCCACGCCATATGTTGCCAACTGTACATGCGTACTACTTTTGCGACTACGTGCTTGTCAAAGTTGTTTTTGTTCTCTCTTCCTCTCTTTTCACTTCACTTTTAAGAAGTCCGTCATCGGAATTCTAAGACGTGTCAAGCAGACTTGGATGTTTTTCTTTTGAAATACTTAAATTTTCTTGTATCATTTGAAACGGCACAATGGCTCCCAAACAAAGGATGCGCATTGCTAACGAAAAGGCAATGAAGAATGTAACCTTAAGAGGAAACGTTCCTAAATCATCGGTGAGTAACACCTAACCATATTGTTTGTAATTATAACCGTTTACCTTAAGAATATAGTACTTTTAATTTGAACATAGGTTTTGTAATAATGTAGTATTTATATGTGACATTTTAATAACTTCTCATAAATTTCTATCTGATTTAAAATCTAAAACGGTATTTTCTTTAGCAGAAACCAAACCAAGACGGTCCAGCTGTAGGGCCATGGCTTTTGGCTCTCTTTATTTTCGTTGTTTGTGGATCAGCAGTGTTCCAAATCATTCAATCTATCCGTTTGGCGTAATGAAATCTACAAATTTATACAAATAATCTTTTGCTCAGTCAACATATTTCTATCTATCTGGTTCTTTCCAAAATACCTGTGCAATTTGATATTTTATCTTTTTCTTTGTAAAATATTGTGAGATAATTAAGCATTTTAACAGAGTTGTATAAAATATATTTTTACATAAGTTGTACACTAGGATATAACTATGCATTTAGTTCCAGCACAAACTGTTGTTAAAGATTCTTGAAAATTAATCATTCCAACTTTATATTACGTTACAATTTATGTAATAAGTCTGTCTATTATTTTTTGAATATATTGAATAATTTTCATGGAGGTATTTATTTCCAAAACACCTTACTTTGTCTGTATACCACTTATGTTTTAAGTGTTAATTAAAAAAAATAGAGACTGATAAGATAAGACAAAATGTTGCCGATTGTTTACAGAGGGTCCAATAATTAATTATTTTGCCGCAGTATTGCATATTTATTATATTATAATCATTTAATGATTATGAAGAGATAATGTACAAAAGTTTCAGAGGACAACTAAAAATAACTGTTATTGACATGAAAACTGAATCAACAAATATAGAAGTTATATACTGTAAATTTTGCATATGTTTCAATATACAGGGTCGGAAAGTCCCCATGGTTCATCGGCCGCTACGTGAGAACGATGAAGAAAGTCATAGAATTCCGTGCGATATAGAAAGATGGCTATAATGAAGGCGTCTAATAGTCACCGCCCATTTCGCTCTTCCACAAATAAGATCCACTTCTTATTTGTGGAAGGGCGAAATGGGCGGTGACTATTAGACGCCTTCATTATAGCCATCTTTCTCTATCGCACGGATTTCTATGACTCATTTTATCGCTCTCACGTAACGGTCGATGAACCATGGGGACTTTCCTACCCTGTACATATTAAGAAGAATGTTCAGTACCTCTGAACAATTTCACATTAACTAAATAACATTATTTAAATGTTGAATATCGACATTTGCTAAATTACAAATTTTGTATTTTAAAAGTATAGAATAAGGATTTTTAGTATGTGACACAAAGTCAAATTACAATTTATTATAGAACTAATTAATTATTATTATATTATTTCTTTGCAAAAGGATACTATTTTTTTTATAGCCGTATGTAATTCAAAATTTAGTACCATTAGATTACCTTCTAAGCAAATTCTTTGAATAACTAAAACACCTTAAAATACCGTATTCTAATAAGCTGCAAAAATATATACAGTCTTTTCTTGTTCTTTTTATATACAGTCGAGTTTATCGATTTGTAACAAGTATACCTTTTTTATTTAGAATTGAACATAGTTCAATAATTTCTAGTTAAAAAATTCGAAACTGTAAAATATAAAAAGTTAGACATATTTTTACATTGATAGGACAGTAGATCTAGCACCCCCTATTCATATTTGCCACCTCAAAAAACGTAGAACTACAAATTTTCAAAACAATTGGTTCATACATATTTAAAATATATCAAAAAATCAAAAATATTTTTTCAACTTTAACACCTTGTAGAACGAAAAGGAGCAACAATTGATTAAGGCATGTTTAGCTCAACCGCTGTATTTTGACTTTAACAATCTGCCAGTGAGCTGTGTACCATTATTAATGACTCACCCTGTATATTTTTTAAATTACTATCATTACTCAATATTATATGTAATATTCAAAAGACACATAAAAAAATAAGCAATTAAGCCAGCGACTATGGTTTTGTTTTATTTGGAGATTCTGTAAATAATTGGAACATCATTAAAAGTAACAGATCTTCGAGGTTTGTCTCCCGCACCCAGTTCGGTGGGGACCGCTAAAATCTTGTTCGATTTCACCGAGAATCTTCTTAAACTGTTTCTAAAGCTGTTCATCCTTGAAAAATTGGCTTCGTGGATCAAGTTGTTGGTTATAAAATTATGAATCAGGTTTAAAGCTACTTCAGGAATTTTTAATACATCGGCCAAGGGATTGTCGTCCAACCACGTTAGTAGTTGTTTCATTATCTGCACTTGTTGGTCAGGAGTTATCTAAAATGGGACGATATTTTCTATTCCCTGATCGCATAGAAGAAAAAATCAGTATTCAAATTTACCTTGTTCAAGACTTGCCGAATTCTGTATTCATCTCTAGTCGACATCCAGATCATCGAAACTTTTTTGCTGCACAACCACATATAATTTGACTTTCCAAAGAGTTGTTCATTGTGTTTAATTTGTTGTATTTCCATCAAGAGTTGCACCTAAAAGTTAAACACTTAGATTATAAAAACAAACAAAAAATAAAATATATTACCTGTTCCACAAATTCAGATTTCATTTTTCCAACGGACTAGACAAATGGATAGAAGTAGAAGCGATGGAAACTAATCAGGCCTTATTATTAACAGATAAGCAAATATATACCAAATATATACAGATAAATGAAAATGGTAAGCAAATAAGTTCGTTATATCAGTTTAATTATGAGTCTCATAAAACAGAAAAGTTGTATATTGGAAATCAATCTAAAGATAAGACTGGTAGTCAAATATAATTTGACTGAGGGCAAACTTGAAAGTCATATCAAATAAAACAGAAATACTCTTATTTTGCAAATAATACTTGTTAAATTCAGCAATAAATAAACATTGATTGCTACTTTTTTTCTTCGGCTTATACAGGGTGTTCCCTGGTAGGTGAAACGACTCTTGTAAGAACAAAAAAATTTAATTTTGAAATTCGCAGCTCTGCTAGCTTTATGAATATTCATTACTAACAAATGCCCTTCCTATATGAGATATAAAAAAATTTTAAGTAAAATTTTTGAGAATGAAAAAGTGAGTAAGTGAACAATTTTATTCTCTTAAGGCTATTTTAATTGTGTCTGATTTAAAATTTTTGTTGCTCGTAAAAGACACTTTGCCAAATCACAGATCATATTTTAACAATAACTTTTTTTGTCTTTTACGATATACAGAGTCTATCTGAGAACACCCTGTATATATCAATATTTATTTATTTTATTCCTGTCAAAGTCTGTCAGGTCACATTGGTGTATTGTTAGTTGCATGATCTAGGAAAATTTATAATCTTGTTTTGCGGATTTCTCTTTTTATAGTTTATTTAGTAGTTCCCAGATTCCAAATTTACATAATTTACTACAATTTTTAAAAATTCTTTTTTATAATTTGCTATGTAATATTCTCAAACGTCTGTAACTTTAACTAATCAAGGCTAAAGTTAAAATTTTACAATAGCGAAATCGCTATTTTTTAACGAATTTTTTAATTGTTTTCACCACATCGCTAGAGTTTATTTTACATTTTGCGACAAAATTCTATACATGTACATTTTATAATAACAATAATAGTAGTTCCCTAGATTAACCGAATAATCTACTAATTACACAAACCTAAAAATGTTCTAGATTTGTGACTAATTATACTTAGCGAAAACGAAACTGAATCCATCTCAAAAGTTAAGATTTTCCGCTATAAATATTTTCAAATGATAATTTCATATTCCGTTCTTCAAAACAACGAATTTAGGGACTGCGAAATATACGTCAATATATCAAAATTTAATTAATTTATGGTTCTCAATTTGACAGTTGACACCATGGCGCTGCAATTGTATTCTTAATTTTTCTATGATAACGATAATAATTTAACCATGGTAGAACCTACTAGAAATGTCGACATTTACAATTTAAAGTTGACATTTGACAATTATCAACTAACCTTATTTCCAGAACATCCAAACTATATTGGCGGCTTAATAAATAAACTGTATTGATATTTGAAATTCTGTTAATAAACAGTATTATTAGAATGGATTGAAACGTAAAGAAGAGTTCCAAAATGGGCGAAGCTCTAACGTCGATTTTAAGTGAAATTCTGAGGGTGGAAGGTATTGAGGAAGCGTTTAGTTGCTTTTTGGTGCACAGGCCTAATAGTGAAGTTGAAAAAATAACATCATGGCAACAGAAATTAATATCTGTCCTTCGTGGGGCTACCCCAGAACAATTAGAAATCGCCTTGAGACAGTACCTTGGCGTAGCTGCTACATGTTCTCATAGTCAAGTCCAGTTACTGATGGAACTGCTAGAATCTTGCGTAAAAAACGGCGCCTTGGGATCAAGAAAAGTTTGTGAAGTTATTATCACTAGTGACTTGTTACAGCATAATAATACTCACTTTTGGATAGAATCTTTCAAGTTGATCAGAAACATTATTGATTTAGTTGAATACAAAGGAGTTCGAGAAATTATGAAGGTAATTTTAGAGTTGCCATAACAGTATAAGGTTGTTATTCTTCATTTTGTAGGGATGCTGCGAAAAAGTAAAGACGCTTCCTTGGAGGCTACATTCTGGTTTACAGCCACAAACTCAAGCTCTACTACATGTCGCCGAGCGAATTATGGACAGAAATGCTTGTCTGTTGCCAGGATATCTCCTCGTTAACGATTTGCAAAAAGCTTATCCTGAATGCCCTCATTGGAGAATGGCAGCACTGTTCTCAGATTATGTAGCCAGTTTTCGAGCATGCGCCCAAATGGTCTCGATCATAGGTCAGGCAGAAATGAGACCAGTTGTCGAGCACAGCGGTTGCCATGAACATTTGGTAAATCATTGGAAATTGGACCCGTTAACTTTGAGATTTAGTCTTAAAGGTACATCTGAAATGTCTGTTTCAAGAATACTAAGTTTCACAAAGTAATGCTTTTTAGGTACACTTCCTTATGATCCTGAGTTACTGGAGAAGCAAACGGGATTACTACGGTACGTCTTAGAGCAACCTTACAGTCGCGACATGGTGTGCGGTATGTTAGGTTTAAACAAACAGCACAAACAACATTGTCAGGCGATAGAAGAACAGTTAGTAGAGTTGGTAGTTTTGGCTCTAGAGAGGACGGAAACGGAAGGTGACGAACAAGCCACCCAGGGTTTATGGCTTCACCTCTCGTCCCAACTCATTTACTTCGTTCTGTTCCAATTCGCTAGTTTCCCTAACATTGTCATGTCGTTGCACTCGAGGCTGCAAGGTCGCGATTTACGAAGAGGCAGAGATCAGCTGATGTGGGTTTTACTACAATTCATCTCGGGCTCGATTCAACGCAACCCCTTGTCTAACTTCTTACCGGTATTAAAACTATACGAACTGCTGTTTCCCGAACAGGAACCTCCCTTGGAGGTGCCCGATTTCAACCAGCCGCAATGCACCCGCCAAATGGCCATGACGTGCATTTGGATCCACCTTATCAAGAAGGCGCAAATCGAGCAGGTCAACATAACCTGGCCCATCCCCAACAAGTTGCGTGCCCACCACGACTTCCTTCAACACCTCATCCCGCCTAATAACGCTGCTCTAGCCATGGGCAACGATTATCGTATCGCTTTACTCTGCAATGCGTACTCTACGAATCAGGACTATTTCAGCAAGCCGATGGCGGCTCTAGTCGATACGATTCAGGGCAGTGCAAAGTCTGCTTCGCCCCCAACAGCTCCTTTGAGTATGGCCGTTTTGGATTCCCTGACGGTTCACTCGAAGATGAGCTTGATACACAGCATCGTAACGCACGTTATCAAGCTGGCGCAGGCCAAGTCCGGGATGCCGTTGTCTCCTTCCCTGGTGGAAACTTACAGTCGCCTCTTGGTGTACACCGAGATAGAGTCTTTGGGGATCAAGGGCTTTATAAGCCAGTTGCTGCCGCAGGTGTATAAGTCGCACGCTTGGGGGACTCTGTATACTTTGCTGGAGATGTTCAGTTATCGCATGCACCATATCCATCCGCACTATCGAGTGCAGCTGTTGAGTCATCTGCACTCGCTGGCAGCCGTGCCGCAGGCCAATCAGACCCAGTTGCATTTGTGTGTCGAATCGACTGCTCTACGACTGATAACAGGTAATTTATACAATTTTTTTTGTTGGGTATCTTTTAGAAACAGGTATCATAAATTTATTCAACCTTTTCAATCATCTTAAAGCGGTAACAGTAATAATTTTGAGTCAGGTTTGGGTAGTGGGGACGTCCAAACCGAGCTCTTCAGATTCCTGGCCGAACCGAAAACTATAGTCTCGGCCGAATCCGAGGAACTGAACCGAGTGCTCGTTCTGACCCTTGCGAGAGCGACTCACGTGACGGGAGCTGACGGTTCCTGGTGCCAGGAACTGCTCACGACCATAGCCCAAAGCACTCCGCATGCCTGGGCTCCCCACACGTTACATTGTTTCCCCAGGGCTTTGGCCGAGTTCTTCACGCAACACGCTGTTCCTAAGGAGAACAAACAGCAGCTGAAGAAGGCGGTAGAAGAGGAGAACAGGAAGTGGGCCTCGATGAATAACGAGAACGATATCATGGCGCACTTCGGGGTTCCCGGAGCACCACCACTTTTCCTTTGCCTTTTGTGGAAGATGCTGCTGGAGACCAATCACATAAGTCCTATTGCATACAAGTAAGTCACTTTTTTTTGTAGAAATCGCGCAAATATTTTTTTGCAGGGGTTCTTTGAAAATTCCCATAGTTAATTATTTATATACATTTTTTATTGTTTATTATAAAGTGTATGTCATATCTTAAATGTCATTGCTATTCAGTGTCTACTGGCATTAATCATTACTTTGTACCTACTGGCGTAAATCATTACTTTGTACCTACTGGCATAAATCATTACTTTGGACCTACTGGCATAAATCATTACTTTGCACCTACTGGCATAAATCATTACTTTGTACCTACTGGCATAAATCGTTACTTTGTACCTACTGGCAGAGTGACCTACTAATCTATAGGTGCTATTGGGGTTGAAGTCAATGCCAGACACAGTATCATTAATTAAAAACATCTTTAGAATTATTTTATACGACCTCGATAGCTTTAAAGTAAAAATATAAGTTGTTATTTTAACCAAACGATTTAATAAAATACTTGGTCAATTTAATGATATTGCTGTTAAATCGTGGTATTTGCAGGATATTAGAGCGGATCGGCGCCAGAGCCTTATCGGCCCACTTGCGCAAGTTCTGCGACTGTCTCGTATTCGAGTTCAGTAACTCGCCAGGCGGTCAGCACGTTAACAAATGCGTCGATACCATCAACGACATGATTTGGAAGTACAACATCGTCACCATCGACCGTCTGGTCCTGTGCCTGGCTTTGAGGACGCAGGAAGGCAACGAAGCCCAAGTGTGTTCCTTCATCATACAACTGGTGCTGCTTAAAGCAACCGAGTTCCGGAACAGGGTGCAGGACTTCGTAAAGGACAATTCGCCCGACCATTGGAATCAGACCAACTGGCACGAGAAGCACTTGGAGTTTCACAGGAAGTATCCGGAGAAATTCGCTCCTGAAGAACAAAGCAGCGGCTACCATCCCTACTTCGGCAACGTGTGTTTGAGGTTTTTACCCGTTTTCGACATAGTTGTGCACAGGTTTTTGGAGATAACCGAGGTAACGAAGAGTCTGGAGATCCTTCTGGAGCATTTGGGTTCGCTGTACAAGTTTCACGATCGCCCCGTGACGTACTTGTATAACACTTTGCATTACTACGAAGCGATTTTGAGGGACAGGCCACCTCTCAAGAAAAAGTGAGTTTTTTTAACATCTGACGTACTATGTACTAAAAGTATTTCTAAATCCCATAAATTTGTTTTTATGCCAAGCAAATAAAATTTTTATTCGAAAAAGATCTCTCATCTCGTCAGTCAAAAAATTTTATTAACCAACTTTTCTATTTAAACAAATAAGTGAGGAAAACAGTTTTTCACTTTGCAGGGAAAACCATCAACTTTCGCGAAAAGTGACGCCCAGACGAAAAAATAACAATGGGCATATTTACGAATTCGTAGAAAAGCCCCGAACCCCAGAAAAAATGCATCATTTATACTTAAATTTTTTTTAAATTACAAAAATGTCAAAAATTATTGTTAAACGAAATATTAATTAAAATTTCAATTTCGGAATTATTTTACCGTTATTAAATAAATAAATGAAGCTATCGTTCATTTAAAAAGTTATTTTTTTACATATCAACAATAATGTCGCGGATAAGAATCGAGTTTCTCTTTTTTTTTTGCTAATTTTCCTGGTCTATTTCTTAGATTAGTAGCCGCAGTTCTTGGCACACTAAAAGACACTCTCTCCGAACCGTATCAAGCCTTCCTAGGCAGAGCCCCGGACGAGGTATGGGTACCGGAACTGGATTATTACATACAACTAGTCAGGAGGGTAGTAGAAGTCTTGGGTGGTTCCAATGCGAATTTAATGACCGACTGGAGATTCAACGAGTTTCCCAATGCCGGAGCCCACATTCTATACACCTCTTGCGTCGAGTTGATGGCGTTATCCGCCGGACCTACCGCCGTGGCCAACGGCCTCTTGGATGTCGTCGCCAAAGGTAAGAAAAAAAAAGTTGGAATATTAAAAAATTTCATCAATTTGATGCATTCTTATTAAAAATCAATTTAATTCAGCCTTTTTTACGATTGTGAATTGTCCGAGACTTCCATTTTGCATATCGTGTAAATTTCAGGCTTCGTGATGATTCCCTCGGACGAAATCCATCAATGGATCAACGCCATCGGTCTTATCCTCGCGGCCCTACCAATAAGTTACTGGAGCGTCCTTCACGATCGTTTATTAGCGACTCTCGACGAACTAGAAACCTGGAACTTTGACTGCTCGCCATTCCGACTATTTAATTTTAAGGAAACCCACGCCGGACACCTTCACAACCGTTTCAGCTACATGCTGGCCCTGGCACATTCCGTGTGGCACCACGCGGGGCCGGGACAGATTTCCAGCGTCTCGCGATGGGTTAGAGAATGTTTGCCTACGGTCGTTCGATCCGAGGAGCAATTCCTGTTCGTCTGCCACCTAGTCGGGCCGTTTCTTCAAAGATCTAACATGGCGATCGTCGATTTGACTAACGCTTTGTACGAACTGCTGGCGCAGGTCGATCAGGCTCAAACGGACATGAAATATATTGACCCATTATGTGACCTGCTGTACCATATCAAGTATATGTTTGTGGGGGATAGCATGAAGAAGGAATTGGAGGCAGTGGTGAGGCGGTTGCGACCGCAGTTGCAGTTGAGGTTGAGGTTCATCGCTCAACTGAAGATCGAGGAGGTACAAGCGTCTTAATTTATTTTTTATTGTACTTTTTTTACAATCTGTATGCAAGAATAAAAAATATTTACAATTAAGTCTTTTTCTTAAAGAAACTTAGTCGCTTTCACTGGACGAACTGGGAAAGTCTGGTTGCGCTGAAAAAATATATCATTTTAACGGTGGAATATTGCAACACCCTGTATCAAAATTCAAAATATACGATCCATACCTTTTGAAAAATTTGTATCTTGGTACGTGAAGTTCAAAAGTAATTTTATTAAATCAAAAAAACAGTTCTATTCAGCGAAATATAAAAATTTAACAAAAAAACAACATTACCCCGTTTATTTATCACATACCATTTCGATTCATAAATTGTTTGTTCTGTTCCTCCTCTATATACTTATTTTGTGCCGCAACGACCGATTGACTATCTGTGCAATTTGCGTAAGTATCCAACAATTCGCCGTTTAATGCGAGAAACGAATGGCCCCAGGAAAACTTATCGAGGTAAAATTTAGCAGCACCTTTAAATCCGGTGATGTACATGGTAGCAGCAATCGCCTCAACGCAACTTAATTGACAAGGTCGGCCGTAGTTTATTGGATTCGCTGCTACTAAAAACGGCAAAAGTCGGCCATGAGACGGCTTTAAAGATGCTATAGGCGTCTCGTCAATCCTAGCCCATGAACAATCGACAACAGCTATCCCTTTTTTGTTGACTATTTCTTTATCTTCAGGGCTGACGCATTTTTCACCGGTTGGTGTAAGCACCAACCCAGGAAAGCGCTGTTTTACTTTTAGACATTTTATTAACTTCAAACGGGCCAATTTACGACCTGAGCATTTCTTAGGATCGCACTGATTAAAATCCCACATCGCGACTGGGAAACTGGGTGCTTCATCTACAAATTTATCAATAAAATTCTAAAATTTATCGACATATTTAAAATAACCTTCACTCGATGTTTCATCTGACGAGGAACTTTCACTACTATCAGAGTTTTTCAGTGAGACATTTTCTAATTTCTTATTTATTTCATTCATGTTTCGTTAATAATCCTGATATGTGCATATTGTGGTTATGTTTTTGATTTTTGACATACGAACTAGTGATGGGCATAATCGACCAATTTTGATAATCGAGTATTTCTAATAATCGAGTGATCACTCGAGATACGAGATATTGGTCGTTTTCATCCCAGCGGCGCACAAATATGTTTGTATTAGTCATATATTACTTATAAGCGTAGCTAAAAAAAAGCTCATGCACTTCAAAACCTAACCACTTTTTCGTTTTATTCTAAAAAAAAAAAGGTTACTATTTGCAGTATGCACTAACATTTTGGGGTACAACCGTAGGGTAATAATCACTCGAGTGGTGGAAGTAAACATCTCGATATATCTCGAGTGATCTCAATAATCGAGTACCACTCGATTTTTCACTCGAAATCTCCCATCACTAATACGAACTCGTTATCATAACCTCAATTAAATTTTGTTACCGAATACCATTTATAAGAATTTAAGTCACTGGAAGCAAATTAGATAAATAAAAAAGAAATTAGAAAATTTACTATAATGTCATCTTTATAGAATTCTGTGTCCGAGCAATTTACACTATAGATTTGCACATTCAAATGAAATGAATGTTTTTTTTTACTTTCCTCGCATAATTTCATTGGATCAGGATCAAGAACATTCAGTATATTTATGGTTTACGATTCTTCTTGGACCTTGAATTGTTTTCGTAGCTTTATGAGAGAAAAAATCTTCCAAATTTTCTGGGCAGCATAAAAATGAAAACATAACCTTACAAGATGGTTAAAAATAAAATTCATGTGATAGTGACGCATTTTCTATTTTTAAGACAGTTCGTTACTTAAATTCAAATAAACTCCGAAAATCTTTTATACGTTTCAAAACTCTTATGGAGGTTGCGATAGCGATGGGGCATTTTTGTGAAATTCATGGCCCCTGCATAGTTATGTGCACAGACAGAGCAAAGGAATTGCCCGAAGTACCCCCAGCTTCACTTAATGTCCCCATTTGTGATGCTTGTGAATCTGTAGATTTAGACACCGCCTACACTTGCCAGGATGGAAAATGTTATTACATTAGCACACGCACTTCTCTTTGTGATGATATGGCACATCTTCTGCATGAGGCAGTTGTAAAAAGCCTCAGCGTTGAAGTAGGTGGGATAATTTTAGTCTATTAAAAGTCACAGAACGTTTTTAGGTAGTCACTGAAGAAGACAAAGACGAAGGGACGATGTATTTCGGAGATAACACCAAAGGTCATTTTATTACTCATTTGTTTACGGTAAAGGATTCCTTATCGAGGGGTTTTAAAAGAAAATACTGCATTGTAGTTCGAGGTCAACATCAAGTAAGTTAAATTAGAGTAAGTTGTTTCGTTTATAAGTGATATGTTTGTTTAGTCGCTAATTATTTCAGATGCCTTTGTTACACCACTACGACTTTATTGAAAAAAATTTGAAGCAAATAAGTGGTGAATTGGTGCAGAAAGCAAACCAAATTTATGAGGAAGAGAAACCTTTAAGGGAGAAGCAAACAACATCGGGCGCTACTAGAAAACCTGTGCTGAGGTCCCTCAAAGACCTTGTAGGTGAACCAAATGTTTTTGTGCACCTCCATTTGTGGTTTGTGTTCTTGTTAAGAGCCGAAATTTATAAAACTATACCTCATAAAGTGCCTGAATGTCCAGTGGATTGCCCAACAGCAAAAGAATTGAGAAATTTACAAAAAGAAATGCCTCAGGAGGTTTTTCGAATAGTACTGTACTGTATCTTAACGGGAATAAAAGTAGATGCAGAAAACACAGAAACAGTACAGTATTTCCAACAACTCCTACCCAAAGATTTTGTGTTGCCCACCACAGGCACAGTATGCCGTTTAAGCAAATCGGACGGCATTTGGAATGCCCAATTCAAAGGAAGTTTACCCAAAACTATGCCTAGAATGTACACATTAGTTGAAGAAGCTCTGGGAAACCCAAATCTACCCGATTCCGCTCTCAAGTATTACTTGATGAGTATTAGTATGCGTTGGTTCAACATAGCGTGCGTGATTGGCTGGGCTACAGGGCCTTGCGACCAGCTCATGCGGTCTTTAGGGGTGCACAAGTGCGACATGCCATTGCTGTCTTATTGGATACCCCAGTGCAATGCTTGCGTCAAATTTGCCGAGGCTGACTGGTTTAACAGAGATAAGAAAGAAGAGGTGCCTTTAAATTCTTGCTAAATTGTTATGTTTTAAATATTTTTAAATATAAGGCTATTTATTTTTCACTTAGTTTAGTATATAATTTATCGATCAATTTTTTATATGTAATTACGAATTGAAAGAAATAAATATTTGGAAAATTATATTAATTACGGTATAAAACAAAAAACCATACAACTAACCAAATTTTAAATAAACTTCTTACCCTTTACACGAATTTTCAATTACACTTTTAATAAAATTAATTCGTCTTCTGTTTATTTTTCTTTTTAGAGTGTCTGTTATTTGTTCCACCTGATTTAGACTTTTTAATCTTCTGTGTTTCATTTTTTGTAGGGCCAAATACATCTCTGTCACTTAAAACATATGTCCTTTCTTCACTTGCATTATCACTACACTTTCTAACTTTCTTCTGTTTCCCTGCTTCATTTCGTCTTTCCTTACTACCGTCCGCTGTCCTTTTCTTCTTTTTCTTGATTTTATTATGTTCGTCAACTTCGCCTGTTCTGTTATTTTTTATTTTCTTTGTTTTTATTTTATCATACTCAGCTTCATATTCCGAATTTTCATTGTCGCTGCCTTCTTCTTCTACTGTAACTGTAACACTACTTTTCTTTACCGGTTTTTCTTTGACTTCTACAATCTCTAAAACTTCTTCATCTTGTTCTTCTTTTATCTTCACAGTGGGCGCAGCTACTGTTAAGCAAGTTATTCGGCATCCCGTGTTGTACTTGGAGAGCTCCTTTAGTTCCATGTTCCACACCTTAATTTCGCCATTACTAGAGGCTGATACGATCCACTTTGAATACTTCGTCAGAGTTTTCACTCTGCTGTCATGAGCTTTTTGCAAATTCTTCGTACATTCATTAATTTCAATCAAAGCTATCTGTCCGTCTTCATATCCAACAATTATTTGATATTCTGATACCCATATACAACTGCAAATTTTTTCATCATGTTCAATTACTTTTAAGATTCCCCCAGTTTCGATGCTCCAAATTTCAGTATATTTGCCTCCCGATAAAATAAATCTAACTCCGTCCTCAGCCCAAACGATCATATTTAAGCTCCTAGCATCTTTACTTTTACTGTTTAGATTTATCGCATAAGCTTGACGGCCCTTAACTAAATTCCAGGTTCTCAAACTGCAATCAGCACCGAGAGTAAGTGCCAATTTACCTGAAGAATGTATGGCAATATCTAATATAGCGGAACCTTTATGTGCTTTTGCCCAAGTTTTTTCCAGTTGCCAGCTACCTACTCGCACAATGGCTAATTCCCCATCGGCGCTGCCAGATATAAGGTGAGAATGATTATTCGTGAATTGTAAGCAATTTACGGTGGCATTATGGTGACTTAACATGCAATGCTCCTTCCGTAGTCTTAAGTTGTACACTATTATTCTGTCATCTGCAGCTCCATCAGCTAAATAATGGCCTGATGCAGCTACACAACGTATGCTGCTGCTGTGGTCATGGATTGCAAAACTTTGAACGAGTTCCGTTTGCTAAAAATCAAAGCATTGAAGCTAATTGAACGAATGTGTGGTAATAATAACTTACTTTTGATATAAAATGGAATCCCAGTAAAAATTCCTCGTAGGTACCAGCTATTATTTCAAATTTAGTAGTTTTCATTGTCGAGGATAAAATGAGGTTATATAGTTTAAACTGTGCAGACTGCAGACACAGAAGATATTTTTTGTTCCCATGTTGGTACTATTAAAAATGTTTCTGCTTCTTCTTCAAAATTATTCCATTAGAAATTGCTCTCAATAACCATACTCGCTAATAGCTGTACAATATTTTTACTACACTATTCTTTTTTCAATTTTTATTAAAGGTACCAATGAAGTGTTTTTCCAATTCATAATAAAGGGAACATTTTTTGAACAAGGTTTATTAAAAAAAAATTATAATCACATGTACTGTATCCTTAGGTATTTATTTATTAACAAAAGGGAATACAGCAATTGGTGTACAATAAGTATTAACTTAAGTCTACTTTTTGTATCCGCATGAGCGCCTACGTCCACGAGCTCTCTCAAATTTACGTCCTTTGGAACGTACAAGCGGTTTAGTGTGACTGTGTGGCACACCAGGCGCTAGTCCGAAGTGCTTTGCTGCCTCACGGGCATTGCGTCTACCTTGCATCAACACCGTTTTAGAGCCAGTTGGGGCTCTCAGAGCCAACTGATCGAAAGTGATTACTTCACCACCTAAAAACACGTCTTAGTCAACCTCTATCCCCTTTGTCATAGTTTTTAAAAACTAATTCAAAGTTGTATATAAAAGCTTCTAAATATAAACGTTATACTATTAAACAATAATTAATTGCAAACATAGATGAATTTGAAAAAACTTTTTTTTTCAAAAATTCCAAAAACGGGAAATGCATAATTGTAAATAAAAAAACGTATATCAAAAATACTTTAGCTATGAAAATAGAAGGAAAAACAATAATAGTGTACTTGCCTGCTTTAAGGATTCTAGCACGGGCGGTTTCAGTGACACGTAACGCACAAACCGACAATTTTGGGACCTCAAAAATTCTGGAATCGTCAGTCACAGTACCTACAATAACGGCTGTTAATCCTTCGCGTCCAGGTTTACTCATCAAACGTACAACCCTTGCTAATGAAATCGGGGGTCTGTATATTTTGCTCATAAACAATCTCTTCAGTATTATTTTATTGAATTTAGCGTCCGTACGACGAGCTAAGTAGCGATACAACTAAAACAGATATTTATAATTATTTTGAAAAATACTAAACTTAAATAATTACCTTTACAAGAAGTCGTAGATATACATCCTGACTTTTAGGTTCTGTACGTCTAACCTTACGGTCGTATTTATGATTAATATCGATACCCTGAAAATAAAATAAAAATACTACTTATTGTGGCAGCTACTAACTGTCAACGATCTTAAAATTCATTTAAAAGATTAATTATGTTAGGGATGAATAAAATAAAATGGAATTTATTGAAAAACTCACCATGTTCGACAAATTATAAAAAAGAAGGGAAACAAGGACAGTGTGTAGGAAGGGGACAGAAAAGCACTTTAGTGTTAGGATTTTTCTTTATTTGTGTTGGTACGAAACTGAATATTACTTATCACCAACAAACCAAATTTCCCTAGGATAAAAGGAAAAGAAACATGAAACCACTGACCTCTACTAAAATATGGATTATAGTTACGCTGTTACTGCTACTGCTTTGCGTATTGCTTAAAAAAGTCTTCAAATTCAAGGGCAGGCAGCATATGATTCTGTGAATTTAATTGCAAATAATGGAAATTGTTGAAGCAGAAAACCAAACTGCTTCTGTACAGTAATTACCAAATTTTATAATTTTTTATATTAAACAGCATGTCAGTTAATAATTTAAATATTAGAAGGTTATTGAAGGAAGACATAGATAAACCTTCCAAGGAATTGTCTATATACCTCTTAGGAAAAATCTTGGTTCGAAAACTGGAAGGTGATACAATTCTTAAAGGTCGAATAGTGGAAACCGAAAGTTACTTGGGTGGAGAAGATAAAGCTTCAAATACATACAATGGCAGGCAAGCAGTTCTGATGAAATTAAATACAATAAATATTAATACATTTTTTAATTATAAAGACGAACTGCAGCCAATGAACCCATGTATATGCCTGCTGGTACGACTTTTGTTTACATGACTTACGGAATGTACCATTGCATTAATATTTCAAGTAAAGAACCCGGTGCAGCGGTTTTATTAAGAGCCCTTGAACCCTTATCAGGTATAGAAGCCATGCAAAAATTCAGAGGTGAAACTTTTTTAACAAATTCTGGTATATTGCTAATAAGCATTTTTCTTTTAGCTCAAAAAATGAAAAGCAAGAAAAATGAAATAAAAACATCGAAACTTTGCGATGGTCCATCGAAACTCTGTATCTCTATGAATATTACTAAGCAGAATTTAAATAAAGTTGATGTAACAGACCCAGAAAACAGGGAAATCTGGTTGGAAGACGATCCTGAATTTGAGAAGGAAAACATAAAAATTGTTCATACTTCTCGAATAGGAATCGCCTCGGCAGGAGTGGAATGGGCATCTAAACCTTTAAGATTTTATATTCTAAATAATGATAGTGTAAGCAAACGAGATAAGGTCGCTGAGGAGGATTTTCATTCTGATGTTGACACATCCTGAAAACCTGTTAAACATTTTTTTGATAATTGTTTTTATGTAAATAAAATTTTAATTTTTTTAATAAATTGTGTTCTATTTCCTGAAACAAAACTAGCTTTATTTTCTTAGATATGAATTCGAATACAAGTATTTTATAAATTTTATAGAAAAATATAATACTTATATGCTTCCAAATCTAAAAAAATTTAATAAAACTAATTAAAACAGGATTAAATATTTAAAAATGTTTTGTTTTTATCATTCAGCTAACTGTAAGTTGATCTAAATCGTCTTACTTTAGTTCCAGTTGGTGTCGAGCGATGTCCCTTGTCTTTCTGGCACACCCTGTATATTTTTATTGAAACGAACTGGATTTGCATTCGTGTTTCTTTTTATACACCACTTTCTTTTTTAATAAAATAGCTAAAGTTTGAATCTCAAATTACCCTCTGTTCCTTGGAACGTAAAACCCCAAGTAAGTTGATCACTTAAATGGAAATACCGGAACTGAAAGCCCATTGGATCAGATAAGAACAGAAAATATTAATTTGGCAATACTTAAGTAACAGAACATCAGTTATCAGTTATGACAAAGGAATGTTTTAAGTCTGTGGTTGTTTGTTCTTAATTCTTAGGTTATTGATTATAAACAAAATAATTTGTACATGTCTAGAAATAATATTTAAAACAAGGTTAACTGGTATGAATTAATGATTACAAAAATGTCGCTTGAGAAGTCTAACTGCAGACGGTTACTAAAGGAAGATCTAGACAAACCTTGCAAGGAATTAGCTATGTATTTGCTAGGAAAAATTTTGGTTCGGAAACTAGAAGATGACAAAATTTTAAAGGGTCGAATTGTAGAAACTGAGAGCTACTTGGGTGGGGAAGATAAGGGATCACATTCGTACAGTGGCAGGCAAGCAAACCTGATGAATTACGAATACAGAATATTAATATAGTATTTCTTTCTATTACAAGACGTACTCAAGCAAATGAACCAATGTATATGCCTGCTGGTACGGCATATGTTTATATGACTTATGGTATGTACCATTGCTTTAATATATCGAGTAAAGAACCAGGTGCGGCAGTTTTGTTAAGAGCACTAGAACCCATCTCTGGTATAGAAACTATGCAAAAATTCAGGGGTAAGTCATTTACACTTGTAGTGAGTTCTATAATCTGTTTGCTATTTTTTTAGTTCGAAAAGTGAAAAGTATTCAGAATGAAATAAAAACTACAAAACTATGTGATGGTCCATCAAAACTGTGCATTTCGATGAATATTACTAAACAGAATTTGAACAAAATAGATCTAACAGACCTAAAAAATGACAAAATGTGGTTAGAAGATGATCCTGATATCGATAAAGAAATAAGAATTGTTCACACTTCGCGGATAGGAATTGCCTCGGCAGGAGTGGAATGGACAATTAAACCGTTAAGATTTTATATTTTAAATAATGATAGCATAAGCAAAAGGGATAAAGCTGCTGAAGAAGAGTTAGATTTTGATATACATTGATCTCTGTTGTATTATTAAAAAAAAAATTTCTATAAGTAATATTATGTTGTTTTATTAATATTATCTGTTATGAAAAGTTCAGAGACCATCGAAAAATTGAAAAATATTTTGATTATAATTTAATGTCTGAACGAATTAACCTAAAAAACGATTATTGCTCTCACTCCCAGAGTCCAGATTTTTGTAAACATAACCTCATTAAACAAATTAAAATTGTATTAAATGTGTACGTTTGAAATACAAGGCGAATGCAGAAGACTTTTAAAGGAAGATTTCAACAAATCATGCCAAGATTTAGCAATTTACCTTCTGGGAAAAACTTTAGCTCGAAAATTAAAAAGTGGAGAAATTTTAAAAGGGCAAATAGTCGAGACAGAATGTTATTTAGGTGGTGAAGATAAAGCTTCGCATTCTTATAACGGCAAGTATGTTACATTAAATTATTACTTATTATATATGGTATATTATTTTAATGTCTTATATTTCATAAATCCATAAATCGGCCTAACAAAGATTAACTAAACGAAATGAACCCATGTATATGTCTGCCGGAACTTTATACGTTTACACAATATATTTCGGATATCATTGCCTTAATATTTCCAGTATAGAACCAGGCGCTGTAGTTTTACTTAGGGCCTTAGAACCCAGGTTGGGGATAAACATTATGGAAAATTACAGAAGTATATTAACATTTCTAACAAATTTTCTAAATTTATAGGAAATTTAAGTTCTAGGAACAAAAAGAAAAAATCAAGTCACAGGAATTAAGTCCGTTAATCTCTGTAACGGGCCTTCAAAACTGTGTATTGCTATGAATATAACGAAACAAAATGCGAACAAGTTAGATTTAACAGATTTGTTAAATGATCGGCTGTGGATAGAAGATGGCCCTTCTATAAATGGGGGACGTATTGTAAATTCTACTCGAATTGGAATTGGACCATCTGCTGAAGAATGGGTCTTAAAACCTCTAAGGTATTATATCTTGACTAATAAGAGTGTTAGTAAAAGAGATAAAAATGCCGAGGGACATATTTGCAGCAAATAAAGTACCTATTGTTATTTTTCTTCTTTATTTAATAAATATATGTTGAATTTTGTTCACTTTTTAATTTTAAATCAAATTTATTACGAGTATTGAAGCTCATTAGCACATAATTAGTAAATGGTTTCTGATAAGGTAATCAAAATATTGAAATTCAAAATTCAAATTACACTTAGGTCACGAAGTACAAACACGTGATTTGTGAACAATAACTTGTATGGTAATTGTCCCATGACATCTAATGTATGTTAGCTGTTAGGTATGGATTTTGTTAATTGTAAGTCTTAGTCGATAATGTCGGTATTGTTGGTGTCGGTATGTTAGGGTTCTACATGTGTTTCCGAGACTGACTTTTTTCAAAGCTTTGAAAAATAACGGTCTCCATGATTTGTGTGTTGACTGTGTCAGGTGAAGATTATTATTTTGTTGTTTATCAAAAAATTTTTTGACAAATTTGTAAATATCTACCATATATACATCTGTTTTACATATAATGAACTTGTAACTTTACGGAACCGTATCTGATTCGAATACAAACCGTGACATAAAATTCTTAAATATGGTGAAAAGTAAACGTGATTTGAACACCCCTCGTCGAAGGGATTCCTTGACAAAGAATAGGGCCATTGCAAGAACAGTTTCCCGGCCGACCTCTGCCGCTGTACAGGTAGCAGCGGTCCAGCCTGTAGTACCAAATATTAGAGTAGTTGTTAGAGTAAGACCTCCAAATGAAAAGGAACAAGGAGAAAATTGTAGGTAAGTAATTAATACCTTTTATGTGTATAACATTGTTCTACTAAAGTTATAAATTCTAGGATGGTAGTTAAGGTGGTAGATGATCAGATGCTGATTTTTGATCCGAAGGAAGATGCTCAAGCATTCTTTTTTCATGGTGTACAACAGCGAGGACGAGATTTACTTAAAAAATCTCATAAAGATATGCAGTTTATGTTTGATAAAGTGTTCTCGAAGGACTCGAATAATGAGGATGTTTTTCAAAATAGCACACATTCATTAATAAATTCCCTTATGGATGGATATAACTGCTCAGTGTTTGCGTATGGCGCAACCGGTGCTGGTAAAACGCACACGATGACAGGGAAACCAGAAACTCCCGGAATTACATTTCTTACAATGACGGAACTGTTTCGAAAACGTGATGAACTTACTATAGAAAGAGAATTTGAACTTGGTATTACATATTTAGAGGTATACAATGAACTGGTAAAAGATCTGTTAAATCCTGGATCACCCTTACAACTTAGAGAAGATGGGAAATACGGTGTTATGGTGGCTGGTATTAAAGTGCATAAAATTCAAAAGCCTGAGGAGTTGTTTAGTTTGCTAGATTACGGAAATAAGAATCGGACACAGCATCCAACGGATGCGAATGCTGAGAGCTCCCGATCACACGCTGTTTTTCAGGTGTACCTACACATGACCATTAAAGGAACTGGCGAGGTAAGTCGTTTATGATTATATTTCACTTAGTTACATGTATCTGCGTCAATTTAAGGTACAAACCGCAAAACTAAGTATGATAGATCTAGCGGGTAGCGAACGAGGCTCCGCAACCGGCTACGTGGGCGCCCGTTTCACGGAGGGGGCTAACATCAACAAGTCTCTCCTCGCGTTAGGAAACTGCATTAACAGCTTAGCTGATGGTCAGCGGCACGTTCCCTATCGAGATTCGAAACTTACCCGTCTCCTAAAAGACAGTCTAGGTGGCAACTGTCAGACGGTTATGATAGCCAACGTGTCTCCGTCTTCGCTGAGTTTCGAGGACACCTACAATACACTAAAATATGCCACACGAGCTAAGAAGATCAAGGCGAACATTAAAAGGAACGTCGTCAACGTGGAATTGCACGTCGGGCATTACGTAAAGATGGTGGAAGACTTACAGAAGGAGAATAGCTCTTTGAAAATACAGCTCAACGACGAAAAGAGTAAAAATTGTTGTAACGAGGCCCTGCAAAGTGAATTCGATAAGTTGAAAGCTCAGGTTGATAATATTTGTGTGCAAGGCGGGCGAATTGTCGATGAGGAGCTGAAGGATACGGTCAAATCGCTGGTTCAGGAGAAGAAGGACGTTCTCGAGAGGCAGTTTCAGCTCTTGAAAAGTGAAATGGGGACCAACTTGAGAAGGTACTGTAATTTTTATTTTTTTTGTTTGTTTTTCACGAACTAAACACAATTCTGTACGATTGGTACGTAATAAAGACACAAACAACGTCATATATTCGATATTTTAGGAGGATAAAAGAAGAAATAGATGCTAGGTTGAGCGATGTTTGTACAAACACGCCCGAGAAAAAGGAGGCTCACAGGAAGATATCCAACATGGTGGACCGGTTCAAAAAGCAAGAGACTGCTATAAAGGGCGATATAGCGTTGACCGAAACCACAAGGTTGGAAGTAGATAAAAAAATTGACGATCTAGTCAAGGAACACCCCGAGCTGGAAACGTTTGTTGAATTAGAGACGAAAAAATTGGAGATTTTTGCCTTGGAGCAACAGGTGAGTCTTGAACTTATTTTTTAGACGCAAATCTATAACTTTAGTCCGATGGACTATATTTTACAAAAATTCTGTCAAATAATTTTACAGATATAATTAAAATACAGACAAATATAAAATAAATAATGAAAAATGGTAAATGAAAAAAAAAATCTGTGATGATATTTTCTAATGAGCTATATTTTACGAAAGTTCGTTCAAATACTTGGACCGTGAATTAATTCTGAGGGATTTTTTTTTACTAATTCGATTCTTTATTGTGAAAAATTGTGTAGCCCAGTTACTGTACTGTACTCCAAATTTTTTATAACGGCATCCATTTTTCTCAAAATTTAGAATTAGGCTCATCTTACCCCCCACTTCAAAACTTATATATGCGCTAGGTGTGCTTTTTGTTCTTAAGGAGTGAAAGCCACCCCTTATTGGAAAAAAAAAAGAAAAAATACAAATTTAAGCATTTTATGCAATCAAATATTTTTTATTTATGCAGTATGAGTAATTTCATGTATTATCTAACATGAAACTTAATGTATCCCAAGTTTTCAACCCGGAAAAACCTTTAAAAACCATCCCTTTGGATGAAAATAATATAAAAAAATTTTTTCAACTTGAAACGTTTTAATCATGCATTGTTGTCAAATTAAAATTGATTCTTTTTATCGATTGCAACTTTTCAACCCTTGAAAAATACCCCTTCTTTCGAAAATAAAATGAAATAAAATGTATAAAATAATTTTGAATTGATTGCAACTTTTCAACCCTTAAAATTAAGTATATATCATAATATAGTGCTGGTTTATTCGAATATACACATACTAAATACGTATATATACAAGAAAGATCTAAATTCTTCAAAATTCTTGTTTAACCTAAATTTTCCTAAAATTATCATCAATACACATTATTTTTTTTACGATAACTCTCTTACTTTTTAAGATTTTTAATCGCACAAAGGCTCATATTGCAGGGAATTGTAAGGGTTACGTGAACTGTTGAGTTGATCTTTTTTTAAGCCCTTCATTTTTACGTTTGAAGGGTTTAAAGGGCTCGAAAAGGGTGGTTCTCTCATTCATATGATAACTTAAAATGGCGATATCTCGATTAATATTAATTTTAGAGGAATAATAAATATAAGCAAAATCATCAGCAACAATAAAGCTAAATTTTTTTACTCTTGTATTTTTTTCGTACACCCTTTAATTTTTAAGTTACAGCATAAAAATCGAATATTTTTCAAAAATTAAGTTTTTTTTCGAAAACATCTTTGTAAGTGAGACAAAGACCCAGAACATATTCTTAGAACATAATTGAAGAAATCTGTAAATGGATTGCATTTAATTTTAATTCTGTCGCCAAAGGCACTGATTTGTTTATTTTTTCTTAAAAAAAACTATCATGTTATTTCGATCATATTTCTGTTAATTTTGATTCTAAAGACTTTTAAAACAGCTCATTTTAAAGGTTTTAAAAATGGTGCAAATAGTTTTTTCCTAATATTTATGGTTTTGGCGTTATTTAACGTTGACTGCTTCCAATTTAATTTTTAGCTAACATATAATAATGTTTAAAAATCCATAACTCGGTTTATATTGCAATTAGAGAAAAACAAAATAATGCCATTAGATTTGTTTTTTTATTACCTTTCATTTTGTTCATTACAACTTTTTCGTTAAATCTAATGGTTTCAGAGTTATTTGCAAAAAACTATCCGAAAACAAACACTTCTTCAGTAAAAAATCAACATTTTCAATGACGCATTACTCGGAAAGTATTGAATTATCCACAAAACTTTATATAACATTTGTTACTTAAAATTGACTCCTTTATCAGGTGGCGGGATTTAGCTAATAAATAAGTAAACATTGATCTGAGTACTAATAAATATTTACAATTCCTTTTATCTTAATTTTTTTCCGAATATCTACTCCAGAAGCCTTCTTTATCCATCCTATTGAATCCAAATGTCTCTGTGCAGTTAGTAGCTAGTTTTTTTTTTACGAACGAATGTGCTCTATTTGTCTGTTTAAGCTCGAAATCGAACAGAGGCAGTCCAGCCTTCTCATGGAGGACCACACGGAGAAATGTACGCTTCTTGAAAAGATGGCGGCGTTCGTGAAACCATGCTACCTTACGCTGAAAGGCCACGGTTTCGTGACGTCCACGCTCACAAAACAATACCAGGAAATAGTGCTGGACTACCAAGGCCGAAAGAACATAAAGTGGGCGCAGATCCCAGATTCCGGCATCGGTTCCTCTTCCACCCTCGGAGACGGCGAGGAGACCAAATCGAACAATAACAAGAGAAAGATAGACGAGCCGGCAGTAGGCACTACCCTGGACAGCACCTTCACCATGTCCATAAACTTAACCCCGAACAAACCCAAAGCGAAAATGTGTGCCGAACAGCTCATGTCAAAAGGTGGGATTGGGTATAATTATTTGGGGGCGTTAGCTTCGGAAATTATTCACGGGGTGTTTTGTTCTGCTACAATTAAGAAAAATTGAAGTGTACTTAAGCGAGTCTTCATTAAATAATTTTTTTAATGAACGTTTTTCGTTGGTTTATTTTCTTTACTAAAAAAAAAAAATTGTTGCGGTAGAATTGAAAAAAATTTAATTCATATTTTTTTTGCATTGAAAGCTTCCGCAGTCGTTGTATTATTTTGTGACGTAATATGTTGTTATATTTTTAGTTTTTAAGCCACCGCCAGCCAAAAGGTTAGTCAGTGGTTTATCCCCTAGGTCGCCTAGGGCTAAGGACAAGGCACTGAGGAGGCCATTCGGAGCGATCGATTCCACAAGAACGGTACTGTCGGCGAAAAGTAAGTCCGGGTTAAGAGGTATGTGTTTTGTCTTTTGCATGTGTAGCCCAGTAGCGATTTGGTGTTGGAAAATTAATTTTTGTGACAGGCTCATCAGATATATCCCACTTCTGATTTTGCTTTTTTGACATTTTTACTTCCTATAAATACATTTAAATAATTCATAAATACAAATTTTAATTTAGTTTATGTTTGCAAAAATATTTTTTTACATACAAAGTGTATTATATTTTAAATAGGGATTGTACTGATGAATAACAGAGTATGGGGTCGTAGTCTGCAGAGTAGTTGATTCCCATTATTACATAAAATATTTAATTTCTGCATGAAGTCTAGTTAAAATATAAAGGATTTACTTTATGGACGAAATTATACAAATTAAAATATACTAGTGTTTAAAGTTTTTCATTTTTAACACTAGTGTGTTAAGTTTTACATATTGCAAACAATTTAAAATATAAACATTTTATTTTATGGACTAGTGTGTGAAGTACTAATTTTATGCACGAAATTATACAAATTAAAATTACGCACTAGTGTTTAAAATGTTTCACTTTTAACACTAGTGCGTGAAGTTTTACATACCATAAAAATCGAATATTTTTCAAAAATTAAGTTTTTTTTCGAAAACATCTTTGTAAGTGAGACAAAGACCCAGAACATATTCTTAGAACATAATTGAAGAAATCTGTAAATGGATTGCATTTAATTTTAATTCTGTCGCCAAAGGCACTGATTTGTTCTNATTTTTACTTCCTATAAATACATTTAAATAATTCATAAATACAAATTTTAATTCAGTTTATGTTTGCAAAAATATTTTTTTACATACAAAGTGTATTATATCTTAAATAGGGATTGTACTGATAAATAACAGAGTACGAGGTCTTAGTCTGCAGAGTAGTTGTTTCCCACTAATACATAAAATATTTAATTTTCTGCATGTAGTCTAAAATATAAAGGATTTATTTTATGGACGAAATTTTACAAATTAAAATATACGTAATTACACACTAGTGTTTAAAGTGTTTCACTTTTAACACTAGTGCGTTATGTTTTATAAACTGTAAACCAAATGTTTAAATTAAAATATAAACAATTTATTATATGTACGAAATTTTACAAATTAAAATATAATTACGCACTAGTGTTTAAAGTGTTTCACTTTTAACACTAGTGCATTAAGTTTTACATACTGTAAACAATATGTTTAAATTAAAATATAAACAATTTATTTTATGTATGAAATTTTACAAATTAAAATATAAATAATTACGCACTAGTGTTTAAAGTGTTTCACTTTTAACACTAGTGCGTTAAATTTTACTACTGTAAACAATATGTTTAAATTAAAATATAAACAATTTATTTTATGTACGAAATTTTACAAATTAAAATATAATTACGCACTAGTGTTTAAAGTGTTTCACTTTTAACACTAGTGCGTTAAGTTTTACATACTGTAAACAATATGTTTAAATGCGATTTGTTGTATGGACTAGTGCGTAAAGTATTAATTTTGTGCATGAAATTATACAAATTAAAATTACGCACTAGTGTTTAAAATGTTTCACTTTTAACACTAGTGCGTGAAGTTTTACATACAGTACAGTGTGGGTAAAGTTAATATTTGATGCACAGTAGTAGAAAAAATTTATCTGTACACTGCAAATTTTTTATGAAATCGTAATTGTTTTAGTTTTTATATTCACTTTAAATAGATGCGTTTTACACACTAGAGTATAAAATATTTAATTCTATTCACTCGTGTATATAAACAATTTATTTATACACTAGTGTGTATAGTCAGTATTTTCGTTATTTGAATTAATTTTGCAACAAAACGAACTACGCTTAATGATACATATTCGTTTAAATAAAATACCACTTTAAATGTATTTCCTTGCAGCCGGCACCAAATTAACGACAGCACAGAAATCCCTAGCAGATCGTCCCCGTTTTAGGAGGTAAACCACACTCAACAGTCACTCGAACGTCCGCTAATCCACGTTTTTTTTTTTCTTCCAGTTAATGAACCGTAACCAGTCGACACCAATATACCTTATATAACGTTATAGTTTGCAATAATTAACATATTTATTTATAATTCTTGCTTTTATATTAGCTTTTCAGAGTTTATTGTAAATAAATCGATTATTTTATATTTTAAGTATCGTTTAACTGCCCGAATCGCGATAGGGCTCGAATCAGATTTTCTTCGGCTGTAGGTCCTTGGCGCGTTAGCTCTCTAGCCCGTACGACGTTTGTAAGCCTGGCACGGTCCAATATTACGAGGAAACCCACGACTAACACTGCGAACACCACTGCGGCACCCAACAAGACCAGCTGGAGGACGTAGTGGGGCATCATGTGGTGGCCGTTGCTCGTCACGATCTCGCAGAAGCGGTGAGCGTGTCCGTAGTGGTTCATATTTAGATTTTATTATAACTTTATTTTGATCTGAGTTTGTAATAATATTAATAAAGATGTATTTTTGTAGCGATCGGTTCTTTCAGTTGTATTTATAAGGTCCGGTCGCGGTCTGGCGGCGTAATTTCGGTGTCTGTCACGGGGGCAGCCGAGCGTTTGAGATTTGTCACGATGCCCGAAGGTATTGTTGGGCGTATAAAGGTTTGGTATAATTAGGATAATTATTGGGTCGGAAATGCATTATTTTGTAGAGAGCCGTTATCGTTTTGTAGAAAACTGGGTTTATTCTAGTTTGACGTGATATGAGGAGTTAACGGCTTAGAATTTAGGCATTTTTTAATACAGGGTGTCCAGGAAATGGCGGGCAGTCTCTTAGATACGGGTAGGCCATGGAAATGTAACAATTTTATATCATTCTCTTGTTTTATTCCAGCTCACCCTGTAGAGTTATTCGCTCTTGAAGCTGAGAGTTGAAGATCGATTTTTAATTGTAATTTTTTCTGATTTTCATTGAATTTGAGTAATTTTTGAGTAAAAGCTGTGTATTTACCGATAACCACATTCGGCCCCAGCATTTTAGAATAAAAATTTTTTTAAAAGTGTCACTATTTCGAGACTTGTAATTTTTTAAGCAAAAAAAAGGTATACTTGTTTGTTGTCAGTACAACAAATGAGTTCCAAGATAAAAGCATTTAACGATAAAGATACTGTATTATTTACGATATATATTTTAATAAAAAAAAAACTTAAAAACAACAATTATTTTGCTGCATAAAATCATAAAAATCACTAATTTTCGTTCTCAATAATTCAGACTACCATAATTGTCAAACGCGCTTATTCTGGAAACGGTTCATCCCGAGCCTAGCCCAAGAACAAGGACAGGTCAACGACTCCAAGCAGTGAAAAAAAAGTAACGATACAAGTTAAAATTTAATTTATTTAAAGAAAAACAACATATTTTTTTAATTCCTATTCATAACTGAGAACAAATCATTATTTGGAAACTGGTTAAAACTTTTTATTCCTACGTACTAATCGATGAAGGCAAATTTAGAATTTTTCTTACCACTTCTCCATATTTTGTGACGCTATATTCGCTCTCACCTGAAAAACACGGATATGTATTTAGACAACAATTGCAGATAATATTTTTCACCTTCGTTCATAAGGAACGTAACAGCATCAGAATATTCCGAAACGTTCGGAATCTCCTCCGATAATCTTCCGAAAATGGCCTCAATGCTTGCTTTAGACGCATTTTTGTTCCAGTCGTAATATTCCATGTCTGCCTCGGATTTCAACTCTTCCCACGGTTCAACTTTCTAAATGAATTAAAAGTTACAAGTTATCCAAAATTTAAACAATTTTCTTACCCATGACTCATGATAAAGTGCAGTGATCAAGTACATGGCGTAGTCATAATTTTGCTTCTTCAGAGGGCATCGGTTTGTTATTATCGTTACTGTGTCACTTTCCTCATCATACTTTTCACCGACTAACCTTAAAAACTTGTCCCGTGCTCTCTGAGTAAGCTGCAAAGCAGATAATTTGAATTGTACGTTAACTATTCTAGCCAGTGGATCTCTTATCGACGGGGACGAATGACAGTAATCGCTGGAAATTACTTCAATTGGAAAATGCTTTGCACATTTTCCGTCCGTGTTTAGAGCTTTTGGCCAAGGTGTGCAGAACTTCTTCAAAGCTTCACACTGTCTTTTTATTACAGGAGGAGTAAGGTGAAGGAAATTGGGTATTTTCATTAATTCTGCATTTGCATATTTATCTGGAGACGCCCCTTTCTCCGCGTAACCTTGTCGTATTGGTAAAGGGACAGTTGCCGGATGGAATGATCTGGGACCTGGCCACACGCTCCCCCAGTCTTGATCAACAGCCATTTTATTCGCTCTGTAATTATAAAGTAGTTTATCATAATTTTTATATTTAGAATTGAGAGTTACCTAGGGGGCAAAACTTCTATTTTTCTAGGCGGCTTTCTTTGTTGAACTTGCCCCCTAACATGTTTCAGATTTAGTACTCGAAATTCATCTAAAACTAATTATTTTAAGAAAAATTGTTTAAAGCGTGTAGCGGTAATGATACCTTTTATATCATTTTTTGGTTCTGCTGCATTGGAATAGCAAGCTACTATCTGCTTTTCTACATTTCTCAAAAAAATTTTGTCTAAATTTCTCGAAATACTCATCATTTTTTTAGGTTAAGTTCAAGGCAAGGCAAACATTTTGACATTTGATGACCAGTTATGACAACAGCGCAACAAAAAAAATTGATATTTTTATAAATTTAAGATTAAAAAAAAATCGGTATATATTTGGAAAAAATGTTGGAAATATATTCGTTGTTGTATTTTGAATACACAACTAGTAAGTCAGTGTACTATATTTGAAAAAATCTAAGCTAAGGTACGGAGGAAATACGTATAAGCACCTGAAAAGTTTTTTTAGTAATAATTAAATAATTAATTAGCTAAGTATTCGTTAAAATAAATTTGTTCTGAAACTTTTTATTGTTTGCAAATTACAATAATTACACAGTATTTATGTATTTTAAATCGGCTAGGATTTTTGAAAAAGCGTTACTTGTTTTTAAGTTGGCTGTGGTCACGTGACCATCTGTCAAATGTAATCGTGCGGGTGCCGAGCATCTTACAGAAAAAATTGTCACGTCTGGACAACTGTTAAAATTGAAGTGAAACTCGAACCAGCATCACAAAATGGAAATAAGGAAACTGATAGATTTACTAAGGGCCACGATAGACCCCAACCAACGGCAGCAGGCCGAAGCCCAGCTCGATCAGGCAAGTAAAACATGTGCTTGATGCGGCATGTTGCTGCTATTGTTCCGCATTAGAAAGTTATTAATAAATGCGTTCCTTAACAGATCCACAAGATAATAGGCTTCGCTCCGTCGCTGCTTCAAGTAGTCATGATGGCAGACTGTGATATGCCTGTCAGACAGGCAGGTGCAATTTACTTGAAGAATCTCATTTCCAATAGCTGGCAAGATAGGGAGGCGGAGGCAGGTCAGCCTATGCCCTTCGCCCTACACGAGCAGGACAGGGCCCTTATACGAGACAGTATAGTAGATGCCGTTGTTCACGCCCCGGATTTGATTAGAACACAGCTATGCACTTGCGTCAATCATATGGTGAAACATGATTTTCCAGAGAGATGGACGCAGATCGTTGATAAGGTTTGTTTCGATAATTATAACTTTCGCACTCGTATTCTTATAATGCAAATTAGGTGGTTGCTGACAGTTTTCTTCAAGAACTTTTTATTCAGTCGTATTTAATGCGGTGAAATGTTCAGTTTCAACAAATTAAGTGAGATAAAAACAATATTTATGGAAGTATTTCATTTTTAAAGTGGCATCGTATATTAAAATGTTAATTTAAAGTATTATGTGGGTCATAATGTTTAGAACATTTTGTCGTATATGGTTTTACCTAATACCTCACATATGATTGTATAAAAACCAATTCCTAATATTTCTATTTAAATTTTTAATAAGAATTCATTAAGGTTTAGGGGGAAATTAAAATTTTTTCAAAAATCGTGAGGTTTTGAAGAAAATATTTACATTTTTCTTACATTATGAGTGTCTGTTTGACTTTGTATGTATTTGAAAAATCATATGGTCTCCGTGCCGGTTTTCAACAATTAAGTAGATTCTTTCCTGTTTTTGACATATTGCCGCTTGATTTCGACCACCCATTTTTAGTTATAAATAGAACAAAACTGATATCAATGTGATAAGAAAAAGGTTTATTGGAGAATATGTTTGAAATGTGGGAGCAAATTTGTATTTCTTGCCATTAATGTGGTCCAAATAGTGAGTTAAAGTAAAACAGAAGATATCTGACCATCATTAAATAAAAAGTGGCAGAGAAATTTGAACAAAAATGCGAAAAGAACCGTGAGTGAGGGAAATTGTGGTCAAAAACAGGGAAACCGGGAAAGCAATAATTATCCAGTCTTTCTTATTCTTGCTCGACTTCTACAAAGTTAGTTGAGAACCGGTATTGGTCGTATAACTGACACAGTGACCCTACCGTCCGCAAAACCAAGTCGAACTCACATTTACAGATAAGCGTTTATCTTTCAAATCCTGATCCAAGCGGTTGGCACGGCTCCCTGCTTTGCCTCTACCAGCTGGTCAAGAACTTTGAGTATAAGAAGGCAGAGGAAAGAGGACCTCTGCACGAAGCTATGAACCTGCTTTTGCCTCAGCTGTACCAACTGGAAGTTCGTCTGTTATCCGATCCGTCGGAGCAGTCCGTTCTGCTTCAGAAAGAAGGCCTAAAGGTCTATTTTGCTCTTACTCAGTACATTTTACCGTTGGATCTAATCAGCAAGGATGCCTTTGCCCAGTGGATGGAGGTTTGTAGGCAGGTGAGTTTAAACTGACAATTTGACTCTGACAATACACTTGTACTGAATAGAAAAGTAATTTGTTTATTTTTTTTATATTTTCTAATTATTCTTCACGTTACGTTGGAACGTTAATTATAAAGACAAATAGGTTGTGGAATTATCGTTAATTCTTAATTTACATAGTTCAGTAATAGAGATAGGCAGAATGGAAGTAAGGTTTGCTTTAAATTGATTCATCAAGGTTAAATGCATCCTAAAATAGTGTTCTGGAATTCGGATGGAGGGAAGAATTTATTTTCATTCTTTTATCATTTCTACATTTAAGTTATTATATGTTTACTTAACCTTTAACGTCAATTTTACGTTACACATTGAAAAATTTTGCTCGAATAAATAAACATGGATTTTTAATCGCCCAAAGCAATGTTGAAATTTTTCTTTCAATCGGTAAGAATGTCAATGAAATTAAAGAAGCATTTCATTTTAAATAATGGGGTGTAAAATTTATCTATACACTGTGTGTTTAAATAAAAAATTGTACAGTATCTAGTACAGTTTTTATAAGGTATATAAAAATATAACTACAATCTTTAATAGTTATTTTAGTACAAAAAAGGATGGTAATTTTTTTAATTTGTAGAGACAATATAAGTAGTTATTTTTAATTCTATATTGCGAAGTGCCTTTTTTGCGTTTGAAAATTGATTTGTGGATGCAAAGAACAATTTTCACATCTCAATTAACTTATTTGACATCTAATGCTATTCGTGACATCTGTTTACATATTTACTTAATAGGATCTTTAAATTTGAAGGGAGCATAATGAATGAACCGGAAAATTGTAAATTGTGTCTGTATTTAACTTGTAAACGGTAAAATATTCTTATGTCTTGTATAAAAAAGACTTTGTGTATTGCAGAAATAAAAAATTTGTTTTGATTCTTAAGAGGTGTTGAATAAAAGTCAACTCTTTAATAACGTTCTCGAAAAATAACATTGGGTCCAGATTTTAATCGAAAAACTTAACAAATTTTATTAATGTAAAAGTGGGCTTTGTTTTTCGCTGGGGCTAAATTGAAATATAACACTTTTCCATTGACTAACCCGTGAGAAATTCCTTACGCTAACTGCGAAATGACTTTCTTGAAGGTTGTGGAGCGTGCGGTCCCCCCCGCGGCTCTCCTGCCTGACGAAGACGAACGGCCCGACCTGCCCTGGTGGAAATGTAAAAAATGGGCCCTCCACATCCTTTACCGCATGTTCGAGAGGTACGGTTCACCCGGACACGTCACTAAAGAGTACAACGAATTCGCCGAGTGGTACCTGCAAACGTTCAGCGCCGGCATACTGGAGGTTCTGCTGCGCGTCCTCGATGGTTACCGTGGGGGACACTGGGTGCCGCCGCGCGTCCTCCAACAGACGCTGAACTACCTCAACCAGGCGGTGTCTCACGCCCATACGTGGAAGATCTTGAAGCCGCACATGCCCGCTATTATACAGGACGTTCTGTTCCCGCTTATGAGCTATTCGGCGGAGGATCACGAGCTGTGGACCGTCGACCCCCATGAGTACATTCGCGTTAAGTTTGGTAAGTGGTGATTTTTCTCTCATTTTTTTAGTATGGTTCATTTCTATTGTTAAGAATGATTTTTTTTTAAATGTGTCACGTTGCACCGTCGTTTCTAGATGTATTCGAGGATTTCGTCTCGCCCGTCACGGCGGCCCAAACCCTATTGCACTCCTCGTGTAAGAAACGCAAAGAAATGCTCCAAAAGACCATGGTCATGATCACTCAAATCCTCACCAACAACGCCACGGAACCACCCCAGAAAGACGGGGCTCTCCACATGGTCGGCTCCTTGGCGGACATCCTCCTGAAGAAGCAGATGTACCGCGAGCAACTCGATCAGCTCTTCATAAAGTACGTTTTCCCCGAATTTAACAGCGACCGGGGCCATATGAGGGCCAGGGCTTGTTGGGTCCTCCATTACTTCGCCGAGTTTAACTTCAAGCAAGAGAACGTCCTCATGGAAGCTGTGAATTTGACGGTCCGCGCTTTACTGTTCGATAAGGACCTTCCCGTTAAAGTAGAGGCGGCCATAGCTCTCCAATCGATGCTGAACTACCAAGAGAGGTCTCACAAGTATATCGAGCCCCAAGTGAAGCAGATCGCCCTGGAATTGCTCACGATTATCCGGGAAACGGAAAACGAAGACGTGACGGGCGTCATGCAGAAACTGGTGTGCGTCTTCACGCAGCAGCTCGTGCCCATCGCCGTGGAGATATGCCAACACCTCGCGACGACCTTCAATCAGGTGTTGGATACCGACGAGGGTTCCGACGAGAAGGCCATCACCGCCATGGGTCTCTTGAACACCATCGAAACGCTCTTGACCGTAATGGATGAACAGCCGGAGGTTATGCGACTGCTGGAGCCGACCGTGCTCCAGGTGATAGCGCACGTTTTACAGAATGCCGTGCAAGAGTTCTACGAAGAGGTGCTGGCGCTGATCTACGACCTGACCAGTAAGCAGATCTCGCCGGATATGTGGAAGGTGTTCGAGCTGATCTATCAGGTTAGTATCGTTTCGAAACTTGGAAATTTGGTCCTTCGGGAACTGGATTTTGTAATCGGTGACTAATTTAAAAATTCCCCAGGTATTTATGAAGAACGGCATAGACCACTTCACCGACATGATGCCCGCCTTACACAACTACATAACCATAGACACGGATGCCTTCCTGTCGGACGAACAGCGGCTGCTCGCCATCTACAACATGTGCAAGGAGATCCTCACCAAGGACTGCGGCGAGGATCCGGAATCTCACGCCGCCAAGCTACTCGAGGTGATCCTGCTCCAGTGCAGGAAGAAGATCGACCAAGCGGCCCCCATGCTGGTCGAGCTGGCGGCCACCCGACTCCTCAGGGAGGTGAAGACCAGCGAGCTGCGCACTATGTGCCTGCAGGTGCTCATCGCCGCCCTGTACTACGACCCCCAGCTGCTGTTCTCCGTACTGCAGAAGATGCCCGACTTCACGAATCACTTCGTAAAGCAGTGGCTGCACGACACCGACTGCTTCCTGGGCATCCACGATAGGAAGCTGTGCGTCCTGGGGCTCTGCACGTTGATCGCCATGCCTAATAAGCCGCCGGCGTTGATCGAGATGGCGCCCAAGGTGGTGCCCTCGCTCATATTGCTGTTTGAGGGACTGAAGAGGGCATACGCGGCCAAAGCGGCCGAGGCGGCCGAGGAGGAGGACAGCGAGAGTTCGGAAGGCGAAATTGAAGGCGGTAAGTTTATTTATTTATAAGCTGTTTAAATTTAACCTATAAAAGTTAATTTTGCGAAACATCTTGTCTATAAAGTTTGGACAAGCATTTGGTTATCGAATGTACAATTTTTCACGTAAAAAATGCAATAAACGGAATAAAATTTAAAAAAAAAATTCTCCGAGGCTTCCATCTTACAAAGAGTTACTTTTTAACTAATGGTGTCGTGGGAAACAACTACCGCGCCGATTACATAGTATCTACGGAATGGTAGGTCAATTCACCAGTAGGTACAACGCAATATTTTGTGCTAGTAGGCATCGAGTAGCAATGACATTTAATACACTTTGTAGGTTATATCTCACTCGTATTTTCTGAATATACCTCTTACATGTATTTGCTGTTCCATCTTTGTTCCTTTTTCATGATGAAAACTATTTTAGGTTAGTCGAAACTGCTTCGGCCAGTTGCAAACGCGACGTCACTGATTTCAAACCAAGAACTTATTGTTTTAATTGCAGTTTAATTCAGTTGAAATTGGTGCAACACCAGAAACGGTCTCTGATCAAAATTAATTCCAAGATCCTCAAATTCCGTCCACCCGGCCGGTTTGTTACCCTTTGAAGTAATTTTCTTTGCAACAGTCACCGAGTGAATCAATCTTAGCGAATAATTTTAAGTAATCGCCATGTATAATACAGCATTCATACAAACGTTTCAATAAAAATCATTAATAAAAACGACAAACAAGGAGGGGTCCTGTAACTGACCCTTGTGGAACACCTGTCCCCACACCTGCGTCTGCAGATTTGTAACCAATCATTTAAGGCTCTAATGTCCGAAAAATGTTAAACAGGTAAACTATGTAGAGCCTTTGACAGATTACGTCGACATTTGCAACTTTTAGAGTTCTCTTATTGCTTCCGTAGATATACTCAGCTCCGACGAGGACGAAATCGACGACCAGGGTCAGCAGTACCTCGAGAATCTCGCCAGGAGGGCCATAGGGGCCGACGCGCCCCAGGGTATGAACGTAAGTACCACGATAAACGACATCGACGACACTTCGGAGGACGACGACTCCGACTTCGAGCCGAACGAGGAGACCGTGCTCGAATCTTACACGACCCCTCTGGACGAGGAAGACTGCGACGTCGATGAATATCAGGCGTTCAAACAAGTTATGACAGGTAGTGTACCGTAAATTTAGCCGAAGCCGTCGGTTAGTATTTTCAAGGAAACATTTCCGTTTGCTTTGCAGCTATTCAAGGTCAGGATCCGGAGTGGTATAACGCGTTGACGTCCAATCTGTCGGAACAGCAGTTGAAGACGTTGGGCGAGGTGTGCGTTTTGGCCGAACAACGAGCCGCGGCTAGGGAAAGCAAGAGGATCGAACAGCAAGGAGGTGAGTCGTTTAGAACCCGACAAAACAACGTAATTCTCGTGTCATTAGGGAGTGCTTTGGTTTTATCGTTTACTTCGTGTTTTGTATGTGTAGAATGCCATTACATGATTTTTACGAGAGGAAATTTTCACGTTTAGCTTGTTTTTTTTATTTATTTTGTGGTATTATTACGTAACGTGCGATAAAATGACACGAAACGATTTTTATTATCAAAAAAAACAGCACCGTTCTAATAGTAGTTCAAAGACACATTGTTTATCCTTGTTTTAATAGTATTTGTTTGTTACGGGGATGTACATTTGGCGTTTTAGTGCAGCAGTCATCGTTGTAGGGTATTTGTGCCCGTTTCTTCTTAACGACGGAAGATATTAAATTTTCACCATAGTTATGTTTTGAATTTTGTACATTAAATATCACAAACATAAGAAAACTTCTTTTGGAATTGTTTATTTCACAAATTTCGTTCAAAATTAGTTTGTTGTGAAATTTCTCTGTGAACGTGGAACGGTACCTTACGCCCGAGAGTTTCCCTTCAGAAGTTTCCCGTTAGTGACTCGTCCAATTTCTGTTTCAGGGTACATGTTCACTCAGCAGGCGGTACCAACTACATTCAAATTTGGAGACACCAACTCATGAATAATTTCGTGTTTTTAAATAAATGTAATTTATTGTGACTGAATGTAAAATTGACTATATTGACCAGTGAAGTGATTATTTGTACAGTTTAATCATAAATATCTTTTTTATTTTGATTAAGTGCCTTTTTATTAGATTGTATGTGAAACAGTTTAAATTATATACAGATAAAAGTCACGCTGAACAGCTGTTTTTTTCGATGTATATAGTTTTATTTTAACTAATGGCAGTGTCAAGATACGTTCTGGTTTACTACTTGCAGTAGATTATTGCATTATTTATAGTTGATTGTTTGCAGTTATAAGAGAGGTGTTAATTATATTACGACTATAATTGAATTTTAATAAATATTTTGCTTTGAATCGTTCTCATTTTTTATTAATATATAAATTTTCATAATGAAAAGTCACTTTTTAGATGCCATATTTTACGTCCGCAAATATTTCACAGACTACTTCACATCCACTAATCAGTCGGAATAGATCGGGGGTCGTGAAGTAAAAGCGTATGTGAAGTATTTAATGATGTGAAACATGATATAAGAGGACTCTGTAGCAAATCGACAACCAGCAATACATTTTTATAGATTTTATTACACAGTTTGTGTAAATATGAATTAATGCACAAATAACAGACTTTCCCCCATTTTAAGGCAGATTTTCTATAAAATGGACTTGGTTCGAAACTCAAATTTTCACGTTTAGCTTGTTTTTTTTTTAATTTATTTTGTGGTATTATTACGTAATGTGTGATGAAACAACACAAAACGATTTTTATTATCAAAAAAAAAAAACGGCACCGTTGTAATTGTAGTTCAAAGACACATGATTTATCCTCGTTTTAATAGTATTTGTTTGTTTTGTGGATATACATTTGGCATAATGGAACTTCTCAAAATATGAATTTTCATAATTTAAACAATTTTCTGTCTACCTCACAGTAAAATGCAGTTTTACGAACTCATTTCATGATGAAAAGTCACTTTTTAGATGCCATATTTTACGTCCGCAAATATTTCACAGACTACTTCACATCCACTGTAATCAGTCGGAATAGATCGAGGGTCGTGAAGTAAAAGCGTATGTGAAGTATTTGCTGATGTGAAACATGATTTAAGAGTGCTCTATAGCAAATTGGCAACCAGCAATACATTTTTATAGATTTTATTACACAGTTTCTGTAAATATGAGTTAACGTACAAATACCAGACTTTCCCCCATTTTAACGCAATTTTCTATAAAATGGACTTGGTTCGAAACTTAACTTACTTTTTGGTGTAAATGTGGCAAATTACAAATTTCTTTAAATTAATTTGTAAACCTAATTTGCTTGGTGGACGTTGCGCAGATATATCTTAATGGTACCATTTGCAATACTTAATTTGTCATTTACGAGAAATTGGAAGATTAAATTGCGGGTGGGTTAATATTTAAAGTACGATGGTTTTCCACGTTGTTAGGCCATGGCCTATATACCTGGTCGCTGCCAGTTCCAGACATACATTGCACTTCCTCCGCCTTCACTTGTTCTCGGGCTAGGCTCTATTGTAACAGACCCGCTATCAGCACCTCTAGGCCCATCTTGATGTTCATTTCAGTTATTATTGTTCATTCTAAGGCTGTTACAAACGTAATCATTTGCCGTTCTTCGCTGTTGGCACCTTCAGTGGTGACTACAAAAGCTTCGCCGACAGATCAAAAAAAAAAATTTGACCTCAGGGTCAGCAACTATTAATTTTATTTATTTCACAAAGTTGTTCATAAGTTCCAAGCTTTATTGTGAAAATATGGTTACTTTAATTTTTATTACTGCTTTCTATTGTTAACTTTTGACACCCTGTATATTGAAAGAGGTGGGCCATTATTCCTATATGTACAAAGAATCTGTATTTTGTAACATCCAGTACATATGAAGCGAAAATGTGACCTTTTGATTTTTGTGCAATTTTTAAATAGAAAGTGTCACAGAAAGTGCACTTCAGTTTGGTAAATTTATTTTTTCCGATGATTTACCTTATCGTGCTAATATCTTAATTAAATTATGGAAAATATGAAAAAATTGTAGTTTTTGAGAATTTTATTAAGAAAAGTACCCTCCTATGCTGCTTATAAATGAATAAAAATAAATTAAGATTAAATGGACAACAATAAAACAAACTTAAACTTAATTGAAAAAGCCTTTGTTCCTAAGTTATCATAATTTACAACAATTTGTAGATTTAACACGCGACAATTCTTCACAAAGATTTCGAAAACACCTAAACCTCCCGAGAAACAGCATTTTTCTCAAAATAAAAATAACATTCAGAGGTAGTTCTTCCATTGCTTAAATTTCTTGTTGCAATGCTGCCTAAACTCAGGATCTACAAATGAAAACATTTATCAACTAAAGATTTTTGATTAGATTTACTTTACGTTATAAGATTATCGTTTAACCACTTTAAATGGGGTCCTTGCAAAAGAGGCATTTATTAACTTATAGTAAGTTCTTTCACATACGACAGTCCATCACTTTAAACAACGCTCAAAATAAATACCACCAACATATCCTCCGCGAATGGCCTTTTGAACGTTTTGTTCGAACAATCTTCTGTTGTTTGTCAGCACTTCGGCTGCCTCTTTGTTTAACGGGTCTTCTGGATTAGGTTCCAAGAAGAGATACTGAAGACCGTACACGATGCTATTGATTGTGAGTACAGGTTTCCAGTCTTCACGTAGGATATTTAGACACACGTTTCCTTGTTGATCGATGTTGGGATGGTAAACCTGCGTCTCGCATTTCACTTTTGGTGGCTCGTGCGGATAGTTGGGCCCTACTTTGAAACTAAACACAAATCGTCCTGTTCTGTAAAAGCCCTAAAATATAATTCAATTTTAATTGAAAATATTTCTAAAAATAGTAACTTCAGCATTACTATACATTTAAAAAATAGATATAGGTTAGTTACTATTTTTATCTCATGAATAATATAGACGTCCTATCAATCTGAAACATTAAAACATAATAGAATTTACCTCATCTGGGCAAATAACTAACTTAAATGTTAGGAGGTCATCCGGATCGGGAAATTCTGTTGTGCAAGTTTTCGGAAGGTTTAATTCATTTATATCTGTAAAGGAAAGTTGTATTAGTGTTAGTGATAGACCTATTACAGTTTAACAACCTTTTGTGATTCTCAGTTGGGCAGCAGAGGCCTTTTTCTGGTTACCAGTCCTTGGCGAGGCTTCTCCATCTTTTTTCTGTTGTTTGAGGGAAAATAATTTTATCATATTTGTTTTGATAAGAACTAATTAGCTTAAGCACTAACTAAACGTTTATTTTAAAACATATAAAACAGAAAAATTTATTTATGATGTTGATTTCTTTTTTGTGATTTTTCCGAACTGTCAAAAACACTTATTTGTCACTAGCTGTCAAGGTAAAAATTTTTAAAATCCAATTCTATCTCTTATTAAAAAACAGTAGTCTAAATTAGTAGTAGTAGTAGTAAATTAGTAGTAGTAGTAGTGTACACTTACGAACATGAACATATTGCGTATTTTATAGAAAGTGAATAATTAATTATACTGGAAATCTTTTGAATAAAAATACGTTCTAAACAAAATCCATAATTCTGGCAAATTGATAGGCAAAGAAAAGAGTCACCAATTGTGACAACTTTCATAATGAAAATTATAGTAAACATCGAAAAATCTATTCTAATTGTTAAAAGTAATGGTGAACCCAGTAAAAGTCTAAATAATATCGGAATTTAACTTTATTTTATTAAAACTTCTACACATAATTTCTGATTAATATCCATACTGCTTTATAATTGAGAAGTTGAGACTGGGGTAGAAGAAGAGGAAGAAAATTTTTTATCACTGACTATAAATTTATTCAATGGATGTAGGTGCATGATGGAAAAACAAAACAAGAATGAGTGGGAAATCTAAATAGGTTAAATTTTTTAAAACAATGATTTTTAGGATTAGGAATAAAATAGTATTATCCATACCAAAACGTAAATATTCAGTCAAATCAAATAAGAGGTAAAATATATCTTTCTTTTAATAAATTTTTATATCCAAACATTTTTAGCAACAAATGGGAAAGTGTGGTTGGACTGGAGGTGCATGCACAAATCAATTCAGTTAGCAAACTATTTTCCGGGGCCTCTACCAAATTTTCCTCACCTGTTAACACCAATGTTTCTTTATTTGACTGTGCAATACCAGGCACCTTGCCAGTTCTTAACAAGAGATGTGTCGAAGCTGGCGTATTAACTGCACTAGCTCTGAATTGTCGTGTTAATCCCGTGTCTTCATTTGACAGAAAACATTACTTTTACGCTGACATGCCTGTAAGTAATTACATCCAACGTGAAATACTTTCATTTAAAAATAATAACTCTTAGGCGGGCTACCAAATAACTCAACAACGATGTCCTTTAGCTGTTGACGGTAAACTAGAATTTCATGTATTCACCCCTGGCATCCACAAAACACCTTACAAAGCCAAGTCTAGAATTAAGCAATTACAGTTAGAGCAAGACAGCGGAAAAAGTTTACACGAGACTGATAGAAGCCTAGTCGACTTAAATCGAGCTGGTGTACCTCTCATGGAATTAGTATTTGATCCGGACTTGAAAGATGGAGAGGAAGCTGCGGCTTTGGTTAAAGAATTGATACAAATTTTACGGAGGATTAATACTTGTTCTTGTAAGATGGAAGGTGTTAATGATTAATATTTGCGTTAACAGGAATATTATTGAAATAATTTGTAGAGGGTGCCTTGAGAGTCGACGCAAACGTGTCTATAAATAGGAGAGGCGAGCCTTTAGGGACAAGGACTGAAATTAAAAATATAGGTTCCGTGAGGGGGGTAGCAGCTGCTATACAGTGCGAGATAGAGAGGCAAGTGAAGTTAAAAGAATCTGGAGGAACAGTGGTGAATGAGACTAGAGCATGGGACGCTGTTAAGAAAACAACGGTAGCAATGCGTGATAAAGAGGTGGTTCAGGTAATTCTACAAAAATTAATTTAATACTTATTCTGTTGTCTCTGCAGTCACCCGATTAATCTGCGCCTGCATACATCGCCTAATTTAAAGGTTACATTTTTTAGTGTTAAAAAGTTGGTGAATGACGTTTTTCCTTGTTTTTCTTTTTTGTTAAATGAAAATTAGTTTCAGTCCTTTTCTGGTAACGATGCCTACTTGTTTTGCGATCTTATGTGGCAAAATTTCGAAGATGAGAAAAATTTAGAATACGTGCACAACTTTTTGTTGACAATTTGTTTAGGATTACAGATTTATGCCGGAACCGAATCTGCCACCTTTGTACATTGCTATGGGTCCCGTTCATATAGGTTGCGTAAATGCGGATGAATTAAAAGCAACTATACCCGAACTGCCAGAGCAGACAAGGCAGAGATTGAAAGAGGAAATCGGTTTAACCGCCGAACAGGCTGTCATTCTCGTAGTAAGATTAAATTTTGCCGTTAAAAGTATATATTTGTCACTGATGATTTTTGTGTTTTAAGAACGATTTTGCATTGTTGAACATATTTGAAGAAGCATTGAGACGGAGGGAGATCGATGGTAAACTTTTAGCAAACTTGCTAATACACGACTTAAACACGCTTCTAAATAAAAAGAACTTGGAGCCTGAGTACATGTAAGTTTGTTTTTTAAATAAACTTGAAGTTATTTAAGTGTTATTTATATGGTAGTGAGTGTGAAGCAGATTATTTTGGAGAAATAATAGAACTCTTACAAAGTGGGAAAATTAACAGAAACACAGCAAAGTTGTTGTTGGAAGAAATAATTGTTGGTACTTCAGTTTCTCCTACAAAGGTAAATATATTCTCCATAACGGAATAATTTTACTAATTCGATTTTTTTGTAGATTGTACAGAAGAAAAATTTATCACAAATAACCGATGAAAATGAACTTAGAAAACTATGTGAGGAAGTTATTCAGGAAAACGAAAAATCTGTTAAGGCGTATAAATCGGGAAAAACGAAAGCTTTTAAGGCGTTATTGGGAGCTGTAGCTGGAAAAACTAAGAACAGAGCAGACATGGCTAGGTGTCATGCAATTTTAGAAAAATTGTTAGATAGCTAATAAATTTTTAATTTAGTATTTTACTTACCTATTTTATTTCGCTTTTTTTATGAAATTAAATAATTATTTGCAACCACACTACAAATAAATTAAAATTTGCATTTATATTCGCATCCAAAAACCAGTAACTTAAAGACGAAGTTATTTTAAAAAATATACAATTTTTACCAGTAGTTCTAATGTCATCTTTCAATTTAAAGAATTCTTCTAAAACTAGTCATAATATATTCGTCGTATAGATGTCGCCACCATATTTCAGTTCTACCAACAGCAGAAGTACAATTTTTTTTTTTATCAAGTTAACTATCAATTGACATCTAACCTAACCTCTCTTTTTTTTTGTAAATATGATCGTGTGTACACGTTTAACTGTTGCAAATGATGTCTAATTAAAATAGAAATGGAAGAAGCATTCACTAGAGTAGTACAACACGTTTTTAATAATTGGACGGCGTTGAAACTAGCCGTAGAACATTCTATGGGAGGACCTAACAGTAAACAAGTAAGAAGTTAGGGCAACATTAACAGTATACAACATTAATATGTTTATTTTATAGACTGCAGTAGAATGTATGAATTACATGGTCCAGTATTGCCTATATGAGCCTAGCGTTGATGTACTGAGCATCGAAGAAGCTTTAGAGGATATTTTAGATGAAGAATTTGAAACCGTTTGTGAAGACAATTCACCCAAAGGTAAAACAATTTTTTTAGCTTTTCGTAATACAAAAATTTATTTTTATTGTAGAGGTGGCAGCGATTTTGTTTAAATTTATACAGCTTATAAAGGAGGGGAATGTGGAACAGTGCGAGATAGAATATCAGAAGTTACCGACCATGAATGCCGACTGGTTGAATCAATTGAAAACACAGTCATCTCAAACAGTGGTAAAGGTTTAGTGTTCTATTTAATTGAAGTTCCTTAACGTTTGGTACTTTTTAGGTCAATGACGATTCTTCAAGTGAAGACGAACAAACTAAATCACAGACTGCTATGGAGCAGGACGGATGGACGGAGGTAAAAACTAGAAAGAAGAGATGATAAAACATTAAAATATAACACAATCCAGTCTTTTTGTAACAATTCAATGCTGAATCCATTTCCTTTATTGTAAATAAAAATCTCAATATATCACATACTAAGATCAGTTTTGTTGATTTCAGTAATACCCCTTTAATATTTTTTACTTAGGTGGAATATTGCATTTATACAAGCCTTTTCACAAGGTACCGTGAAATAATAAAATTTATTTTTGAAAACGAAATATATTATTGCTTAAATACACAATATTTACAAAATGCAGCAAATAAGCGTTTAATTCAAAGTTTTGTTTGTAAATTCACATCTTCCGGTGTTACTGTTACATTAAGTTTTTGACCAAATCTGCTGATGGACATTTTCAGTGACCTAGACTTGGTGTTTGACAAAATATTGTAAATATCATCGGCGTGTTGTACGGGTTTCCCATCAATTTGAGTTACAATGTCACCAGGCTGTAATCCACCACTAAAAACAATTTTAATAAAGAAACGTACATATCGAGATGAAAAAGTTCAAATTTCACCTGTGAGCAGGGGAACCGTAAATGACCTTCCACACTAAAACACCCCCTTGGATGTCTCTCGGAATTAGATGATCCCTTTGTTGCAATTCGTGGATGATCTGAGGGGTTAACGTAAGCATCGTGATACCCATATAAAGTCTCTTGGGACCGTCTTCTTTTTTCTTTGGGCCGGTCGTGGAATCCAAAAATTTCTTTACGTAATCTATCGGGATCGCAAAAGAGATACCAGCCGTCACTTTCATACTGTTCACACCAATAGCTTCGCCGTCTAAATTGACCAGAGGCCCTCCAGAGTTACCGAAGGTTATTGCAGCATCTGTTTGTATGTAAACCATATCTCTTCCCGTTAAACCTAAAGGAAATATTGAAATGTTATTTACATAGAGAGAAAAATTGGTTTCTATTGTCAATACATACCCAGTTCTTGCGATCCTCTTTGAGTTGAGCTAACAACACCACTAGTCACAGTATTACTCAATGCTAAAGGACTTCCTATCGCAACTACGAATTCTCCCGGTTTCAAATCTGAAGAAGTGCCCAGTTTCATCACTGGTAAATTATTTGCTGGTATTCGAACTGTGGCTAAATCACTCTTTAAATCAATATCTTCTACAACTCCATGGAAAATAGATCCATCCATAAGCCTAACTTCGACTTGAGCATTTGGCTTATTTGTGACCACGTGGGCATTAGTTAAAATAAGACCATTTTTCTCTATTATGAAACCTGATCCATTAGATATTGTCGCGGGTCTACCGGTAAAGAAGTCTAGTTTTCTGCTGTCTTTTATTTCTATGTAAACTACAGTTGGTGCCGATGTTTGGACCACATCCGCAATAAAATTAAACTGGCTTCTCCTTCCCGCAAGAGAATTGCCACTAAACACAGATGCAGCTGATACGTTTGGCATTAAAGTTATGTTTTCCTTAAAGGCTTTATACGTGATATAGCCTGAGGTGATGGCTAGGATGTACTTTAATTGCTTAACAAATTTACGACAATACGTTTTTTCTTCCGCGTAGCTTTGGATGATTGCCATGGTTGGTTTAACATTTTTATCAAGTTTTGAGAAATGTGTTAAGAAACGGAACACAGTTTTTGTCACAAATAATTTTTTTTGAAAAGACATTTAAAATTAAAAATGTTTAATGTTTAATACTAAATTTGAGGTTAGAATTGCTTTCTTATTACAATAGGCCTTTTTTCGCGAGTGGTTGACTGGTTGTAGGTTGTCTCTGGTTGTAGTATGTGTAGTATGAGCGAGTGAAGAGATTTAAATATGACATATGACAACTAAGATCAAAAGAGATAGAGATAGTAACTACAAGTTCGATTTTCAGTCGCGAAAAAGTCTAATGTCTTTAATAATACATACGTAATTTTTTTTATTTGAATTTTGATTCTTTTATGATGAAAACAATTTTGTGCTATCATATCAACTGCTTTAGAGGAAGAAGAAGAGTATAGTTGTTTGAAATTACAAAACTGAATTAATTAGTTTTGACTATGTCTACCAGATGGCAGTAAAGTGGAACCAGTTTGTCCTAAAGTAAAGTAACAGTTTCAAATAACTCAATTTACGTATACATATAAAACATTATTAAAATTTAACTGTTGTAATGTTATAGAAAGAAATACTGAGTTATTACGTAATGAATTGTTCAAAATATTTGATAATTAGGTACACAATTGATAATTTTAAAGTTGTCATATAAATTACTGTGAAATACAATAGATTTATAATATTGTAATATTTTTTTATGTATGATCAAGTGATCTTATATTATTATTATATCTAATTTATTTCTGGAAAGACAACTAATGTTTATTTTACCTTTCTTGTAGTTCTTATTGCAACACTCTTTCTAATCGATTCGTGTTTGTATACTTGTTTATCGGGTTAACTCTATATCCAACTTTATTATATGTATCTTGAAACCATGTGGGGGCCCACAAGAATTATGAGCCCTCTTTTGTATCTTAAATCGTTAGATTTTAACGACTTCTATGAAACTCTAAATCAACACATTAATTTTGGTAAACTCGATAATTTTTATTTATTTCCCCATTTAGAGCTATAACGAACATTATGCAGAATTTATGGGACCCATAAATATGTTTTATTAAAGTTTATGTCACTCGCAGTTAATTATTAGGGGTAATAACAGCATATATTACACATCCTTTCATTAGAGTACATTTCATTAGATAATAATTCCTCTCCGAAATGTCCTGCGGTGTTACTCCATAAAAATATAAAAGGCGAGATGTAATTTCCTCTTAGAAAATACTTAATCATAATTTCTTCGTCTTACCACTGTCGAATCGAAGACATGAGAAATGCTCTAGTAGTTGGTGAAGTATGTATTTGTTGAGGTTAAAACTAGTAACAGCTTTCAATTTAGCTAATCCAATTGTCCCTAAAATGATCTCAGAATCGATAGATCACTTAAAGGGGAAGTTTTTCTGTTTTGACTGTTAACATCAAAGGCTATCAGAAAAAAATGGAATTTAAATTATTTAATCTGGACAAATGTAATTTTAATTGACGTTGACTTTTATTTCCTCTTTGATCAATAAACCTATAATCATTGACCACTTACCCTTTACATTTGTAGACTCTTAAATTACGGGTAGCCGTAAAACCGCAATGCCGTCAAGTTCTTTGATACATTTTTTCATCGTATCTTATTACGGAATTGATAACCTGCGTTTATTAAAATTTACAGCCGTAAAAACCCATTTCTATGAATAATATTCCTATAAATAATAACTTAGGCGAGCATCTGACATTAACGCATCATCTAGAGAACAATATACGACAGACTGGTGCACGATTTTGCATTTCTTCTTTAATTAAATCCGGACTCAGAGCGGCGCGCGTTGTTGGGGCAATCAACTCGAAGAACAATTATTGTTTTCATGCTCTTCCTCAATGCCAACAGCATATATAGGTTTGAAATATAGATATGAATATTTTGATATTTGTGGCATGTATTCTATGTAATATGAATAGGTATTTAGTTTTAATGGGAGATGGATTACAAATGAAAATATGTATATGTATAAAATATTGCGAAGTTTGAAAAGCAAGTTTTCACTCAACACATCCATATTCAGTTGCTTGGAAAAGGGAGGCAGTTCTAGAAGCGGAAAGTTGAATAAAACATTATTTTGTACCTACTGGCGATAGTACAAAGTAGTACAAAGCATTACTTTGTACCTACCAGAAGTATTCTTTTGTACCTACTAGAGTTGGGTGCAATGCTTTTTTGCGAGTAGGCATTCACTAGCAGTGACATTTAAGATAAGCTGGGGTGAATATATGCTTTGTTTCTGACTGTTATAGAGCCGTTTCATGGCTTTTATGAGTAATTTTATTAAATAAAAATCAAGGTAAAGGAAATAGAAACCATCCAACTAAACGTTTCACGTTTGCCCCCTTGACATCTCCCATCAGGCCCGCGCATGGCGAGACATCACGTCGACTATGATTGAGAAGAGAAAATTCAATTGTAGGTTGATTCTGAATTTGATAAATAGCCTGGTCTGTGATTTATCGTCGCCGTTACAATACCATTAGGTTTGCCATTACTAGGCAATACGTACTTGATCAATGGCCTTATTGATACCGCTCGGGAATACGGATAGGCGCCCATTGTGCCGGATTAACGACTTGTCAGATTCTGTAAAATTTTGTGGGCACTCGGAAAAATCCAGTTCGAGGAGATAACGCGAAAGCGGATCGCATTTGGTACACGGAATTAATCAGGCACAGTGGTACGGTGCAAATTTTTTTAACTGTTCGTAAAATTGTGTAACGGGGAAAAGAAATAATTCTAAGAAGCTTTTAAGTTTAAAATAACTTAAGTGACGCTTATCACATATGTCCAACATATCCATTACCAGTACTTATCTAACAATGATAATAAATAATTAAGCTTTTGTTAATTAACAATCTAAGATTACAATTAAAAAGTATGATTGATAACATGTAGGTACATTTTTAAATGATAATCCTAATCTTGCAAAATAAAATAGAAAATAAACATCTTCGTTAAATGTAGGTCAATAATGTTTAAAGTTATTTACGCACAATTTATTCAATTACATTTGTGAGAAGATAAGGAAAACGCAAGTAAGCAAGTACTTGTTTGACTTATTAAAATATATGAGCAATTTTGTACAAGTTCCGAATATTATGCAGGGTGCTGAGGATATAACTTACGTAGATTTAAGAATTGATTTTGACCAAAAAAGTTCATTACATTACAATATATCCAAATAAACCGATTTTGAGAAAAATAATTGTAAGTTACGAATCTGTAAATTTTAAACAAAAATAGAGCTAAACGTGTATTTGAAGAAGTTTTATTTAACTGCAAATGAATTGTATTAAAAAACAATTTATTTGAACTAAAATTCATACATGAAATAATAAACGACAATACCATAACATCGTCCGAGAGTCCAACTCAATTTTATAAAGCATAATTTTGTGTCATTTATAATGTTGTTTAGGAATAAAATAACAATTTATAAAGTCATATAACTCCGATTTAATAAATAAAATAGGAAGAGTATGTAAATATGGATATTATATTCTGCAATATACCTATTTACTACCTCAGTAACAAACTTTTTGAAATTGCCCAATGTTTGACAACTCCTTATATGTATAGTGATCTAGAAAGAAGTATTTGTGTTGCAATAATATAAAAAGCATTGTATTTAAACCTGGGTACGGTTGCACTTAAAAAAAAATATTTTGCACAATTAAATCTAACCACTCTAAGTTATTTCGGCAATACCTACGAGAGCATTCTTATCAGCACTAATGTAGATCATTTACATAGATTGAGGAGATTTCTTAAAATGATGTAAACAATAAATATATAGGTATGTAGGTATATTTATATGTACTAATATATCTTGAAGAAAATGATCTCTTATTTATTTGATTATTTAGCAGATTTAATAATATTTTCGATTCTTTTTTAAAAATTAAATTGAATTAAGTGACCACTGATGTGTGTATTAGTATTTACAATATTTATGGGTACCTACATAGGGTATGTTTTGAAATATAGTGACAAACTAAAATACCGAGAAAATGTATTACCAAAATACGTTTTTTAAACTATTCTATAACTCAGCAGATGCTCAGAAGATGCTGACCAAAAATTGAAATCTTTACCCATGTTTCGAATCCAACCGAGACTGTCCACAGAACCGCGAACCGCTCTAAACACCCCTAGCTGCAGCAGACCCGAGCTGTTGAAAGAACAACAAGAATCCCAGAGAATCAGCGGAAGCTCCATGACGCGTGATCGAACGTCTACTCTGCGACCTTACACTTCTATGACCAAAGTAGTCGGAAATTTCTCGCAAGTATGTGTATATACGACTTGATTTCAAGCGTATTCGGGCTTATTTAGAGGAAAATAAGTCGCAAGGGAATACTGTGAATTCCAAATTTGACAGGTCCAAAAAATCCTAAAAGAAATATGTTTTTGGTAGTGTATCCCTATCATTGTGAAACGTTTGCACTAAGCGTTATCGAACATACCTACGTTAATATGAAACTTTTCCCTATCTCCTGTGACAAATTGCGTATATTTTTTTCTAATGAATTAAATTCATCTAATACATTTAATACCTACCATTTCCATAGAGTTCTAAGTACAATTGTACTTTCATGTTTAACTTTATTGATTTGTTGAAATCTAATCGTAGTTCACACGTACTTGTTTATTTACGTTTTAGTTTTTGCACCTAAATGTACCGAAACAGATAGTCACTTGTCCCAAATATTCGTACAGTCGTCCAATCAGGATTCCAGTTCCATTTTCGTCACGAGTTCAAGTGTTTCCTTAGCTAATTGTCCCAAGCGATAAGCGCTGGTATAAATGTCCAAGAAGCTTCAAACTGCTGCCAAATTATACAAGTCTTCGAAAAACAAAACCCAGATAACTTCATCAATTAAAATGGTCAAGTCTCAGATTTATTTTAATTTATGTTGCATATTCTGCAGCGTTGCTCAAGCCTTGGTCGTCAACGAATGTGAGTACCTATATTTTGCTTTTGCTGTCAATGTATGAGTTCGTTTTGTAATCCAAAAGTATGCATGAACACTAAAAAAATTATGGTGTTAAGTTTCAATGACATTTTTTCGAAATTTGGCTGTTTTCTGGCTGAAACGTAATTTTTTAAATTTCGTTCTAGGTAGCCAAGGTGGCCTGGTTCCTGAAGAAGTGATTGTCGACGATTGTGAGCCAGATGCGGCCGTTTGTCCAGTGAAATTTAACGGCTTGTTTAATATGACAATGAAATTCAAAGCTCGTAAGTGCACCGCAGTAAACATGCTATTAATCTAAAAACATCGCGATTTGTCTTGGATATTGCATTATTGAATAATATTTTCAAAAACAGCTCTTTCTGTAGATTAAATATACCGCTTGTACAAGGTGGATCAAAGATAAAGTTACTGCTAGCATTGTACCTTTTGATTTACTCCTTCTTATCTTTATTTGTATATAATCTAGATTCCTAACTGAGTAAAACGTAAAATAATTTAATAATAGTTTGTTTTCTTAGTACTTTTTGACACAGATCTAATAAGTTAATAATTTTTCAGCGCATTACTTGGAGTCCATCAAATCCAAAATGATTGTGAAAACTGCTTTCGGAAATATCGAGCCCAAGGGAGAATCTGTCAGCAATGACGTATGCGCTGGTATTTTAAACACATTTTGCCCGCTTGTGGAAAAGGAATCAATTGAATACAGATATTCTACAAAGCTGGTTGTCCCGCTATTTGTAAGTGTTTAGAATATCTGTGCGATAAAACATATGTGTTAAAAAATAAATATTTTCCAAATTAAATCTGAAGCTAACATAGAATAATTGTAAGCCACCACCTCCACTGCCTATATTTGACTTCTGGGTCGATTGAATCTATTATTAATGTTGCTGTTGTTATTATTTGTCCCTACTTTAACAAGATCTTTATTTCAGATACCAGTTACTTTGGAGTTTAGAATCCTGGACACAGTGTTAAATGAAACTGTCGTTTGTTTTATTTTAGATGTTAGCCCCAGTAAACTTTAAGGTTTATTTTGTACACCTAGTCTTTATGTTATATGTCTAATAATTGTTATATGTTTAACTTATTTATTTATTTTTAATTTTTTTTATCAAATAAATCTATTTTTGTAACTTTGGTATTATGATTTATAATCTTTATTTAATACTGCGTAGAATGTTTAAAAAAAACATGCCATGAACTAACGCCACTTGATAATAAACAATATAAAATCCTCTGTTTACCTAGGTATGATTTTTAATAATCAGTTACATAATATATACATTCAAAACCATTTAGAAATTAAAATCAATAATCAATCTAAGCAAAATCTGTTGGTAGGAACATTAACATTAGCTTCTAAAAATATGAACAAATTAAAAATAAAAAAAAGAGTTTTAACTTTTTTTTTAACATTTTGAAAATTCGAAAATTTTTTTTCAAAATTTTTTTCAAAAAATTATTTTGCGAAAACTATATAACCGATTTTAATGAAATTTGGTGTGTTATTTTATTATACTCTAAAGTTTTTTTTTTACCAAAATTAGAATGCCCTCGGAGCAATTAGAATATTTTTAAAAAATTATCGAACAAACTTGATTATTTTGCCTTTTTTAAATCAATTATTGCTATTTTGCAATATCGGCATAAATTTAAACATTTTTAATTTACAGTATCTTGTGCAGAATTCAATTCTAAAACTTTTTTTCATCTTCAATATTCTTCCAAAATGCATAGGTCCTATGATATAAGTAAAAAAATTGGTATTTTTAGAATTTTTTAAACATATTTGCAATTTTGAAAATGTTCCGGACCTCACCCATATCTAGGGATCTACAATTTTATTATGTGACTTGCACTGAAGGTAATCCAGCAAAAATTTGCTTGCCCCCTCTCACATTCACCTCAAAACAGATCTGCTCTGGTCTATTAGCTATTTTGTTTTGCCTACCCTTTCCAATTCACGCTGTCTTCCTCTAGTACAGGGGTTCCTAAACTTTTTCGAAGCATAACTAATCTTAGTAAGAGATAAAACTAAACTAAACACAAGAAAAAAGTTTAATGGACAAGTCAAACAACTGCGTTGATTCAATAAATTCATACATTTATCGTTTATGAGACAGATAAGCAGATCGCTTTATGTTTTTTCAAATAATAACACAACATTTGTAGTACGCCATCTAGTAACAAGCACCGTGAAATTCGAGAGGCTACGAAAACTCTCTTTAATTTTTGTAGAGCGCCATCTGGTGATGAAGCAATGTAGTGACTTATATCAGTTTTAGATTTATGTCACCTCTCCTAGATGTCGAATGTTACTGCATGTAAATACGCACGCTTTGGGAACCATTGCTTTTAATTCAGATATTCAAAAATGTTCGGAGGTTTTAATGTTGCGAAACGCATTGGATGATTTCGATTGTGTACGAATTTTTATATTTCGCTTGCAATTTTCCTTGAATTTCTGGGAAAGGCATTAATAAAACGAAACATCAACGCTATAAAATATGCCATTCAGACCTGCCTCGACCATTAAAAAGATTTAAAGAAGCAAATGGAGGATGTACAATGGCAATAAATGTTTGATAGTCATTCCTGTATGTAGCGTTTTACTGCAAATGTTTTTTAAAATATATTTTTAATTACTTATGCTCGCGGAGTAGCAGCAATAAAGCCTTTAAGCAGTCGCTCCCAATGTATGAGGCATGCGTTTTCTAAGGCAGAAGACGTAGAGATGTTACGTGAGATCTATCTGGAACCAACCGACTTTCTAATTGTGATTTATTGTTAATTATTATCTAATTCTTATTGAAATGCATTTTATAATGGCCGTTGTATCTTCATCGAATTGCTCTTTTATTCACTGTGCGGCGTTGTAAATTTATTTTTATGTTAACAGCTCCGTGTTTAATTTATTTAATTGCCCTCGGAGATTGTGAGGGAAAATTAAAGCTGGAGGAGGTGTTTCTGTGTTTGAATAAATAATAGGAATTGGTTTTGGTGAAATGGGACTGAAATTAAGTGACGAGAAAATGTAATTTAGAAGCAAATGATTTAAAATTACTAGCACTTAATTAAAAAAAAACACAGGAAATGTATTTTAGAGTGAATATAATACAAAATAATCATTAAGAGGGTGTTAAGAGAAATTACTTTTCCTTAAAAATATCAGTTAGTCCTTTGACTATGCTCTGTGGTTGACATTTTTGTCACACCTGTCAAAATTTTGGATTGAGCTGTGAAAATTTGACCAAAAATGTAATTTTTCAATTAAATTACAAATACGGGTTCGGAAAGTACCGATGGTCCATCTGCCGTTACGTGAGAGCGATAAAGACATAAAAATCCGTGCGATAGAGAAATATAGCTATAATGAAGGCGTCTAATAGTCACCGCCCATTTCGCCCTTCCACAAATAAGATCCACTTCTTATTAATCCAAAGTGTACCCAGTGTGCCATTGTTATTGAAAACACTTGGAAAATCGACAAACTCGCTTTACAGCAATGACAGCAAATCTGCTAAATAAGTAATGACACTTGGTGACATTTAAATGTTTTTCCACAGCCAACCTACAGCTAACTGTCGGATTATATTCGTCTCTGTACTTATGTTCAAATATCTCAAAATCGGTGGGATTTAGGTATAGGGAATGCTTGTACCAATGGAAAGAGAATTAACAGGTGCATCTACTGGCATTATAAAACACAGGGTGTTCTATTTAAAATAAGCGAGTTATTAAACTTTCAATTTGGCACAATTGGTCCGAGTTTTTTAGACGCCCTGTGTAACATGCACCGACTTTCGAATATTCCAGATATTTGGACACGTTTTGGTATTGACCATCTAAAATTTCAGCTTCCTATTTAAAAAATTGAAGGAGATAGAACCGATTAAGTGTAGGTATTTTTTTTTCAAAAATTTTGAAACAGTCAAAATATTTCAAAAACTATTGAGTTTAAGGAAAAAGTAAGGTTATGAAACTGACCTTAAAAATCGATGTAGAATCCAAAAATTAAATAAAAAATAGTACATTCCATTTGAAATAAGCGAGTTGACATCTACTTCCGGTAGAACCGGAAGTTCCATGGCGACGCAAATATTTTCAATCGATAGAACATTAGGAGAAACCCCCGTACATTAATTTTCAAAATTCCAGTACGCGTAGTTTTCCAGAAACGTCTAATTGAAGGCCTATTTGGAACACCCTGTATACCGTCTGGACTAGAGATACAATAAGACAATATCACCATTCTTTTTCCACCACTCACCCCTATGCCCAATCATCCGCTCACCCCGAACAGTCCCATCGAGTGGGAAATCTATTTTCTGGCCACAAATCAAGCCGCCAGCGAGCGAAATCGAGCGGCGATTGTTCGCGACAAATGACGGGAGAGGCGCGAGACCCCCGCGAGGCATCTCGGGCCGTAAATCCCGGCCGCCCCGCTAGCCGGTAATTACCGGGGCTGATGGATGGCGCGGGCCACGGCCGTGCTCGTATACCACCCCCGTACGAGGCGCGAGGAGCGAGACGGCCCGTAAGCTCTACTGCAGTGGCGCACGGGGCGAGATGCTCTTTTTTTAATTTTGGTCCTTCTGCAGCCGGATGGACATTGCTTTTCCACAATTACATCCGTATTTTGGTTATTCTGCAACTAGATGAATTGCCTTTGAATAATTAGTTAGGCTGGCAGAGAGAGCCGTAATTCAGTGGCGTGCCAAGCGGGTCAACCAAGACACGCGTGAGCCTTAAAATGCTTTTCATGTTCATGTCACGTTAATATACTGTTGCCTTTGTTAACGTGTGGCTCAGTTCTGACATCCAAATTTTAGTTGTTTTGTAAGAGAACATTTAAATAATCAGTACCCAGGCAGATGAATATGCTCCAATTCACCACGCTCACCTGACTTAGATCCTTGTGATTCTCATTTTGAGGGCTTTAAAACAGAAAGTGTGAGTGAAGGATAACTGTAGAACAGGGCGGAAGATGCTGTTTACTTCGTCTTAAATCAGCTTTATGGAATTATTAAAAGCTTTGAGAAAACAAATTTTTCTTGTCGACTTTGATGCCCTCTAGCGGCTAAACGAAGCAACTGTGGTGGTGGTGGCTCTACGAACACAGAATATTGGGACACACTGTACTGTTATAAATAGCAACTAGATTAAAATAATGCCGGGACATCATTTGGTTATCATTTAAAGTTTCCGCGGTAAATTTGTTGCGGCCCCGCCAATGGCTCGAACCACTTGTTGCCGTCCTGAAAGATAGGCTCTGTGTGGGAGTGCGGAGCTATGCGATGTTCTTTTCCTCTGCAGGTGCTTTCCGAGATGGGATTCCATGCGTTATTTGCATACGATTATTCATGTAGAGCGGCCGAGGGTCTGTTGAAATTCAATTAGATCGAGAATGTAATATTTTACTTCCCAGCATCCTCCTTGACGATGCTTAATACATTCTAAATTATCGGAGAGGAGAAAAACCGTCCTCTAATTGTTTCCATTCAAATGAGATATGTTGAGAATAATACACAGCTTTCATAAATGATTACAAGCCGCGTGGTCAGTAATTTTGTTTGGAATTTTATTTCTTTCGCGTGGAAATTAAATTTCTGTAAAATTAAAACAATTAGATCAAGATTACTTTAAAAAACGACATTTTGTTGCAAATTTTCAGGAGATTTTGTTCAACTAATCAGGGATCCCATTATCTCGAGCATTGATGTAACGGTTCGTCATTGTTCGTTGTAAACGAATCATTCATTTAGGGATTTGTCATTACGTTGCAACCCTGTAATGTTGGTTGGCTAAATTAGGTAGTCACCTGGCTTATAAACATTTATAAACGCTCTGTATGTTCTGCTCTGATATTAATGCTCTGTAAAGTGGAGTTATCGCAACATATTTGAATAATTGTTTAATAGTTTATATTCGTCGGATGACTGCTTGTAGTGGTTAATAGTTATATAATCGATTAAAAAAGCTCACTAAAATTTTTATATTCTCTACAAGACCGTCGCATATACATTAGTAGTTGATCAGAAAATATTAAAATCACTGTTACAGCAGCGTAAGAAGAGGCAACTGATCAAAATTAAGTTTTTTTTGTAGCCTTTCAATTAAGAAAAGTTAGTAAAACGTTTTTTTAATAGTACTTACTTGTTTAATTTGATTTATCTTTTTTATTTGTCAAAAATTTTTAGCGGAAACTTCCCAATAAACAGCTGGTTTGGGAGATTATTTTGTTTATTTACATAACATAGCACTACCATGAATTAATATAACAGTAAATTAGAGTTATATAACGCAAATTTTAATAAGAATACGTGTTATTATTATTAACATTATAATCAAACCCGCTACCCAATTATCTCGAAAATGATGATTTGTTTACAAAGCAAAGTTGCTTCTCCGGTTAATGTATAGCCTTATTAAAATAATTTATACAAAGTATCATCGATTGTATGAAAAAAAAAATACTAGCATTAAATATAACATTTATCACTATTCCTGGTCTATAATTTTCTATATATTTTTAGTATACTAGGCACATGAACAAAGTTTGAGTCTAAATAACGGATGTTAATTGAAAAGTGACATTTACAATATTGTAAATATATTGAAAAGTAACGAACTAACAGTGTTCTTCCTCTATGCCTTCATTTTATCTTATTTATTTGGGTACACAATATACTAATACTACTAAAAATACTAATTGTTTTTTATAAATTTAATATAATAAAAATGTAACATCAATTAAAACAGAAATTTGGAAATATAGCAGGCAACGCAAATTTTAATAAAAGTACTTACTCAAGTCAAACAAACTGATTTGCTAAATAAATTTAGTACTCTAGATATAAAGTCTTATTAAAATAGCTTATATCAAACATATCCAAAGGTTGAAAAGCAACTAGGATTAATTTTAAAATTATCACAGTTGCTGCCCAGTTGTTTGTCACACCTTTTTGTTATAAAATTTCCTACCCCTTGTCGCAAGTGTGCCAATATTGTTTACAACATCAAAGATCATCAATAGGAAAACGAACTTTGGAAATGTATGTCGATCTTTATCTTATATCGGCGTGATCAGAAATAAATCAACCTTTGGTCACAGCTGCAATCTGTAGTAACAGGAATCAGTTCTGTGACTGGCATTCCCTTCAGTAATACTGCATTATGACTTTTAATGTTGGACCGTCGATACTTTTTTGATAATTATGTAAAAATGGAGTAAGAATTCGCAAAATTGATGTACATATATCATATATCATATATTAGGTACATGAGATAAGAGAGCAAGTAACAATTTATAACACACAACTTCGTTTGTACTTTATTAAAATATATATTTCGTATAAATAAGGGTAGCAAAATCTAGGTAAAACATTATTAAAACCCCGTACACGATCATGAGTTTTCTGAATTAAAAAAAATAAACTTTGGGTTGTATCTAACTACTTATCGTTCATTAGCAAATCTACAAGTGCCCTTAAACAAATATTTATGAAAACAAATTTTGAGTTATATTTAAGTACTTTATCTTTCAACAACAAATCTAAGAGCACACCTGTGTGTTCTTTAAAATATACTAATCTGTCAAGTACCATTTTATTCTATTGTAATATTTGTTTAGCGAAGAATAATAGATATGAGGCACTTCTGTAAATTCTTAACGATTTTTTAAATTTCCAATTTAAAAACGTAAAAAAATACAGTAATAGGAATAATATTGAAAATATTTTTTAAATAAACACACGGTGTAACAGAGGATAATTTTAAATAAAAGAAAAACAATAATATTTTTTCCTAAATCGATTTTGTAATGATAATAATTGTTTTTAATTAACAATTAAAAATACAGACTTCGTTACAGTTGTCTGATGCGGCCAAGAAATTTTTTCTTTGTTAGAGCTTTTTCAGATAAAACATGTTTGTCTCTTGAGCTTTTTCTTAAGTAAAAGGTCATGGAACATCAGTACGACTTAATGGTTTTTAACAGTTTTTGTTTACTTAATAACATATAATTAAATGCAGATTATGCAGATCTGTTCAACTTCGTGGATGATTTTTTTTTAATGAAAAAAAAAAAAAAAAATTGGCTTTCATCTGTAATTCTTTAAATTGCTCAGGAGATGCAAAGTTTTAGTTAAAAATTGTCTATCCAAATCTGTAAAAGAAGATTATCTGATTAAAACCTGTTTTACATTTTGTTTTTGAAGGAATGTAGGCATTATTTTTTCGAAATAGTTGTACTATAGTTGTACTAGCACTAGTTGTTCTATTTTGTTTTATTGTTTTGAAGAGATTTTTGTCTCTCTCCGAAACTATAAAAGACAGAATGAAAGATGTTCAAGACAAATTTAACTTATCAACCAGATATTTCTTTTTATTACAGGGCGATATTAGTTTTCTTTACATATTTGATCACTTTTGTATATCTTAAATGAGTTAGAACCAAAGTAAAAATTGCCATGAATTATGTCACGATTTTGACAAATAAGAGAATTACGGGGTTTTCATACAAATTTCGAGAGCTGTTTTAAATAAAATTTTTCTCATCAGCAATAATTGTTTCGCAAAATTGATGGTGTTGAAAGAAAATTCGAATATGATCTGGCAGATCAAAAATTTCCATAAAACAAAATTGTGTGATAGTGAAATAAAATTTCCGTTTTTTTAGTTACTATCAGCTGTTGAACTTTGTTACGTTATTTTTGTAACACTTGTGTAGATTATTGACATTAGAATTCAATTTAAATATGTTTTTATTAAAAAAATGCAAATATCCACTACTTATCGCAATTTCAGGTTTTGAAGAAGGGGCTTGTGATAACAATAAACTACTGCAAAACAATACTAATCACAACAGAAGATCTTATCGAACACATGCCATTTAGTATAAAAGTGGAAAGAACATTGCAGTTCCTCATTATATTCTTCTATTTCTAATATTAGTAATCTAAAGCTAAAAGTACGAAAATGAAGGTCCTCGCATCTTTGATTTTGTTGGTTTTGGTAAATTATGCCTATTCGGCTGACACAACAGACGTAGCCTCTTGTAAGTATATTTTAACTATTTTTGTTATAGCTAAAAGTAGATCGTTGATAATACATATAGGTCCTTTTGGCCCTGAAAAAAAAAATACTTGAGCTTCTTATTTTGAGATTTAAACAACTGTACTTTTTAAAAATATGTTCCTTTAAATGTATTTGAGTATCTATTTTCAAATAGCGTCAGTTGCTGAAAATTTGATTAAATACTTTGTTTCTAGTATTAATGAACCCATGCTACAAGTAAATATTGATAAGAGTAACTACACTGTTGCTGCATTTCTAGATTTTATAACGGCATTTGAAAGTATTGGCAGAAATATCCTACTGAAAAAAACATATGACGTACATGGGTTTGTTTAAATTGCTTTGAAAATTATTTGTCAATTCGTCAATAAATAACTAAAATCTAACTCAAAGTTATCAACTCCCACTGTTAATAATTTTGGAGTTCCTCAAGGCAGTATCCTAGGACCAATTTTATTTATAATCTACTTAAATGATGTAAAATAGGATGTAAAATATACCACCAGTGCTTTCTTAATTTGTTTGCGAATTACAACTGTGGATTGCGATTTAAATCAGGCTATTGATAGAATCATGATCTACATAATATTGAGCACTACACATTTAAACTGCAATAAACTAAGTTTAAATATTAATAAAACTAAGGCAATGGTAACTACAGCAAAATATAAATACTCTAAAGTTATAGATATATATTTCCTATTTAAATAAAGTTTCCTTCTAAAAATAATTTACAGGCCATGACGTTCTTCTACCAGAAGTAAAAATATCTGTTGACGACGTCCTTTGTGAACTAGGACCATGTGTAGTAAGCCCTGGAGCGAAAATTTATGTGGAAGTTTCCTTCGATACCCGTAAGTATTTGGAGATGCATTTTATTAAACGAAAAACTCGAAATTTCGCAAATTTCGACTTGCATTCAATCAAACCGAGATCTTAAAATGCTAAATCTTTTCCTCGATGTTTTCGGAATCAGTGATGATTGTATTAAAGTTAAAAAACTGACTTTTTTTGGTACATTTATTCTTTGTTTGAGATGGACAGAAATGTCACAAAATAATATAATCTGGCAAACAACAAACACAACCACAAATCTTACAATGTTTACAATTTAATATCATTAATTTTTAGCTGTAAAACTGGAAAACGTTAAGCCAAAGATGACAGCTACAGTATTGGGTCTTGACGTAGATTTACCCTTGAACCAAGACAATGCTTGTGATGGACTTCTGAACACTGAATGTCCAGTAGAAGTTGGTGGACACGTGGATTACGCATATACCTATAGCCTAACTGACGTCTTCCCCGAGGTAAGCCATTAAATTGCAAAAAAATGGGTCGTCAAAACTTCCTGTATCGCTTCTACTTTCCCTACGATCTACTACTAAATCCACCATTAACTAACTTTATTTTTTTTTGTAGGTTACTGCGACATTGACCATCAATCTTCTTGACGAAGACAACGATAACGCTGAAATTCTTTGTTTCTCAATTGAAGTTCAAGTTAAGAAATCGTAAAGTAGATATTGACAGAAAAAATATGTAATGTACGCGTAGAGATATAAATATAAAACTACTCTTACTTAAGTCAGGGTTTTATTTCTAATATTAAACTGAAAATAGAAAATTTGTAATGGAATATAATTTGCGACGCATTTCTGAAGACTGATACGTTTATCAGAAGATATGGGGTTTTGCCAACTTTAGAAGAGTTGAGTTTTATCAGTACAATAATGGCGTGCTTGGTCTAAAATTAGTTAATATACGCATAAGTCATGCCTGAGTGAAATAATCAGTAAATTTTTTTAGAAGGATTCAAGGTAAATTTAAATCATTTTGTCAAAATAACCTTCAATATATAGTAAATGAGACTTCCTTTTTTTCTTATAATAAATTTTTATGTCAAAAAATATGCATATATTGTTTTAGGATCAAACACTAGCAAAAGTAATAACTAAAGATGTGCCTCTTTTTCTGGTGGAAAAATTGTCAAAATTGTACATTACATTTTATTATTAACTATATTAACTTGTGATATACGATAGTCTATAATGTGTTACTTTAATACTGTCGTCGCTATCACCCATTTTAGTAGGTACTATAATTGACAAAAATAATCAACAAATATGAGCCGTCAGTGCCGCGAGAAACAAATACTCCGAGAGCTATTTGGTCGTATCATCACGAAGAGGAAGTACATTGTACGCGGGAGCCAATGAATGGCTCCATCTGTCGTGCAAACTCCCAACAGTGCCATTCAAATGACTACAGTAGGAAGAGACCTGCTAAATGCAGGTACTTTGTTGCACGACTGCCACCCACAGAGGGCGTAACACAACGTATCAAACATTGGTTACGGATGGTTTTAGATAGATGTTTAGTAAATAAAGCTTGTTGTATTCCCGTTCCCAGAATCTGTGATCGGAGAATGTAATTTTTATCTAATACTTATAGATTTAGGTTGCGGAATGTTTTGTGTTTTATAACAAAGAGGTTATTCACTTACTACAGTTACATAAATTGTTGTAATAAATGTAGTAAATAATTATGGTAGCTTATAGAATCTACAGGTTTTAAAACAAATTATTCGAATGTAACGAATCTGTAACAAAGCTCAAAGCCCACGTGATCACAAGTGTTAGGCAACCAAAGTTGCACCAAAGCCAACTATTAACCAAAATTACCTAGACAGAAAAGTGGCTTACATGTTACATTATCTTTACAAAGATTGAATTTCAGTACTAAATAATGAAATATTTTGAGTTTTTATCACATTTTAAATCGACAAAATATTTTTTGTATGGAATAATAATGTTAAAACTTATTAAACTATTAACCTATTAAATGTAATTCTTTATAAGATGAATGATCTCACAAAATCAATTGTATCGGTGTTTCATTACTATTTATTTAACAGTTAATTACACATTATAGGTAAATAACAGTGGTGTCTTAAAGACTAACACACAAATATTTTTTTTATTCTGCTAACTAAAACTTATTACAAATGATCATATGTTCATTCATAATTACGATACAAATTTCTTAGTACTTCCCAACACAATATTTTCCGAATTAACGAATTTTTAAGTTCTGAAAAGAACTATTTTTCTTCAATTCGCAAACAGAACACAGAAATGTTGATAATGACTTCTAAATTGTACTAAGAACATAAACACATGAAAAATTACAAACGTCCTCTGCTCAGAGGATTAACATTTTACCTAGAACCCCAGTTAGTGACTTTTCTATGGCAATTTCTAAAGTACCAACCTAACAAACCAAATTTATGTCTTTGTTCTCAAAACTAATGTGGTGTTAAAAATTATTTTTTTTAATAAGAATTATGTTCACATTTCAATTATAGTTTAATTATTATTATTCCTAAAATACGTTATTTAAAGTAATTTTAGAATATAACGTATAAAGCGGTTTCTTTTTTGCCTTCATCCTTAAACATCGTACCTCCTATGAAGATCCTGAGGCTGCAAAGACAAAAAAACTGCCGTCGTATCAAGTTGAATAACTATATAAAGTGGTGTTAATAGAAAAACATTTGAATAATTGTTTAATAATCGTTTTCCGTCGGATGGCCGCTTGTAGTAATTAACAGCTATATAATCAATTAAAAAAGCTCATTAAAATTTTTATATACCCTATAAGACCGTAGCAGTTGATCAGAAAATATTAAAATCACTTTTATAGCAACGCAAGAAGAGGCAGTCGATCAAAATTAAGGTTTTTTTGTACTCTTTTAATTAAGCGAAGTTAGTAAAATGTGTTTTAATAATATTTATGTTTAATTTGAAACTTACTTAACACTTTAACTATTAGGTAGGTATAGAAGGAATATATAATTCTCATATATCGTTAAAATCGCATATATTGATTTCTTTCCATACCCATAACCTCTGATTTATCTGTTTTTGTTTATGCCAGAAATTCTGAGCATGAACTTCCCAATAAACAGCTGGTCTGACATTCGTATTAAAAAAAATGGGGAATTATTTAGTTTATTTACATAACATAATACTACTTTGAATTAATTATAACACGAAATTAGTTACATAACGTTAATTTTAATAAGAATACAACATTGTTATTGACATTATAATCAAATCCGCTACCCAGTTATCTCGAAAATGATGATTTGTTTACAAAGCAAAGTTGTTTCGGTTTAACGTATAGCCTTATTAAAATAATTTATACAAAATATCATGGAAGGTCTGAAAAAACTGCTACTTTTAAATATAATATATACCACCATTTCTAGTCTGTAGTTTTATAAATAAAACGTATCGTTGTTTTTATTTATGGGATATTTTGCTGCACGCGAAATAAATTATAAAATTCATGAAATAAATCCTTGCCCTAAAGTCAAACATTTTTTTGACATACATTTGCCAAGTGACGACATGCTTTAGAATGCATCTATATGCACCATCCACACGATACGGCATTTGTCTACGATTGACAAATATTTTTAATTGATTGCAGTATTTACTACTGTCCGTTTCTATCAAAGTACGCCGATTCATACACAAATAGAAATTATAATATAAATTTCAGTTCTAAGCAACTTTCTTTAATAATATATTTCTGTATTGTCAAAAACAAAGGCAGTTTATTCTTGAAGTATTTTTATATTTACATATTTTCTGATCACCCTGTAGGTACATTCAAGATAAAAGTTCTCCATTCCAGCCGCATTTTAAAGACAAGCAAAAATTTTAATCAAGAATACCTTTTTCTCGTAAAATAAAAAATAAAAATATTTTCCCTCTTCTCCATACTGTATATTTTTCCTTTTTTTTAAATAAAAATATTGGTATAGATATATAAAAAAGAAAAGTATGTTTTCGTTAGTTTATTTTTTAAATATGACTTTGAAAAAGAACTTGTGTCAAATTTAAAACTCTCTCCACTTCCTTAAAGTTATTTGTTACACTTTTTTGATATAAAATTTCCTGCCACTTGTCACAAGTGCCCAAAGATTGTGCAAACACACCAAAGGTCTTGATTTATCAATCGAAGTCGATCTTTGCCTTATATTTTATCTTATATCGAAATGGGCTAGGTTGATTAGATAGGAATCAGTTATATGACTCAAATTCTCGTTGGTAATACTGCAACATGACCTTTAATATTGGTCCGGCAACATTTTTTGTATGGATTGAGAATCCACGAAATTGCTTTGTTATATGAAATACAAGCACATATTACAATACATTTTATAACACAATTTTAACCTTTCCAACCAAAATATTATTGTCTCTTGAACTTTTCCTCAGTAAATCCTTGGGGATTGCAAGCAAGGTTCTTAAGGATTTTGAAAAAAAATGTTGATCCTGTTTTGTTTTATTGTCTCGAAGCGGAAACTTTTCCTCTTAGTCTGATGAGTTACTATCAGTTGTTAAAAATAAATTCCAATATGTTTTTATTAAAAAAGTCCATTATCACAATTTTAGGTGTTGAACAAGGGGTATGAGTGTGATAACAATAACAAATGTATTGAAAAACAATACTAATCACCGTAGAGAATCTTATCGAATCCATAGCATTTAGTATAAAAGCAGATGGGACATTTCAGTTCCTCATTATATTCTTCCATTTGTAATATTAGTGATCTAAAGCTAAAAGTACGAAAATGAAGGTCTTGGCATCTTTGGCTTTGCTGGCTTTGGTAAATTATGCTTATGCGGCAGACACGACAGTTGTAAAATCTTGTAAGTATATTTTAACCATTTATATTATAATAGAAGATCGTTTAATAAAATACTGGACAGGTCGTTTTGGTTCTGCATGTATTAAGAAATTGTAAGAGATAGGAAAGTAGTTCGCATATGGGAGAAATTTTAGATCATTAAGTTACTAATTTTAGAGCAATTACAGACCGGCTCCAGCTGTTAAAATTTTCGAGATATTTTGGAAAAAGAGACTATAATCTTTCTATTCTTATGAATATTTGAAATCCGTAGAAGCCATCGTTATTTCCTTTGCAACCTCTTTTCATGCGAAACTTCGGTACATTGCTGTATTTTCTTGTTCACGAAAAAATAAAGTTGAAATGAAACTACAACGTTGAAATAAAAATACGGTGATGCTGTTTGCAAAAGTTTGTTGTAATAAAGTCTTAGTTATTCAAAAAACGTGGTAATAAAAAAATGTATTTTTTTCAAAATATTTCAAACAGCTAGACCCGCCCCACAGGTGCCATTAAGTTAGTCACAGAATGGTCTAATACTTTGCTTAATTAACCATTCTTGTACATAATAGTGTCCTAGATACTAATTTATGAATTTCCAAAATGGCCAACTTAGTACAGACTTCTAATAAAAATAAAATGAGCTTCTTATGTTTTAAATATTCAAATGTATTTGAGCTATTATTATTATTTTACCTATATTTAGCAAATGCATATAAATGCAATGCAAATAATTAAAAAACTAAATTTTTCAGGTCATGATGCTCTTTTACCAGAAGTAAAAGTGACTATCGACAACACAGTGTGTGCAGAGGGACCTTGTGTAGTCGGAACTGGATCAGATGTTTCTGTAATGGTTTCCTTTGATACCCGTAAGTATTTATAAATACATCTTTTTAAACAAAAAAGTCGTAAATTTAACAAACTTTGAGTTATATTCGGTGAACTAGAAATTTTAAAATGTTATAAATTATAAAAACATTATTTTTTATGCAACCACGATTTAATTTAAAAAGTACAATCTTTACAACTTAATCTCTTCTAACTGTCCTGTTAACTTCTAGCTGTCAAATTGGAGCACATTAAGGCGAAATTTGTAGCTTCGGGATCAAGTGGTGATATAGAAATACCCCTGGACCAAGACGACGCTTGTGTAGGAATTGTGAACACGAAATGTCCAGTGGCTGCTAACGATCACGTTGATTATGAATATACTACGGTTCTAGATGAAGAATATCCCGAGGTGAGTTATTAAATTGAAAAAAAAAGGAAATGTAGAAAATATTGAGCAATACACGGTATTCAGGCAGAGTTTCCATACCGCCTCTATTCTCCCTACTATCTACTACTGTAACTAATGTTAACTAATACTATAATTTGTTTTGTAGGGGGATGCTACAGTGACTATCACTTTACTTGACGAGGACAACGATGATGCTGAAGTGATATGTTTCTCCCTTGACATTTCAATTAAGAATTCGTAATGTAGACATTTATACAAATATAAACAGAAAAATATATAATGTAGATGTTGAAATATTTTAATGAAAATAAATAGGTAACTGAAACAACAATAGATTTAATTTGTGCAAATCCACTTCTTACGGTGTAAAAAACCAAAGGTCCAGATTTATCGATATAAAAATGACCTTTGGAAATGTATGTCGATCTTTATCACATATCAAAATGTACTAGGTGGGTCAGAATTAAGTGATACAAACTTTTGGTTATAATTGCAAATTGCAGTAAAAGTTAATGTTACTCAAATTCACTTTAGTAATACTACAGCATGACTTTTGATGTTGGACCCACAACATTTTTTGTATAAAAGTAATTGTGACGTAAAAATGGAGTAAGAATCTACGAAATTGATCTTTTTGCTGTATGCTCTGCTATATATAAAATAAAAGAACAAATAACAATAAATTTTATAATACATTTTAAATATATTTTATGAAATATATGATGTGTTATTAAAACTCCATATAGGTACGATGATGGGTAAGATCCTAAACTAAATTTTGTGAAATTTTTACTTATCTTTCAACAACATATCTAAGAGAACATCTGCTTGTTCTTACAATACCAATCATCCAAGAATCATTTTACAAAATTAGGATATTTGTTTAGGAAAGAATAGAAGAATTTTCCAACATCGGTAATAAATTTAAACACTTTTAACTTATAGTATATTATGCAAAATTAAATTCTGAAACTTTTTTCCTCTTCAATATTCTTCCAAAATGCATAGGTTCCAAGATATACCTAAGTAAAAAACTCACACACAAATAATGTTTTTATTCTGCTAACTAAAATTTATTACAGATGTTCGAAATATATTATTGTTGATACCACCAAACACATAAAAATCTAACGGGGTGAGATCAGGACTTCGTGCGGACCACAATACCCTCGTATCAATATATCACCGCACAAAATTCCTGCATATATCTTACATTTTCTGATGTAGTATGTACTGTGGCTCCATCGTGATGAAAAAATCCACATTGCAGTCCATCATTACTATTATGCAGTGATTACAGAGCTTGCTATCGTTTTCATTTATTAGTTCTCGGGAAAAAATTGGGCCTACTATCTTCTGAGGATGTAAGGATGTTTCAATAAACTTATGAGGATTTCTTATAGGACAAGGTCTATAATTTTGATTATTTACTTGACCAGATAACTGACATACCTACGGATATAATAAAAATTAACAATAAGTTGCGTTATTTACAATAAATTACATTATATTAAAAATTAAATAAAAATACTGAAGAAATGGTAGAATTTTTAAAATATTCGAAATAATTTTTTTTTGTTTTAATTATGAGAATGTATAATGCAACTAGCATCGCACATGCGTCTAAACTTTTTTTCTACAGCATGTGTAAATAATTACAGAAATAATATGAAACGAGAGTCTTGACTGATAAGGATACTTGTTGATTGGTAGTAAATAAAGTCACTAGTCCAAGTTTTCATAAGTCTACATCTGACACTTATTTCTGTGACAATCCATAGGTAGGTATATTTTTTAAACAAAAATTTTAATATAGATTGTTAAATAAAAAAAAACTAATGTTAAATTTAAAATCCTTACTACTTCGTTGCAGTTATTTGTCATACTTATTTGATATAAAATTCCAGCCACTTGTCACAAGTGCGCAAATATTGTGCAATAACACCGAAGGTCCTGATTTATCAATCGCAAAATTACCTTTGGAAGTGATATTTCTCTTATGTCTTATCTTATGTAGAAATGCACTAGGTCGGTCAGATTATATGACTCAAATTCTCGTTAGTAATACTGCAACATGACCTTCAATTTTTGGACCAGTAACTTTTTTTTGTATAAAAGTAATTATTTTTTTAAATCTTTTCTGTATGCTTTGCTATATGAAATAAAGGAACATATAACAATAAATTTTATAACATAATTTCAACCTTTCAAATCAAAATATTTTTGTCGCTTGAGCTTTCCCCTAATAAATAATGGGATTGCAAGCAAGGTTCATAGGGATTTTGAAAAAAATTTGATCCTGTTTCCTTTTATTGTTTTGAAGCGGAAACTTTTCCTCTTATTTTGATGAGTTGTTGTGTAGATTAATTATTGCCATTAAAACAAAGTTTCAATGTGATTTTATAAAAAAATCCATTATCGCATTTTTAGGTGTTGAACAATGGGTATGAGTGTGATAATAGTAACAAATATATTGAAAAAAATACCAATCTCCGTTAGAGAATCTTATCGAATGCATAGAATTTAGTATAAAAGTAGATGGGACATTACAGTTCCTCATTATATTCTTCCATTTCTAATATTCGTGATCTAAAGCTAAAAGTACGAAAATGAAGGTCTTGGCATCTTTAGCTTTGCTGACTTTGGTAAATTATGCTTATTCGGCAGACACCACAGCTGTAAAAGCTTGTAAGTATATTTTAACTATTTCTATTATAATTGTATATCGTTTATATAATTCTGGATAGGTCGTTTTGGTTCTGCATGTATTGAGAAATTGTAAGAGATAGGAACGTAGTCGCATATGGGAGAAATTTTAGATCATTAAGTTACTAACTCTAGAGCAATCACAGACCGGCTCCAGCTGTTAAGGTTTTCGGGATATGTTGAAAAAAGAGACTATAATCTTTCTATTCTAACGAATATTTAAAATCCGTAGAAACCATCGTTATTTCCTTTGCAACCTCTTTTCATACTTTACATTCAGTTGTTTTTTCTAATACTGTATTATAAAAATTCATAAAAAAGCAAAAACTTTTTTGGTAATATCAATAATAAAGTCACAATAAGTTGTCAGATTATAGTGACTTATGATTATAGTACATCATAATTTCCGAGATTTATGAACTTCCAAAATGGCCTAATTAGTACAGTTTTATTTAGCTCGACGCTTCTTACTTTGAAATAAAAATAAAATGAGCTTATGTTGTAAATATTCAAATGTATGAGCATTTATTTTATCTATATTTAGTAAATGCATATAAATGCAACGCAAATAATTTAAAAAAATATTTTTTTTAGGTCACGATGCTCTTTTACCAGAAGTAAAAGTGACCATAGACAACACAGTGTGTGCAGAGGGACCTTGTGTAGTCGGAACTGGTTCAGAACTTTCTGTATTGGTTTCCTTTGATACCCGTAAGTATTTATAAATACATTTTACTAAACAAAAATGTAAATTTAACAAATTTTGAGTTATATTCGATGAACTAGAAATATTAAAATGTTAACAAAGTTATAAATTCAACAAAATTTGTCGTGCCGATGGTTCTTAGCTTGACTTTTTAAGTATTCTTGGTTTGAGAAGGAACAGAAATATTGGAAAATAATATAGCATGAGTGCAAACATTATTTTCAACACTTTTTTACGCATTCACAATTTACGTAAAAAAAAATTAAGAACTTTACATCTAGATCTAGATCTTTACAACTTAATCTCTTCTAATTGTCCTTTAATTTCTAGCTGTCAAATTGGAGCACATTAAGGCGAAATTCGTAGCTTCGGGACCAGATGCTGACGTAGAAATACCCCTGATCGATGCTTGTAAAGGAATTGTGAACACGGAATGTCCAGTAGCAGCTAACGAACACGTTGATTATGAATACAGTCAGGTTATAGCTAATGAATATCCCGAGGTTAGTTATTAAACTGAAAGAAAGGAAATGTAAAAGATATTGAACACTACACGGTATTCGGGCAGAGTTTCCATACTGTTTCTACTACTGTAACTAATGTTAACTAATACTAATTTGTTTTGTAGGTGGATGCTACAGTGACTGTCAGTTTACTTGATGAGGATAACGATGACGCTGAAGTAATATGCTTCTCCCTTGACGTTACAATTAAAAATTCGTAATGTAGACATTTATACAAATATGAACAGGAAAATATATAATGTAGATGTTGAAATATTTTAATGAAAATAAATAATTGAAACAACAATACATTTAATTTGTGCAAATCCATTTCCTAAAGCTGTTTTACATTGACAATTTATTCATCAATAAATTGACGAAGTTCTTCATCAATTAATTCACGAATTTATTGTGTGGTTTTACACTGATACGGACTTTGTCAAGTTTTTTGACGCATGAATCAGTTCTACCAATGAATAAAAGAAGCAAATAAATTTAAAAAATGTCACCTTTCCACTCATAATTGTAGTGACACAACAGCGGTACCGTTTTGACACATATTATATAAACATTAGTTTTTGTAAGTAACAAATCAGTAAAAACAATGCAAAACTAGCACGACGCCACACAATTATTTACATATTCCAATAACATAACCTCATTACTGATCTGTGGCTGGAAATCTGTTGGGTTGGTACTTCCGAACTTCACGAAGAAATTGACGAAAATTAGAACATGCTCTAATTCGTCAAGAAATTGATGGAGTTATTTGACAGCTGATTCGGTGCATTACACTTGTCCAATTTCTTGATGAAGCGACTTCATCAATTAATTGATCAATAAATTGTCAATGTAAAACAGCTATTACGGTTTGTTCATCAATAGCAATTAACCCATATTAAATTCAAGGATTAAAATAAAACTGGATTATTGTAAAATAGTTCAATTCAATGATTTTCTCGTCCCTATGTATGCGTGATTCAACTAGCCGTAGGTATATGATGGATAGAGATAGAATAAAGACCTATAAATTTAAAGTAGACGAAACCAATTTACTTGTAGAATTAATAAAAAAGTATATCATTTAGTTCATTTAAGCTGGTAAGAACATTATGTACCTTATTTGTACTACAAAAAACGAGATTTGTTTGTGAGAGAATATCTAAGGATCCATACAAATTTGTTTTTATTTTAATTTTAAGAACATTACCACTATTTATCACTATTCAGTTGTGGCATATGTAGATTGTTTTCTACATAAAAAATGCGCTACACAACCTATCAGCTCCATAAAAGAAAAAAGCGATTTGTAATGATTATATATTAGTTTTTAATACAGACTTCGATTGAGTTGTTTGATGTGGCTAAGAAAATTTTCATTTGTTACAATCTTTCCAACCAAAAACAGAAACAAATATTGTAGTTAGATCCTCAAGACAAGTTTGATTGGCCAACCAGATATTTGATATTCTCACTTGTTTTTGAATTACAGAGCGATATTCGCTTTCTCGACCATTTTGACTACCTCTGTATATTCTGCAGTTAAATAATATAGAACTAAAGTAGAAATTGCCATCTACGAATTTTCCAACGTAAAAATCGATTTGTAAATGTAATCTAGTAAAACAGAGGACTTATTTGCTCTTTGTATAATGTCATGATTATCATAATAGAAAATTACAAACTTCGAGGACATGTTAAATAACAGAAGTTCTTTGAATACGGTGTGGAAAATTTGTAAATCTGTGATAAGTGTTTAGTAAAATTTGATGGTTGCGTAACAAAATTTACATGTAATCTGGTAGATAAAAAGTTTCAGTGAAGCAGCATTCAATTGACAATGAAATAAAATTCCAGTTAATAACTTATCACCTGTTGAAGTTTGTTACAATGTTTTTTTGACTTGCGATGACTAATTATTGTCATTAAAAATCAATTTTAATATGCTTTTATTAAAAAAGGCAAACATTCATTATCGCAATTTTTTCGTGGAAATAAGGTTCTGAGTGCGATAATAATAACAAATTATTGCAAAACAATATTAATCACCGTAGAAAATCTTATCGAATCCATACAGCATTTAGTATAAAAGTCAACGGGACAGTACAGCTCCATATTACAGTATTCAGTTTCTATACCTATTAGTTGCAAGCACGAAAATGAAGGTCTTGCCGTCTTTGATTTTGTTAGTTTTGGTAAATTATGCTTATGCGGCAGATACAACAAAGGTAGGCTCTTGTAAGTATATTTGAATTGTTTATATTATACCTGATAGGTGGTATATATAATACTGAATGGCTCATGTTGGCTATGGATGCATTGATATCTCGAAAAGTGTAACTGATAGTAAAATTTTAGACCAATAAGTTATAAAAAAAATATTTTTACAGGTCATGATGTTCTTTTACCAGAAGTAACAATGATCGTAGACAACACCATTTGTACAGAGGGGCCGTGTGTTATGAGCCCTGGATCAGACGTTTCTATATTGGTCTCCTTTGATACCCGTAAGTATTTTTATTAAACAAAGAACACAGAAATTTAACAAATTTTGAGTTCTAAACTTTACAATGTTAAATCTTTTCTTCGAGGTGAATCTAACGAGAACATATCACACATACAACGCCAACAAAATTCATCATAACTTCGAGTGTTTAAAATTCTTACGTACAATACGTCTACAACTTAATCTCACTGTTCCGTTAATTTCTAGCTGTAAAATTGGAGCATATTAAGCCGAAACTCATAGCTACAGTAGGAGATGTTGAGTTAGAAGTATCTCTGGGCCAAGACGATGCTTGTGAAGGAATTGTGAACACGAAATGTCCAGTGGCAGCTGGCGAACACGTCGATTATGAACACGAACAGGTTCTAAGTGACATCTATCCCGAGGTGAGCTATTAAATATAAAAAAATATATAACTATCGAACCATTCCTTGCGTCTTCAAAATTTCTAGACAGCTTGTGCAACTAAACAGTATTCTTGCAGAGTTTCTATAACATTTCTATCCTCCCTATCATCTACTGCTGTAACTAATGCTGACTTAGACAATTTGTTTTCTAGGGGGTTGCTACATTGACTTCCGTTTTACTTGATCTCGACAACGATGGTGCTGAAGTGATATGCTATACCATTGATGTTCTAATTGAGAAATCATAGTGTGGACATTGATACAAATACGAACAATAAAGTAAATAGTGCATTTATATTTTTTATCTATTTGTTTTCGAATTACAGAGAACTTATTCGGCTCATTATAACCTTGATTTAAAACCAGTAATTTATTCCTAATATAAAACAACGGGAACAACATTTGTATGAGAATAAAATTTGTGCAAATAATAATAATAACAATAATAAAGAATAATAAATCGTCTTTATTAGAAGCAGATAAAGTACATATAAAAATAAAGAAATAGAAAAAATGAAGGGAAAAATTCGCAAACCTATGGCGAAGTCTAGCAAAAGCTGTTCACACTCAACCATATGTATGCGATAGATGTGATTTCAAAATACATAAATAACAGCAGACAATTGCTCAGAAAAGAAACAATAACACAGTTAAAATAAAATACAATTACCTAACAATAATCAACAGTTTAAAATAAAAATCTTCGAATATAAACTATAAAATCAGCTGTCCACTCAATAGATACGATTTAAATTTATACCAGAATTTGTTAATATTAAAAATTTTTATATTATCAGGAAGAGAATTGTATAAAGTGATAGAATTATAAGTAAAACATATTTTAAATAGGGCACTACGATGATGTGGCATTGTAAAGGTATTTTTAAATCGGATATTCCTCGAATGAACATTAAAGCGTTTAACAAATTTAGTTTTTAATGGATGATAAGAAGGAATGGTTAAAATTTTATGCACAAGATGGTGACATCGACGATTCTTCATGTTGAGCCACTTGATTTCTACAATTTTGTGAGAAATATGATCAAATTTTCTTAATCCAAGTACAAGTCGACAACATGAATTTTGAACTTTTTGAATTCCATTTTTTTCTTGTATACTAAGACATGGACAATAGACATAATCACAGTAATTAAAATAGGAAGGGACAAGTGACTCACATAATTAATTTTCAGTTTCTTATTCAGAATATGACGACTACTATAAATTAATCTAAGCGAAGAATAAGATTTTTTGAATAATGTTTTCGCATGCTGATTGAATCGTAAGTTACTGTCAAGAGTCACTCCTAGAATTTTTACACTGTTAGTAATAGGAATTGGAATAACATCAATTATAATATTAAAGTTGAGTCTTAATATTTGTACCTTTTTCTTGGTACCAAACCATTTTGGTTTGCTAAAATTTAATTTTAAGTTATGTTCATCAGATAACTGCCTTACAGTTTGTAACTCAGAGCTGATAATATTGCATGCTTGATTCAGATCATTAATATCAAAATAATAATAGTTGAGTCTCATCAGCATAAGCTTGTACTTTACATTGTTGAATTGATTCTAAAATGGAAGCAGTGTAAAGTATAAAAAGTAAGGGACCCAAAATTGAACCCTGGGGTACACCAGAAAGTATTTCTAAACTATTAGATAAAATGTCATTAACACATACCTTGTTGAGTCCAGTAACTAAAGCACTAACTAGTCCCCTGTCCTGTGCTTTTATTAAATCATCAGTGACGGTAATTAGAGCAGTTAAAGTACTATACCCTTTCCTGAAGCCACATTGCGATTGAGGTAAGAGACTATTATTTACAAAATAGTCATAAATGTGATTATATAACAATCTTTCAAAAATTTTGGAAAACGCAGGTAGTATACTAATTATTCTAAGATCAGAGAACGATTCTGAATTATTTTTTTTTTTTGGGTATAGGCAAATCGATTGCCTTTTTCCACAAACGAGGAAAGTATTAAATAAATAATAAAATGTTAGACCCTGTCCCTAGGTAATTATTGTTAGAAGTGTCAAAACATCGATATTTTTATGTGAAATTAATAGCTGTTCAGATAACCATGTTATCTATAAGTGGAGTTAAATATAATGTATACCTATAGCTTCTCTGGACTGTTTTCAGCGATTTGATATAAACCAAATAATTTTATTAATTTAGAACGATATACAGGGTGTATATAGAAAACGAACGTTTCTGCATATATGTTTATAGGAACTGGTTTTGTTCATTTGCGACAGTTAGATTAAATTACATCTTGTATACATCATATCCAATATTCCAAATTACATAACGTACACATAAATAGGAAACGGATTAGTAAAAAATAAAATAAGTGTGTAGAAAAGTCTATATTCTTCGAGTTTAGGTCTGGACTAAATCTGAATTAAATATAAACTAAATTTACTGAATTCATTTATATTTATTTTTAAAAATAAGATGAAGCAGCATACATATTTTTCTGTGATACTTTTTCTAAGAGGTATATGATCCATCAAAAATAAAATATAAAACACATTTTGTAATCAACAGCAGTTCAGAACATGAAATAATATTAGGAGAAAAAATAAGTCTGTTTTATTACAAACCGCTAGTACCTTATCTAAACCAAGCTCTTAAGAAAAGGATTCCTAGAGATAAGTAATCAGAATTTCTGATTTAAAATTTCGGAGTTAGCGGGTTAAACGAACTGAAGGCTTTGGCCACTCCGGTTTTCCTAATTATGGTAGGAGAAACAACCAATGTAAATTCTTCTATGAAAATGAATCCTGCTGATATGGTAGTTGTAGTAAGTGTCGAATATTTTGCAAGTGTCATGACATGTTTTCGAATGTGTCGATATGCACCATCCACACGATACGACATTCGTCTATTGCATTAGTCTAATGATATGCACCTCCACACACGATACGACATTTGTCCTTTGCAAATGATCGCTTTATCTGAAGCCGGATTTACACGAAATTAATAAAAATATTTCTACACTGGTGACGATGCTTCTTTACCAGAAGCTGTACAGTGAGATCGGGAGCAGATATTCATCTGTTCATATTTTTTAAAGCACGTGCATGTAATTATAGAAATAATATGTATGGGAGACTTAACTGATAAGGCATATCCATTGAAAAGGATTGTTGATTAGTACACTTCAAATGTCACTTTTTATTTAATGCCAATGTGAATGGACTGCAATCTTTCATGTATAATCTGCGGTATTTTCATAATTTAAGTATGGCAATAAAAAAATTTCCTTCGAACAGGGTGTATGAAAAAATATTTTAGAAAAACAATTAACAAAATGATATATGGATAAATAAAAAACTTATAGGAAAAATGACACTTTGTAACGAGCGTCAAAAGTTTTCCAAAATTTGCTTATAAAAAATATACAATCATTAAATTATTGGTGATGTTAGAAGTATGTGTTTTTGTATTAAATACATTTAGACAAATAATGTTTTGTTTTTATTTCTAATAGATATTGATAATTCAATGCTAGTCAACAGAGTAGTAGTTTCCTGCAATATCAACGGTTAGAAATCTTGTTTATGAGGTTGACACCTCTTGCCTATCTAAATATCTGGTATCGAGGAATATTGTTTGACTTTACTTGAAAAGAGCTATTAGAAAAGAAGTTTTGAATTTATTTGACTGTTTTTTTATGTAAAAAATTTAAAAAATTGGTTTATGTTATTTGTTTGTTCGATGGACTATTTAAAAAAAAATGAAATTATTTTATTGAGTTAGGTACGTACAAAATGTCGCTTATTAATTAAAATAGACAATTAGAAATACATAACAGATCGATCGAAAGAATTCATTTAGAGGGTAAAAAAAGGAAAATTGTTACCTAGACTTTTATAAGTGGAAATGGTAAAGAGGCTTATAATAAACGAAAAAAAAAATAAATGCGTGAGCAGGGGTGGGGGGTTGAAAAGTTGTGAAAAATTGTATCATTGGGATTTCTGGAGAAAGTTGACGTCAAACAAAAAGTATTTACTACAAAAGTTGGAGCTCATGCAAAACTCTACAACTTTTGTAGAGGTCACTTTTTATGACAACTTAAAATTTCCAAGAAAAATGCGAAAAACCGGTTTTCTTCATATTTTTTTGGTGTTTCAGACCTGAAAAAATGAATATCTCGGAAACTTCTTGATTTATTTATTTAAAAAAAATTATGGTTATTTAAGACACAGAAAGGTATACTTTCTCCAAGTTTCGTCAAAGTTAAACTATTTTTGCGGAAATGAGAAATAAAAAACAAAAAATTAGAAAAAAACTGTTTTTCGTATTTTTCTCGGAAATTTTAAGGTTGTCACAAAAAGTGACTTCTACAAAAGTTGTAGATTTTTGCATGATCTACAACTTTTGTAGTAGATAATTTTTTGTTTGACGTCAACTTTCGCCAGAAATCCCAATGATACAAATTTTCACAAGTTTTCAACCCCCCAAACCAATCCTCCGCCGCCCCTGCTCACGCATTTATTTTTTTAGGTTTTTTATAAGCCCTTTTACCATTTCGACTTGTAAGAGTCCAGATAACAATTTTTTTCCAAGTGTAATTTGGTTGGACTATAAGTAAATAATGACAATTTTAATAAGAATACCTACGTACGTTAGCATTGCGATCGAATGCCCAAATTTCACAACTGATTTACCAAAAGTATGAAAAGCAACTAGTGTTAAATATAATATTTATTATCGATCCTAGACGGATGCTTTTTAGATTTTTCTGATAAAAAAATACCTATCACTTGTCACACAGGTGTGCAAATATTGTACAATATATGAATCAGTGAGATTTTATCAACCGAAAAACTGTCTGGAAATTTATCTTATATAGAAATGTACCAGACTGGTCAGAAATAAATTCACTTCTGGTCACAACTGCAAAATCAGTTCTGTGACTCGGATTCAATTCAGTAATACAGCAAAATGACTTTTTATGTTGGACCTGCAACAATTTTTATATAAAAGTAGCTTTTAGCTTTTTGATTATTTTGGATTTAAATAGCAAGTATTAACAGCGATCAGCGTTGCTTGACTTTTCATATCAATGACATGAATCCAAGCGGTTAGGCCGCACTTGTAAAAGTAATTATGATGCAAAAATGGAGTTGGAAGCCACAAAATTGATCTACATCTGAACAAAAACTACAGGAATGTTTACAGGTCTTCAGAATTTACTAAAGTTAGATGATAAGCGAAAAGGTACCAATTAATCTAACACACAACTATGTAATTTATTGAAATATCTAAACATATAGTTTATATGTAAATATGAGTAAAAATGTAGGCAATAGTTTTGAAACCCTGTATGCGATGTCACGTAAGTTTTTAAACTCACAAATAAGGTTTGATTTATATCTAACAACTTATTATTCCGAAAACCTAAGGGTACACCTGCATATTCTTCAAAAAATTACTGATCAGTGTCAAATACCATTGCAGGTGATATTTTTAAAGCAAAAAATAGACTGACGTCGTTTTCAAACGTCATGTATTAAAATGTAGCTTGCCTGACTTTAAAATAACAGCATTACATTATCAAAATTTAGAAAAATACACAAATAACTGAAAAAAAAAGAAAATACGATATATTTAAAATATCTATTATGAATAAATTCATAATATCAGAATACAGTACATTTTTTTCAAAAATGATCACTAATGAAGCTTTTAATTCATCGCAGTTAAAAAAGATTTCGGTGTGACGTAATCACCTCACTGGAATAAAGTTAAAAAATTGTTTGAAATCGTCAGGGAGATTTCCTTTTGCTAGAACTTTTCCAGTTTCTTTTTAATCGATACAGATATTAAAAAAAAAAACAACAACAATAATGACGAAACAGCACAATTGAACAAAATTCTGCCAGACAAATAAAATATAACAGAAAAACAGGAATCCAAATAAATATATTTGTAGCTTCTTTAAGTAGATCATATAATTATGATCTAATTTGTAGGAATCTACAAATTTCATAAATAGGAGAATAACACAATTTTTGGCTGACGAAAAACAAGTTTTTAAAATGACGTCTCAATTTTATAAGTATACTGAAATTCACTCTTCGTTAAATTTGAAAACTGACAAAAGTAGAATTGACTGCAAATTACGGCGAAAACAAAAGATTTACGTTTATCCCGTATTAACAGGAAATTTTGTCAGTTGTGGACTGTAGAGAAAATTAGTATAACTTAAATTTTTAACAGTTCACATTTGCTTGAATAAAAGATAAGCAAATGGATGAATTCGACATCTGTATACTCTCGTGACTGAAATAATAAAAAAATAGAGTAAAAATAATTAGCTTTCTATTGCGGTAGCAATGAGAGAGATCTACAAAGAACATTCTATGATCTTTCTAATTCAGACTGTTTCACATCTCGTTTTTGGAGGAATTAGGTTGGGAAAAATTGTTAGTTCTGTTTTTTATTGTTTATGTACAGAGTCTATTATTATTTTTTAAGTGTCTTGGTTAATTATAAAACTAAATAATATTTTTAAATGAGAGGCCTGGTTAAAAAAGAAGTTCTATAAATACATCTTCGTGAAACAAAATTCCTTTCAATAACTTATCTATTATTTTAAAGTGTATGTCTACACAAACTTTTCCTCTTAATTTGACGATTACTGAACCTCTCGAAATTAGTTACATAATTTTTACCACCTGTGTGGATCAATCGTTATCATTGGAAATCAAATTCAATACGTTTTTATTTAAAAAAATGCAAATACTTATTATCGCAGGTGTTGAGGAAGGTGGAATGATATGATAACATTGCGAAACAATGCTAATCCTCGAAGAAGATCTTATCAAATCCAAATAATTTAGTATAAAAGTAGACGGGACTATGCATTTCCTCACTTCCAATCTTCCACTTCTCAAGTATTCTGAAGGTGAAATAACGAAAATGAAGGTCTTCGCAGCTTTGGTTCTGTTAACTTTGGTAAATTACGCCTACTCGAAAGATACTACAGTCGTAAATTCTTGTAAGTATACTTTGACTATATTATAACAGTAGATATTTACCTATAGTATGTACATATGCTGGGTGAGCCATTTTGGCTTGAAATTATTTTTTTCTATTTCGTCGTTAATCTATCTATTCCTATCTAAATGTTTTTACTAAATACAAATGGTCAAAAATATAACAAGTATTATGGCATTATGTAAAACAAACTTTTTAATATTGAAAAAAAAGAAAATCGGAATACCTATTTAGTTAACAATAATTTAGACATTTAGTAGAAGTACTTTTAAAAATGTGGTATTTTTAGTAAGTAGTCATGGGAAAAGAAGTAGAATAAAAAAAGATACTACTCTAGGACCTGTCTCATAAATTTGCATTTTAAAAGGTTTCAGGATTTTTCGAAGGAATTTTTTTTCCCCAAATATCCAAATGCTCAAAACTTCTTGACGGGTTGAAATAAAAATTTGAAAAAATTCATGAAAGCTACTTTAAATGGGTACTAAATTATATAAAAAAGTCACGAAAATTGAAAATGGTCCTATCACGACCATAGTGATTTGGCAGCAAAAGGAACAGTTAATATCTGAAAATATTTTTTTAGGTCACGATGCTCTCTTACCAGAAGTGGTATTGACTGCAAATAACACGGTTTGTGCAAAAGGACCATGCATAGTGAAGCCTGGATCAGATGTAACCCTTACGGTTTCTTTTACTGCTCGTAAGTTTCATACATTATAGATATGCAGATAGAGATACATTTTATTAAAAAAATACTCGCAAATTTCATACATTTTGAGTTTCTTAGTCAGTTCGAAAGTTTAACATATTAGATTGTTCGACAATAATTTCTAAGATGATACTTACACTATATATCTTCATTAAACAGCTGACTTGATCGGTAATTTTAGTTTGCAATGGAAGAAGAGTATTAGAAAATCATACTATTTTCATGCAACGAAAATTCAAGTAAAAACATTCTTACACACAATATTTACATCTTAAAATCATAGTTCTGTTAATTTCTAGCTACATATCTGGAACACATTAAGCCGAAAATCATAGCCACTGCAATAGGTGTTGAGTTAGAGTATCCCCTGGGCGAAGACGATGCTTGTGTAGGAATCCTGAACACGAATTGTCCAGTGTCAGCTGGAGAACTAGTTGAATATGCCCATACCATGCACATCCTTGATATCTTCCCCGAGGTGAGCCATTTCATTATAATAAAAAATAGCAAACAATATAGACCACTACTCGTTGCGTCTTCAAACTTGTCCGAATACTATTTCTATAATTTCTACAGCTATAACTAATTATTGTTTATTAACACGTATTTATCTTGCAGGCGGCGGTGACTTTGACGTTTACTATAAACGACGAGGATAACAATAACGCTGATGTGGTCTGCTTCGTCATTGACATTCAATTTAAGAAGACGTAAAGTAGGGATTGATACAAATACACATAGGCAAATCTATAATGTAGACGTTGGAATATTCATATAATTTTATAATCTTAATTTAAAACCAAACTTTTATTTCTAACATTAAACAATTGAAAAAACAAAATTTGTAATTTGTAATCGAATAGAATTAATGCATGCCCTGTGATAAAACTTTAGAACACTCGAGTTTTATCAGTACAAAAATGACGTGAATGGTATAAAATTAATTAATGAACTTTGATTGAGTGAAAAAATCAATAATAATTGCTATTACTTTACCTTGGGATATTTAATTCAAATTTAATTCAGGTTCTTTTCGATCTGTAATCCGGAAAATAATCTGCTATTACTTCACTGTTTTATAAACTACAGTAGCGTCTAATACAATATACTATATACAGTAACGTATAAAATATATCGTTTTAATTTATACCAGATACTTATCGGCGTAGTAGAAAATATATCTTAAGCCATTTGTGTGTAAAGCACCTTTCTTCAAAAATAGCTGTAGCTAAGTGCGGCAAAAAACCCAATCGTGAAAGAAATGGTACTTTACATACATGTTACATAATAATAATTTATTTCCATTTATTGAATTACCAGCAATTCTTTAGAATAATACATATTTAGGAACGAAAATTGATTTTATGTCATAAATATTTATTAATATTGAAAAAATATTTGCAAGTAAGGATTTATTTGTTGTAGTCTTCTGAGTAATTCTGATTTCCATTTTGAATGAGGGATTTTGAAGTTTTCTGTTTGACATAAATATATGATAAATAACATTTAAAATGCATGTTTTTAATTTGGTGTCATGAGGAACGGTTTAATTTTGCTAAATAATACCTTATTTAAATATTAGAACTTTATCTAAAGAAATAAAATAGGAAATGAAACAATTGATGATGTTTCTTGCAAGTATAACGGTTTGGCAACGATATCTAGTTCTAGATCTACTAGAATTTGATTAGTATCACTGGTTCATGTAATTCTTGACATGCTCATAGTTTTACGAGAGCAAAGGTTGTCCTTTAGGTCTAAGAACACATGTTAAAAGAAACATATTCTATTATTAGCTTCGTATTTTTACTCTATTGTAAAAGCATGAAACTAATTCAAATAAAAAATACAACAAGCAATTAATTACTAAAGGTGTACTAAATTATTGATACACGAAAGGAAAATGTTGAAATATTTTCAGTCAAGAAGTGGTCAAAATTCATTGAAACGTTTTCAACATCTTTTCCCTTGGGATTCAAAAAGAGGCTAATTAGACACAGACCTCTTTTTTGATTGGTTAAAAGTTGTAGAAAGAACAATGAATTCCATTATCGGCATGTCAAATTTGGCAAATGCGTGGAAACCATAAAAAATCTCATATCCGTTTTGAAAATGCGTATAAAATTGTGGTCTATTCTCTTTGGTAGTTCACTCGAGAATATGTCCCATTATTTATTAATCGTTAAACATTTTACGAGTTTTACTGTACCAATCAGAGAAAAACGCCAATAAACCATCGTGTTTATTGCCTCCACTAGCACGATTTCTAATGGGCCGCCCATCAACCGCTCGCTGACGATGATCTAATACGTCCGATCACACCGATGTTTACATTAACGCCGATGCGTAATTGCAGGCGCAGTTAAATGGAAAATAAATTTCCCTTTATCGGCAATCTATCAATAAATCTGTGTTTCTCTTTCGGTGTCAAAATAATTAAACAGTCGTAAATCGCGCGCACCTGCAATTTTCCTGATGTCATGGAGGAGGCATTGTGCTCGTAGGGAAACGTGCAGAAGCGTGCTGTGTCGCCAGGAACCAGTGTTTGTGAGATGAAACAGTATTGTGTAAGTTTGATGTGAACATTTTTATTTGTGGCATTTATTAAATAGTTTTTCTATATTTCCAAAGGTCCCGTTTTGCGCAATCTAATGTACGTCGTAGATCGTCTTCGATCGCTTGCTTATGGTCCCGTACTTAAGGCAGGATTTGTGCTCTGTGGATGGCTGTTTGAAGATTTACTGAATTATTTTCAAAACATAGGTGAAAATTCCAAATCCGCTGTGGGTTTCGTACTACGATTACCTATCGCAGGTGTGACAAAATTTTGGAAAATTTTCATTGGAATTTTCATATATTTCGGGTGATTTCACGAAAAAAAAACAAAAGCAGCAGCGCCCCTCGACCTACGACACTGGGAGCTATCCAATTAACAATTCCGTGCAATAAACAACAGGACGAAATGTCACAGGCTCGCAGTGTGTGCGCGCAAACGAGGAATATATTTTTAATTACCTCTCTTGCCTGTTTGTCCGTATACAAATGAGTAGTCTTTAATAAAATTAGATATCTGATATCTTTTATGCGTGTGTAAGCCGTTTGTGGGTGTGCCCGCCATTAGATGTGCTGTGCCACATATCAGGGGTCTCGACCTCGGCCCTCTCTCTCTTTCTCTCTCTCGTCGAGAGACATCATCTTTTGAGGCTGCACGAACGGGAAAGATTTACGGCCGGCGAGAGTTTTTACTACTCTTTAAGTATTTTCGATTTTTTTCGGGGCGCTATGAATCGCTATTGTTTCCTGGTGAAACGGGAGAAAATTCTCTAGGGCGTCTTTCCGTCGGTACCGATAGAAACTACGCGCAAATTCAAGAATAAAAATTTTTAATACTTCAGGCGTAACTCTTCACTGACGAAACTATTTAATTGGGACAAGTTGATACTATCTGTTAAGATAAATTTGTTGATAAATAAATAAAGAAATATTGAAAATTATGTCTAAATACGAGAAAATCCTGCTTAATTTATTTTATACACTGAAAGAAATGCGCTTTATTCTTTATTAGAATTCTATATGCCATTATAAGACCATTGTGTACTATATGTTGGATAACTGTAATTACAAGCTAAGGTTCTAATGTAAACATACATAAAAATTTTAAGCACTAAAAATGATGACAAATCGCTCCCAAAACTGTCCAGTTTATTTTCTTAGCAACGATGCACCCGTATTTTCTTGTATTACATGAGAATTTGCACTATAACTCTTCCACCTTAAGAATGAAGCATCCCCTACAAGGTTGAGCTTCTTTCCATCTAATTCTATTTCCTCTGGTTGATTGACTTTGTACCCATGCTCTTCTTTGTCACCGTTAACTTTCTGTTCCTCCATCTTATGCAAAACTTAACATTAGCGGTTTCTAATAGGGCATACAAAATAATAATTTTTAAGATTTAGACAAGATTTACATTTAAAAAAACAAAACAACTACAAGCCTTAAAACAGTTAGATACTTATATAATTTTCCATTTCACACAACGCGATATGATCATGTATCCCACAACACATGTGCCTATACTGTCTATTTTTATCAAACTAGACGTGTAATAGTCGTAAGTTGATGTACAATGGACTGTCGGAAATTTTACGATCATAACCGATTATGCACCGAGAGGTGACGATCACTTAACCATTATAAGACGCGTTTTACACGTTAAAAACGGAAAGATATTCAGTATAAGAACGAATAATTCTGTTCATACAATTGTTGTATACAAATTCGGATACTGGTCTTTATACAACAAATCTTCCCTACTATACAATTGGAACATAAAGTATATAACACATAATAATGTATAAGTAATTCATTATAAATTTTATTTCATAGATGCGTAAGGTGTATTAAGCACCTTTCAGTTAAACTTATTGAATAATGAATATGGAGGTGAGTGCTTTTTTTTAATAAAAGTTGTATATTTGTTATAAAAGTTTTAATATGCAATTTAATATGCAGTTTAATAAGCCCATTTCTTTCAGTGTAAAAATTGGAAAAATGAGACAAATTTGTATTATTATTTAGATCCAAAGCCGTGCTGATTATTAAAACATTGGTTTTATTAAAAAAAATGTACACGCAATATAGTAATTTTTCAAGCAGTTGTAGATATAACGTATCCATAATTTTCGACAGAATCAGCTTCTTCATATTTGTGAATCTTATAATAATTAATTTTCTTGGTTTAATTAAATACTAAACTACTTGTTTTATTTCTAAATAGGAACACTGTAGCTTAGCTATCTTAGTACATCGCACAAAAGATGCATAAAATAAATGCCAAAAAAAAATAGATAATCACCAGCGCATTCGCCATATTTTGAAATCTACACCGTCGGTCAAAATTGGCATAGATAAAATGAATAATCTATACGCTGATGTAATCACATCTATTAACCTTCTTGTTTTAAGGGCAGGGACCAAAAGTTTAACTTTCTTCATGTCTGTCACTGGCTATCTTTTTTAGATTTAATAAATAATGTACAATTTTCCTGTATTTCTTCATTCTACGCAATATTATTCAGATTTACATTGATCAGAGTAAAAAATTATAGATGTATGTAAATTGTTTTTATGTTTAAGCACATGAAGTATTTGTATAATCTAATTCATGTCAACTTTTGTTGTATTTTCCATTCAAATTTGATTTTCATAAAAACACGCTTGTAGTATGCTAATGAACACCTACCAAACATTAAAAATTAATTAATAAAAACTACTGTAATTACCGTAAGTACTCAACCAAAGAAAAAACTACAGAGTCAGCACAGGTACAATTACCATAGGTATGCACGATGATCCAACACCTACAAATCAAATAATCCACTGTCTCTTGACCTTCTTCTCGAGCGAGAGACATATTGAAAATATTAAGTCATTATTAATTTGCATATTAATTAAAAGCCAGGCTAATCCTTGCAAATGAGCGTTTATACATGCGACTGCCAATATTATACATATTCAAACTCCGAGCGCGATAATCAGCAGGTTCTTTTGCATATATTAGAAATGTGTCAACGAGTCATTGTTTTTATGGGTTTGAAAGCGAATGATATTAGGTAATACTAGAATAAAAATACCTGTTGCGAAATTTCAAGAAGTGTTTTATTACTTGCCCTTTCCAATATTATTCTTACCAAATACGAGTTTATCTCCCTCTAGAATTACTACATTCAGAAAGACATATCTGAGCTAAGTAACACTTAGAGTTAAATTATATTCTTAACTTCTGTGCACCGTTAGAAACGTCAAAATTCTTAATATTTTAAACTGGGTCCTAGTAATTCCACACCGTCCAGATCCATCGCGATTAAAATCTAGGCGCCTGTGTCCCCGTAATAAAATTTTTATATCCCCATATTTCATCTAATATTTCACTTTTCGCCGTGAGCACCACGGAACGTTTTCGTGAAACAAAAAATACCATTTCTATTATTAATG